CTAGACACAAGGCACAAAAGTGGAGATTGGGTGTCTGCAGAACAAGAAAACATATGAGCATAGGTTGAATCAAAGACTTACGGAGATCCAGGCCATGGATGTTTCTTGCTTTAAGAATCTTCACTGTGAGATTGTAATAAGGATGTGTTTCCTTCTGAAACAACAAATAGACATAGAGCGAGATTCAGTAACAATCTGCCTTTAAAATCTCAGCACTTTGAAAAAATGATGACTTAAGATTTCTGGAATGACTACTATGAACAAAATGAACATTTTCAGCCTTATCCCAGAACTATTTCTTATGTACTTTCTACCTACACCCATACATATGTACTGCAGGCTTTCTCTCTTCCTCACAGATTTCTGTAGCTTTTGTTTAGTTATATTAAAGTGTGGAGATACAGTGTGACACATCAAGGTTGTATGGATTTAGCTCAGATTGTTCACCAAATTGTTAATTTACATTTGCATGATCCCCAACATGCATATGATTAGTATATATTAGTATATGTGGAAAACTGTTTTGATAGAGCAAGTATTTTGATAACTTAGTATCATTTGGGAGATTATATGTGGAATATATATATTTTCAGACAAACTCATCCAGCAGAGACACTCACCCATCGAGGGAGCTCTAAGCTTTCTGCAGAGTTACACATTACATGACTTTCAACCATTTAAATCTTTTCCTGGAGAACAAAACTATAAAAGGCCACACATCTTCAAAATTTTCTTCTAAAACAAAAATTGGGGGAAATAAGGTAGGAAAAAAAACCTTAGAGCTTTGGAAAACACTGAACTTGTATTGTACTATCATTAAAACATGAATCTTCCTTCTTGCTTAATGAATATGCTAATGAATAACAGGCACCTGGTACTGAAAAGTTCAGACCCAACACTTCAAGTGCACAGGAAAACGCAGGACTTGACATCAGCAGACTCTTTCAAATCTGTACTTCACATACCATTGGCAAGCCCAGTCCTGTAGCACCAGGCAGTTTTGAGTTGTGGGCCAAGCTGCCCAGCCAGCAATCGCTGCAGTTGTGTTACCTGCTCATCGTCGGCCCGAGAGCGCTTCCCCTTCAACAGGGCAGTGGCCAGAGCAGAGAGCAGCCGGGCTGAGGCCTGGCTACGCAGCACAGCACCCAACATGCAGGACCGCAGCCAGCCACCTTCCAGGCCTGAGGGGCAAGCAAAGAAATATTTAGCAATGTCTTAATGCTGCTGCAGTTCTACCTGGTGATGAGATGGGTGTAGGATCCTGACTGTCCATCTGTCTATTTATTCTCCCCTTCTTAGCAAGGTGCTCCGCTCTTTCCAGCAAAATATTTTCCTAAAATATTGTCCCCATTCTGTCACTTAACAACTGAAGTAATAGTTAATATTATGCAGCAGAGACAGCTCACTTTGCTACCATCTCATTTAAAGAAAAGCATTAATCCTGAGGCACTTCAATACATATACCTCCCCCTGCACTAGCTGCCTAATGTCTTAATAGTTCTTAAAACTTGATATCCTCCCTGATGATTCTTCAGGATTTACTTTTCTCTTGGCTTTCAGCTGTTTCCATTCAGAGTTAGCTAGCCCTGCACGGTGTCGTGCTGGAGCAAATATGCCGTTTCCTGGATGCAAACAATATTTTGCCATGTGATGCCATGATGATGCTGCATGGTGGGTATGGCAGCTGTACTCTTGAGGACTTGTCTTCATTTACAAAACATGGATCTCAGCTTCTCACTAGCAAAGAGTAAAGTTATGAGGAAAACCACATTTCTGATTATAAGGTGTCTGGATACTACTTGATAGAGCCCATAAAGAATGTTTTTATAGACATTTTATCAGAACACTTAAGCAATGTGAGGAGAAATTACATGAGGCATAGGCACTAACTCGCCATGGGACGTGTTGGATCGGATCGCTGCATCGTTCCTCCCTCACCCTTTAGAAACTCATTACTTGAGCAGCGGGTGCCAAGCCCTACTTACAAATCATCACTTGTGGTTTCCCACAGAATAAGCAACAGTTAAGCGCTCCGCCCTCAAGTACCGCCTGCCTGCCATGCTTTGCTTGGGCTATCACAATAATACACATTACTCTGTTACTTTATTCTGTTGTTTGTGCTCCATGCTTTAGAAATTATTTTATGGAAGGTAACAAAAGCTTATTGTACTAGAGAGAGCAAAAAGCAGTTTCTGAAGAGCCATTACCAGTCTCACACGTGAATTGCTCTGTACATCTGACTTCAGTTAAAGGCTTACCACTTGCACAGATTGTAAAGACAAGTTCATGAAAGTTCAGAGAGAATTTGAATTACCACAGTAGTGCCAAAGTCCTGCATAAAAAAAAAAAAAAAAAAAAAAAAAAAAAAANAAAAAAAAAAAAAAAAAAAAAAAAAAAAAAAAAAAAAAAAAAAAAAAAGAAGAAAACCACAAGCCCTTCCCCTCCTTGCGCTGCTGCCATGGTGGCCCCCTGTCCCTCCCAGACCCAGTCTACACAAGAGCCTCACCAGGCCAGGCCTCAGTCTGCAACCCCAACAGCGCTGGTGGCTCTGGGTGGCCGCCGGGCTCAGGAATTTCCCAAATGGAGGTCGCTGCCTTTGAGGCACAGCAATGGCAGCCCCAGGCCAACGGCCACAGGTGTCCGTTGGAGCCGGTGGGCACCAGCCAGGCCCGGGCTCCTCATGGCGCTGCCAGCCTCTGGGCTTCTCCTCCAGTCTGCTTCAGACATAGGGATTTCAAAAGGAAGGAGAAAGGCTGGAAGATAAAAGGCCGTTCATGGGGGAACAAGATGGCGCTGCCAGGGTTCGAATCCCTATACCCTGCTCCACAACAGCCTTGTCACCATAAGCTGAAGTAAATCAGCTAAATTATTAGGTGTATTCAATGTATCAGCGCTGCAGTGGCACTGACAGAGACAGAGCCCACCCAGGGCCCTAGTGGGTATTACACACAAAATACAGGTTTTGTTCAAAGAACTCGGGAGATTAGGAACAGTCCAGGGGACAGAAGAGGGATAAGAGAAACTGAAAAGAGCCCAGGTAACACTCTAGGGATAACAGGTGGCAACAACAATTCTCTCTGCTCTTCCTAAAGCAGAATTAAGAAACCCTGTATTTTTTCACAGGTTTAGCCTGAAGATGAGGCTATTCATACGCTCCAATTTCCTTCATTAAGGCTGCTGAATGAGTCAAGATACTTGGAAGTTTTTCCTCCACTGCACAGCAATCTTACAGCATGCATGTACATGTCTGCCTGCACAGCATCCAAGCATATCCTATAGAGACAGAAATTTATGTAAGATTATGCAAGTAACCAAACCATGAAGTTCCATTCACATGCACTTTGGAAGGAAAAGCAATAATTCAGGAGGAACAAAGCAAATTACCCATCAAGACCGTATATATGCAAAGGTCAAGCAAGATTGCATGCTGGAAAAAAGGCTGAAGCAAGAATACCCGAATATCCTATATACAAAAGAAAATTCAGTCTTTTCATGCTTTAAAACATTGTGAAAAGCAAGTATGAAATGTCCAATCCAACGAAGGAAATAGGTATCCAGCATTATATATAAAGAAAAATTTTAACATCAATTTGTTCTTTCTCCTATTTTAGCTGAAAGAAAAGAATACTAAGGACAAAGACATCCATGCATTTAACCACTCAATGTTTCAAATATTTAAAAAATAAACAAAGTCTTTAGGTCAGAGTTCTTCAAAACAGACAGTGCCACAAATAAGAGGTGACTGTTTTACTGATGTGTTGTACCATTCCAAGATGAATTTGGAAGTTATATGTCACTTATCACTAACACTGACTTTTAAGTCCTAATAAAATAAGCTATGCACTATAGTATTACAGTGATTTTTTTTGCTTACCTTTGATTAAAATAGGTAAAAGTATCAAGACAAGTCTAAGAAATATTGTAAAAAGCATATTATCAATTTTTTATTAAAAGAAAAATACAGTAAGTTTCCATTCAAGAACTACCTGTTCATAAGTCCTTATGTCATTTTGAAGTGACAGACTTCCTCCCTAATTTTTTGAATACAAAATACATACATGCAGGTCTGTGTTAAAGTTACATATGTAAACAGTGCCCTGTTCATGACAAAAGAATATACACACAAACACATACACACCCTTATACCTATTAGGTACCTTCCACCTGTAGAACACAGTCCTTTCCTCCAAGCTTCTGGCAAAGTGAGGTAAATTCAGCCCCACAACATAGCAGCATCTGATATTTTAATTCACATTTATAAGGTGTATCTATGTCAAACATAAGTGTTTCTAGAACATAGGTACAGAAACAGCAAAAAAACATTCTTTAAACAAGGACCTGGCTGAACTGCAAGCCTAAATCTAATTCAGACTCTATCCCTTCCTCTTCACAGGGAAAAATAAAAAAAAAAAAAAAGAAAAACTGTGGGACTAATAGCATTTCATCAGCTTGTGATGACCAAGTTGTAAGAAGAAATAATTATCTCTTGATATGTCTTTAGTTCCTACATATGAAAAAGAAGACTGTTTTACAAAAAAGTTATTCTGTATTGAACTTTTAGAGAATAAAAGCCATTATAATCCTTAGTGAAAGTAGAAAAGATATTACAGAGCTCTTTGAAACAATGATTTTTTTTTTCCCCTTTTAAGGCCAAACAAGTAATGATCATTCACTCTTTTTAGTATATGGACAAAAGCAAGTAACAAGTTGAAAGTAAAAGGAGACATTTACTCTCTTAATGCAGTTACAGGCCATGGAATTCCTTGACAAGCAATGTAAATGATCATGGAGGTTGAAAAAGCAAGCCAGACAAAGCTATGGAAGAAATCAGTGTTTCCTCGAGTGTTACCACCATTTTTGACAAAAGAGATCCTTCATTCTCTTATCACTGGAGTTTGGGAGATTATCCCTAGAAACATGCATAGCAACCCAGTAACAGCCACTGTAATATGATACTGGGATAGATCATTATCCCCTCTCCTGTTTTTTAAATATAGTAACATCAGTGCTGCAGTGTTATCCCTTTGGTTTTTGCAAAAGCTTCACTTATCTGGAGCAAATTTTCAGTGTCATATATGTACAACTTCCCAGAAGAGTTTCCAGCTTTTAATTTTCAACATCCTGAGTCACACAGCTTTAGTACATTGCAGACTTCCTGGATCCTCAGCTAGGAAGCCAGTCACGTGTTGAGGACTTTCTTTAGCTTTCTCCTTTCCAGAGCCAGATTCAGAATTTTCAAGAGAACATCTTTGCTGTTCAGTACATTGTAGCGATTCACTTCAACCAATCTGTTGAAATCATATGGCTCAAAGGTGAAATTCAGTGTACGGTAAGGAGAATCCTTTCCCTCAATGACAAAGTCACCAAAAGATTTCTCATCTTCTGACTCACGTTTAACTCCTGTAGCAATAAAAATAAATAAATAAAAAACACACCTCAGACTGCCATTGAAGTCGAGTTCTACAAAGAGTATATCACAGCTAACCCTTGAACCTCAGCTGTTTCCCTGCAGCTCCCCTTCAGAGATTTCAGTTTCTAAAGTGCTTGGAAACCAAACCTTAAGTATTATTCCTCTTTCTGCTCCCATTAGTCCTGTGTGTTAAAGTTTAAAGAACATTTGCAGCATGATAAATCCTTCATAAATCCTTCCATGATTAATCACGCTTGAAATACAAAAATGAATTCTTCCTAGAAGTGCTGTCCTACACTAAAATGAAAGATACTTTAAGATATTTCAGTACCCTGAGTTCAGCTGACTTCATTTAGCATATCAAAGAAAACATCCTAACCTCTTCATGCTTTTAATTGTAACTAATTGAACTAATTGACAAATCCCTATTAAAGTCATTTGTTATAAACACTTTTACTTGTTGCTATTATACAATTCACTGTCTTGAGCCATCAGCTGAAAATTTCTCATCAAGAAAAACAGGAGTCAGAACCTGTCCTTCACTTAGTGTTAAATATCACTAAACAGTATGCCTTATATCTCACCTGAGTAGAACAGTCTTGCTTATGTGTCTCAAGAGTTTTCTTCAGGCTGCTGTTTTCTCCCAGCATGGGACTAACGGGACATTGGATTTTCTCTGCAGATATGACTCTATGCTCCAATCTAGTATTCTTGTCCAACAGAATTGGGCCTAACACCCTATATTAATCAGATTAACTGAAGCAAGAATTGTTTTCCTCATCACTTGACCTTACACTATTAAGGGCACAGATCCCTTAGCACCATGCTATGTGATCTGGCATAAATATGGATCCCCTAGTGCTTTGCTGTCTACTGGTTTATTCATGTCCTAGTAAACAGGTCAATTTAGGAATTAATCTCTAATTTATAGCACTCTCCTATACTTAGGACAATTAGAAGAAACAAAAACAACTCTCAGGGCAGAAGCAGGTTCAGAAGGAAGCAAATTGTCTGTTTTGATTCTTCCAGTTCTAAAGTCTCAATTTCTCCACTACTTCTCCCACTCCTTTTTCTCAAAATGATGGAGGTTGATGTGTCTTAAATAAAAGTAATGATTTAATCCTTTTTAGGGGAATGCTAATAGGGAGGAGGTCATGAGGAACACTGGGCCTGCTCAAAATTTCCCCAGTCAATATACTCAAAGGATTTTAACATAGTACTTTTACCAAACAAGTTCCCTTACCTGGAGCTCTGAACTTCTGGAAGGTGTCATTCACCAGTGGGAAATGAAGCACAATGGGAGCCTTTGGATTCTTATCATCCACAAACACGTAACATTCTTTTGGCTTCTTTTTGTCTTCATCATTCAACTGGATTTTTGGAAAAGGAATTTCCTGCTCCTTGCAATATTCCTGGGTCAGTTCTAAAACCTGTTATTAAGCAAAAATCTTTTTAATTGACCATCAGCAACACCTCTAAGGTTTCCTAGCTACAATCCTCACAGGAAATTATTCCTCAAATATTATCCTCAAAAGGATATTTTCACATGCACAAAAAAACATAAATCTAACTTCCAGCCCTGAAAAAAAGACCACACCTTCAACTTTTTTGTTTAGAGAACACTGCTGCCAACTATCAGCAGTTTGCAGTTGAAACATTTGTTCTGCTTCTCTAAATACATTGAGCTTGACTTATCTATATTTAAAAATAGAAAATATGTGTTTACAAGATAACTGGCTTGCATAAAGGAAGTTATCAAAAGTCACTTTTAATTTAAAAAGTGTAGTTATTTTACATGGTTCTAATGACCTAAACAGATTTAAAAAAAAAAAAAAAAAAGAAAAAAGATAACATGACCTTGTTAGGCTTCCAAAGTTGAAGTTTTGAATTGTATTGCAGTACTCACATTCAATCTCATATGACGTTCACAGTAGAAAGCATGGTACAACAAATTTTTAAAGACATAATAGTTTGTTTTAATATACTGTCTCTAGAATATTTGTGTATTCAACACCACAGCAGATTTGTTGCCATTATGAGTATGATTTTGTGCCTCATTTAATAATCTCCAGCTACGTGTCTCACCTCAAAAGGAGCTTCCCAAGAAAAGTTGAATGACAAGATGACATCCACATCCCTTTCTGGCTGAAGAACCAAAGGAAATGGAGAGTTGATAGAAAAACCACCATCCACCAAATACAAGTTCTCATCCATGGGCGTCAGCTGGTTGGGAAATGCATCCAGATGAGTTCCTGGAAGACACTCCAAATAACACACGTAACTACAGTGCTTCATTACATGCTTCTACTTATAAGGCACAAATAAAGCCTACATTGGGACTACAAGAAAGAAGTAATACCAACATACATTGACCTTTGATTATTCAGAAAGCAAAGCGGGCAACATATAAAATACTATAAAGGCCTATAAAATCTGATGAGACTGCCTCGTATGACAGAAGATATACAGTGGATCAAATTCTGTGCTATGGTGTGAAAAGGTGAAAATTTACAAACTTCAGCAGAACAAAGTTTAGCTTATACGTGTTCTACAACACTGCCTATTACAGAATACTAATGCTATTATATATTCCAGACACAGACTCACCTCTCCAAGCGACAAACTTCTTGACATTGACATAATCTTTATGAAGATACAATCCATGCATGAAGTTGAAAGTTTCTCCACATGTGACTCGGGACGTGAAAAAATCTTGGAATATTTGCAACAAGGGGCCACCGGGAATAACCAGGCGGGTTTTCAGCCGTGTGGGATCACGAAAATGGAATCTTCGGCAATCATCTAGAGGAGCCAAGGAAGGGGGCAAAATACATTGCAAATGATAATCCAGCTCCAGCATTTTAAATGGATTCTTCCCCACCCCCACATTCAACCTGTTGACCTATGGCTGATTTTTACCTCAAATCAGTTGGACATTATAGAAAGGTATTACAATGACATTTAAAACAGATACACGTTCTATAGTTGGATAATTTATGTGCCCTATTTAAAATGAACAGCATTACTTTTAAATCATTGTCCATACTAATTCCAAACCCACACGACAAAACTCCTCTAATCACATGACAACATCCCTTCTGTTTTGTAGAAAGACATTAGACATCAACACTCCTTACAGCAGCATTTCAAGTTACAACATAAGAAGTGGTGGGGAAAGAGGAAACAAAACACACATGTAAGGCTGCAAAAGGAGAGGAAAAAATCCCCCCCAACAAGTTACTAGGAGGTGAGAACTATACTTATGCACAACTCAGTTTTTCATGCATTTCCTTTTCACTGTTAGTGTGGCACCACACAAGAACGAACAAAAAGTGAAGAACAAAAATTGACTTTCAAGATTACAAATTCTGGATGAACAACGGAATTAAAACTATTTTTCATCTCATCATTAGCAGCTCAGCTTTTCTTTTACTTTTCTCACGAAGATGACCCCAGAATTGCAGTTTCTGATCAAAACATAACTCCCAGAGCTATCCCAAATTTATAGATATCAAAAGTCAGATATAAAATTAAAAAGAGGAAGAGAAAATGTACTGACCAGTGACAATTACTCTCCTCACCAGGTACGTGAGAAAAAAGGATATATGGCACAAGAGGTATCTAAAATGATTCTTTATGCTAGTCTTAAAAATTACTTACATGACCATTCTAAACACAGAAAGTTCTTGAAATCCAGGTATTTAAAGGAGGTTCTTACCTACAACTTTGACGACATCTTTAAAAGAATCTAGAAAGCCCAGGCCTACGCCAACCACCTTCAGGCAGATATCATCCAAGCTTGCAGCAAAGGCACTGCCCCACATTCCTGCAGGGGAAATACAGAAGTTAATTCTCAGAAGGCTTGTCACAACCAGTGCAGCTCAAGTCCTGCAACTCCACTGCCACTTGTAGCTATCCTATTCCTCCAGGTGATGTTTGGGTTTACACATTAAGTAGGTTAAGGGACACCTTCTGATGCAAGAATCTAATGCATAAATAGCTACAAAAGGTAGCTTCTTCTATCAGCAAGGGAATGAAAAAAACCTAAAGCATAGCATGTTTGAATTCATTTATTACTTGGGCATAACCAAGGCACTAGTTTTAGGCTGCCATAAATACTAACATCTAACATAGCAACCACAGCACACTAGGGACAAGTACTGAGGTAGGTACCAAAAGAGCCTAAACAACGTTCTGAGGTCAACCTTGGCTGAAAACACCACTACCTCAAGCAGAGCAATTTTGAAGCACAGGATGATCTGTTTGGACTCTAAAGTAAATAACAGTCTTCCCTAACCTGTTTTTATTTCTTGATTTTACTGCAATTTATCACTGTAAGAATCTCATTTTGAAGGAAAGGATCTCAAGTTGACACATAGGTTCTGTTCAGCAACATCTGACTGGTTTTGGCTTAACACTGAAATTAAAGTCACCCTCTTAAACTTATTTCTGTTCAGGTCCTATAAAGTACTCTTCTCCCAAAATCTTAGGCAGCCTTTTTACTAATACCTTTTGTCAGCCTTATCCTCATGCAAGTCAGGTAGAAATCATCATGTAAAAACAACAGCAACAACAACAAAAAACACCTCAGATAGCGAAGAATAAAGAGTAAAGATCTTAATACAATGAAGCAGCATGCTACATTGGACAGTCTAAGCCCTGGGAGAACCATTATAGCTAAATGGAATGGGAAGATGCACAAGTAGGGCAAACTTAAAAATCTTGCAGATATAATAAGAACATAAGCACTAGTTTTTGGAGTTAATCTGGTCACACTCATTGGACTGACACACTAGTAAGCACTAGACCTTATTAAGTCTGAGATTAAGAACATCCATCTATAATACTATAAAATTGCTTCTAAACCTTTAGAGAAAGGTTTGGATTTTTTGCCCCCTTCAAATTCTTTGGAAAAGGATGCCCTACAAGAATGCAGGGGTGTAAAGAGATGAACCCCAAAGGCACTATTACTCCTTTCCATTTTCCCTCTTTTGTTCATCACTGTATGATCATACCTTGCAGAAAACAAATCCTGGGCTCTGGACGTTTTTGGATGATCCGTCCCATGAAGAACTCGCTGTCAAAGTCTTCTGTTCGGATAAAGGCTCCATATTTGCGAAACCCAACTTCATAGGGAGTGAACTCACACCATTCTAAAAATGAGCCAACAGATAATTACGACCTTATATACCTCAGAGTATGTGTAGGTGTGAATGCTCATGTGAGTTCACATAAAGCTGACAGAAAAGAAAGTCTCAACTTTTCACCATCACTATGGATTTTCCTGCCACTTTTCACTGCCTGCTTATTTCACCTCCACTTTCAGCCATTCTGATGGCTCCATTTTCCATTACACAGGGGAAAAAAAAGTGCTACTTCACTTCTCATAGCTTTTCATGACACTACTTATCTCTCAACAACCATTACAGTATTGACTTTACATTTCACTTGACCCATTGTCAGTCTTCATTGTTTGCTTATTGAAATGCCCCCTCATGCTTGAAAGCTTTCCACAAATATTTACTGATCAAATTCATCATATTCCAGTTCTGCTTTAAAATTCTTGTTCCTTAAGCATAGGCACACACCCTCCAAAATGAAAGGAAAAAAAGACAAATAGTGGTACCTAAACAGACATAAGGGTTTATGTTTTCACTCTATCCATCATCACTTGTTGCCTCATACTTAAGGCTTCAAGCGTCCTGGAACAGAGGCCTGCAATTTGTACTTCAGTTGTACAACCAGCAAGAACCCAAATTCTTACACACCACAATTTTGATAACACTTGCTGCAAGGTTACCAAGGTATCGTTTTACACTACACAAATCAAATATCTGGAACTACAAATGTAAGATCCTAACTATCTGAATGTCAACTAATGACCAAACATTTTAATTCTCACTCACATAAGGACTTTTTATAAAGAACTTTCCTTTCAGGGCCTGAAAGGGGAATTTTCAATAAAACATGTGGAGTGGCCAAGTTGCAAACTTATAGCTGTAATGAAAGTATTCACAGATCAAGATACTAACACTGCACCAATCAGTATCTTATTACTTCTGTGCTAACCATCTCTTACTTAGCACAATTTCCTTTAGTCATCTACCTGTTAATCAGGTAAAGTATTTCAACAAAAGGGGTACTGAAAATGCATAGGTGAAACAAATTCATATATTTTTTAAAAAAAATACTAATAACAGCAGCAACAACAATAAAAGCCTGATATGTTCATACCTGCAAAGTCACTGCTACTCATATTGGGTCTCACATTGACAGCTGCATAGATGGGATAGGGGTTCTGGGCCCACTTCACTGCTTCTTGCTGATCAGAGAGCTTTGATGGGTCTTCCTGGTTACAGTAAGGAAGGAAAAGCACACTGAGCGAGACAAAAACTGTCCCTATACTCTGATATTCTGAGGCTCCTCTTAGCATCTCTGACTGCAACACAACTGCCAGTTCAAAGTTCCTTTTCTTCCCTCTGTCCATACAGATGGTTACATTCTGCTAGAATATTTCTGCAGTTGTTTATTTAGAATGTCAGATGTTATTAACAATTTCATCTCTCCTCCAAGTACTGATTTCAACTAGCATAACAGCAATACAGTTTTACAAAAATAATATTTTCATTTTCTCAAAGTTTAACCTACCCAGTACAAAAACTATTTGTTTTTAATCATCATTCAGAATAAGAACTTAGCTTTTGGGTTCTTTACATTGCTCTTTTCAAGAGCTCAGGAAGACTTCAAGATGCTTTCTTAAAGAAAAGTGCTGGGAGACCAAAACTGATGAGAACTGATGAATGTACATTCAGTAATACCTCCCATTCTAGAACAGTGCACAAAGCTGGACATACAACTGGTGAGTATGCAGAGCTCCCACCTGGAAGGCAAAGAGCAGTACTCATCCAAATCTCAACTCCTTTACCTTCTGTTGCAGGAAGTACTCCACAATAAGGCCCCACAAATCCGTGAAGGAAACTTTCCGTCCGCTACTCTCCATTGCATTCAGCTCCTGGAAATAGTATTTCAGTCGCTCAGGGGAAAACGCCCCTCCTTTGCTGCTGGACACAGTATCTTGAGCTCTGCTGATTGCCTCTTGAAGGTCCTTCTGTGACCAGTCAGGATCTTTATATAATGTAGATAAACACCTGAAAATGTTACATTAAGATCATCAGTACACATCTGTATAAGCACTGAATTCTAACTAGATATTATTAACTTCTGCAACACTGAACTAAAAATTTGAAAACTCGGCTCCAAGATAAAACACTGTAGAGAATACAGGGGTTTTAACAATGAACCTCTGAACTCAAAACATGGGGAAAAGCCTGAGACCCATAAGCCAGTTTCACCCTGGAGGCAAGCCTACCTTTCAAGGATACTCCAGTCATCATATGATAGTTCATATCGGTCCATCAATATTAGTTAACTCTAAGTAACAACAATCCTCAAGACAAGCAGAGAACAAGGCTGCTACTGCACACAGTGATGAAGGCTACAGCCTCAAGTGCACAGAGGTCTACTTAAATGAGACACTAGTTTGGAGATTTGCCGTCCTCACAGCTGAACAGCTGAACAGCTGAACAGCTGACTAAATCTGTTTGGAAGTGTGGCTTTGAATCAAAAGGGACAGCCAGATCACAAAGTTAGCAGAAGGATGCTCCATACACAGGAGCTGGATTAACAGGCAAAGCTCCAGAAGTGAGGATGACACCGTCAGGTTGCACATTGCTTCACAAACAACGTAATCCTGTGCAAAGAATGATTTCAGCCACTCAGAGCTGAATTGCTGAAACACTCTGGCCATGCTGACATTGCAACACATTGTTTCAGCCTGCCCAAGAGGCAAGTTGGTGCCATTCCTCCTTCCAGCTGCGTGCAACATTTCGGAAGACAGCGAGACAGCTGCCTGCACAGACTTGCTTACAGTGACTTGTATCACCCTTGGTTACCTTCCTGGAAACAGCCAGGATATGTGGAACATACTTCAAGTTAGGGTGCCGGGATCACATAGCAGCTTTACTCATGTAATAAGCTCCAGGAATTCAACTGCCAGAATTGCAAAAGCAGGATATGCATAAACTTTGCCAACAGCTGTACGGGTAAGAAGCGGCAATGACTATCTTAGATCCTTAGCTGAACTCACAGGTGAGCACAGGTAAAACTCTTCACTCTCTGTCTATAGACAGCATAAACGCAGCTTTGGTCATGTTCCTGTATGAACGCTGCCATATTTACCTATACCTATAGGCTTATCTATTTACCTATACCTATAGGCTTACCTATAAGCTTCTGGAACCAAGACCGAGCACAGCTTACCAGGTGGAGCCGGAAATGCCGCACACGTACGCGACGGCATCGAGCAGGCCGAGCTGCCGAAGGGCGGCGAGGCTGCCGTGGAAGGAGGTGAGCGCCCGCATGCCGCCGCCAGAGCCCAGCACTGCCACCACCGGCACCTGCGGGCGGCAAACGCGGCAGCGGCCATCAAACACGTCCAGCCCCCCAAAGGCCCCTACACAACTAATCCTCTTTGAGACTCACTCTTACATAAAGAAGAAATTATTTCTATCCACTTTCCGCATAATCTTAGGTTTGATTCCAGTCACCACTGATTTCACTATATTTTTATTGAAATATTTGCTTATTATAATACAGCGGTGTTGTCACAGGAAAGGTCCTCATTGAAACTGTTATGCATATTTTCCTGCATATTTAATTCTATGCCATAGAGTACACTCGCGGGAACCAAGGTCAAAAAGTTTTTCTCAGAACAGGACCACCTCAAGATCACAGGGAAAGGAATAAGGCTACCTACGAAAAATGCACTGTCCTCAAATAATCAATGAGGATGCTGCTCTTGTGGAATGAACTTCAACTCAACTATTCAGAAGGTACCTTCAACTTCTTGGTTCAGAGTTCAAGCCCCAGATACAGTAACTCAGCTTCAGGGAAGCACAAACATACACCCTGAAATTTCATTTCTTTTGAAACAAAAAATTCAAGATGCTCAAAATTTAAGAAATATAATAAGACTTGACACTCAAAAAGTGGTAAGCTTCAGGTTTCTCTGGCCATACTGAGTATGTTTCATGCCTAGGGACAGTTATTTTAGTTATATGTAAAGAATACTAAAATGTTTAACAGGTTATCCACTAAGTCTCTCTAGTCTTAAGTTTTGCAAGTCTCTCTAAAGTACTGTGCTCTATACCTCATCTTTTGCAGGAAATTCTTTTAAGTTAAGTGCCTTTTTCAGTGCCTCAGAGACTATTTTTTTCCTTTTGTCTAAGAATTCTCTCTCCTCTTCACAGAGATCAAAACCCAGGCGAATATCAAGATCCCAAGTCCTGAAACAGAAATTAAAATGAGGTAAAGTTATGAACTTCCGAAGGATGTATAACTTCTAGGGAAAAGCAGTTGCTGAGAACAGGCATTTTAAGCACTGAACACAATCACTGAATCATTAGATGACTATCATTCAAAATACGCATACGCTAGTGAAGAGTAACAGCAGCACTTAAATCGAAAAATCAAATCAAATACCTCTCTTTTATCTTCTTTAATATCTAAATGCAAAGTTTATGTCAAACAGTCATGCAAGCTAAGCTTCAGGAATTTTGCAGAAGGGAGAAAGAAACTTCCAGTAAGTGAAGAACTTACATATAGAGGCCCTATCAGCTAGTTAGCCAACCATTTGCTTTTATGTGCTGTTCTTCTCTTTCCTTTCCCTTATTTCACCCTCTTGAATTACATAATTCAAGTTCTTATCACTCTCAGTGGCTCTTTCCTACTTGTTAGCACAACACTAATCATATTTACATCTATAAAGCTACTTAATATTAGCATCAATATCAGGATGATGATAGTATTAATAAGCTTAGATTTAAGTATCAGGAGCACACAGAAAATTTGTTCACATGCCAGAAGGACTGACACCAATCCAATGTCCACTGAGATCAATTCCAGAAAATGGGGATTAAAACAAAGCTCTTAATAGTCATGCAGCTCCTCCTCAACAAGAGTTAAGGTCTTTAATTTTCAGAGGTCTCAGAGCTCCTCACTCACATCTCTTCAGCTTTCAAACTCATATCCAAACTTTGTCCCTGGGAAAAGAAAGAACAAATGCTGTAATCAAGAAGTAACTGTAACTACACAGATGAGCCTACCACATTGTCACCGCATACTAAACTAAAATAGCAGTCTTACTCACAAAACTACATCTGTGGAAGAACTTTCCCTTCAACCTACTGAAGAGAAAGGTATTTCCTTCATACTTCCAAGAGCTACAACAGTGAATAAATATGCACCCAAAAAGCAGGGAAAAATAATTATTTCTCAAGGTTTCTTGCTTCTCCCCTTATCTGATACTTTTCTTCCACATCCTGACTATTTGCTTTGGAAAATAGTAAATATTATATTTAATTTTTCAAGTCCTAACCATGAAAATAACATTTTAAAGAACCACTGTGCAATTTCATTGCTTCACTCCAGATCTTCAAAACAAAACTCCTAAAAATGATTTAAAGCTCGACTTTCCAAACGCCTACAGGCAACATAGTGAAAATAATAATCCCAAGCATGTTAAAACAAACGCAGCCTGTTGACATTACCTCTCCCAGAGAAACAGTCCTGTCAACTTTTTGTCCGTTAGGAAGGGAATTAAACGGTACAGTCCCCAGGCCCAGAACTGTAGTATGTTCCTCAATATCAGGGTTCACACCATCCTAATAAATATAAAAAATGTCATCTCAATTTTCTGTCATATGATTAAAAAAAGTCACATTATGAAGATCATTATAACCAAACCTTTTCCAAAACAATCTTGGAGATCCCTTGAGATTTTGGACTCCCTTCCTGCTCTCTACTTATGAAATCTTGGCTGGAATTATTTCTATCACTTCATTAAAGCTCCAACAGGTGTTCTTAATTTTTACATACATACACTCACACACGTGCATTATATATTTATACTTAATATATTTGTGTGCATGTATATCTGCTAAACACTCAAATTTTTGTCTCCCAGTATGTTGTCTCTCAGTATGTCTCGCAAATGTTTGTCTCCCAGTATTCTCACAATAGTTGAAGTGAGTTGTGTCAAAGAACACACAAAGAAACTAGTATTCTTTCTTCAGAGTAGCATTTGAGATAGATACCAGTAAGGTATCTTACTGAGCATCCTAAAACATGTAAACATCCAGAAATTAGGAAATAAGATAAAGGTCCTATGGACAGATATGAGCATGAAAATAAAAACAAAAACATGTTCCCAAGCAGAGCAAATGAAGGTTTATAGTCAGGTAACCTGAACTGCTTTCCCCCACCTTGGGCTATTAAATTATCTTAAAGTAGTGCTGCACGCATATTTCTAGGGAAAAAAAAAAAAAAAAAAAGGAATATTAAAATGATCTTATCAGAGGGAAACACTGGGAAACCCCCCCCAACTTGCTAGTTGGGCCAGAGCCTTCACATCCATCACAGACCTCTCCCCTTGAGAGAAGGCAGTATTTAAATAAACAAGAACTTGTCACCTCTCTCAGAGCAAGCACTGGAGAGGGATAAGAACCAGGAACAACTTATTTGCCACCTGTCAACTGATAAGAGAACAGCAGGATCAGATCAAACACTCCCAGCCCATTATGCTCTCCCCGAGGGGCCAGTAAGAAGCATTTGGGCACAGGGAAAGTGACTTTACTACTTCCCTGTCTCCCTCCTCCCTGAGGCACGAGAGAAATGGTTAAGCAAAAACCCTTGGGCTCCATAACAGCCATTGAAGCAATTTCCTTTACTTGCTACCAAGCAGCTTTCAGTTCAGGTTTGCCACCTGGGCCTGTCTCTATGGTTGACTTCTGCCCTGTTCTCAACTATCAGTCTCTGAATTTTTGCTTACTGAAGTCCAGATTTCTGCTCTTCAGCTCATGTTTTCTGACCAGTTACTTGAATACCATACCAAAATCTTGTGTTCCAGACATCTGGAGAAGACTTTGGAGTTCTTACAATGATCTTAAGCCAGTTCAATTTCTGTTTAAGAACATTCTTATGGACCAAAGACACTGTCTTCAGGACAGATTTATTCAGAGTAAACTGTAAACTCTGTGGCTGTTGGCATAGCTACTCACTACTCACCTGTAAGACAGATATGGTTTGCTCCAGCTCCACTTGCAGTTCTGGGTGCATTTCTTTATCCACATGAAAGGCAAATGAGGTTCCATAGTCCTGCTCACGGTCAGGTTCCCAAGGGATACACAGCTGTTTCTCATATGCCCCTGGAACAGACAGCTTGACCTCACAGCTCCCTGTGTGACAATATGGACATTAAACTTGGAAGTTCAGATCACAGGAAATATTTAAATGTATGTTGAAAATCAAATACTAACGTTAGAAATATAGCTGAGACAAAGGAGACAAGCAAAGAGCCCCAAGCTCCCATGTTTATAAATATATGATGGGACCTGTTGAAGGGGACAAAGCGATTCTTTTCTTGCCAGTGTCCAGACAGAATGAGAGGCAATAGGCAGAAAAGGAAACAGGAAATTCCACTTGAACTTAAGAAAAAGCTTCACTGCAACGGTAGCTGAACATCAGAACAAGTTGCCCAAAGAGGCTGTGGAGACTCCATCACTGGAAATACTCAAAGCCTGACTGGAAACAGGTCTGAGCAAGCTGCTCTAGCTGACCCTGCTCGAGTCAGGGTCTGTATCAGATCTCCAGAAGTCCCTTCCAACCCCAACTACTACGCAGTTCTACAAAGTCTCTCTCATGTAGTGCCCTGCAGAAGTGAACCAATTTGGCTTTAATTTTTGATGCTGTATTAACTATTAATAATATATTAAAAATTTAAAAGTCAGTTTTGTAGGTAGCAAATACAAACACACTTTCTAACCAAAGCATCAGGTCTCCCCTCTCCCTCAAGGCAGAGATAACGCTGAAAAGCAGACCTGCCTTAAATTCTGCAGGCAGCCCTACCTTGCTGTTTCTCTTTTGAATTTTCCTCTCTCTTGAGAGTGCCCTGCAGAGACAAGCAAGGATGAACCTGTAAAAAGAAGAAATCAACTCTGGTTATGAGGTTCAAGTTCACTTCTTTGCTGACCTACTGCAGGAGGATCGGGTTTACTAATGTACAACCCATTCAGACCCAACGCAGCACTTCTTCAATTCTACCATGACTTCCTGTCCTGAACTGTCCCTGTCCTCATGAAGTTTAGGGTCTCGCATCATTCAGTCATCAGCTTCCTTCTGGGGCAGGAGATGAGAGATTTAACGGGCCAAACTCCTCCAGTTGCTTGAAGTTAAGACTGATTTGCTGAGGGGCGTATGACCACAAGAGTCTCTCTCCTGTGGAACTGTCTGCAAACTGTGCTGTCACAAGAGAATGCACGTATATCTGAAACATCACCACAGATTTATTTTTGTTTTCCCTGCCTTACTCATAAGGCCTTTAAAACAGTTACTCATTCTTAACTTCAAAACACAGGATTTGTGACAAGTTAGAAAAACCATAAACTGTTCCATACAGGAACAATTGTTCCATACAGGAACCATGTGGGAGGCAGAACTGCAGTTCTGAAGTAAATATAAGATCCAATTTCATTTTATATCACTGTATTTTCAAGTTCTACAAAAAACTACAAATTAAGTCATACTTAGAGATCATTTTTAGGAAAGAAAATATTTAACCTAAATGAAAATATCATTTTTTTTCCTGAAAAACATATAAACTCTATATTTCAACAACGATGGATTTTTTCCCACCTTTCCTTTTTGTTTTATTAGAAAATATCTATCTAAAAAAGCCTTAATTCACACAACTAACAGAAAACCAAAACAAAACACAGACTGCATTCTGAAATATTGCAGTCCCTCCCATTTGGAAAGGAAGAGAGGTAGCAGTAGCTGTACTTTTAACATATAATGCACCTTATTTTAGTCTAATATTTTACCAAAAGAACAGACAAATGACCCAAGAGGAAGCCTCCTCCTTTTGGACAAGTGTTATCATCCCCTCCCAGACTGAATCTCATTACTAACAGTACTCAGAAAAGCCTGAAAATAGATTTTAATATAAGAAAGTAGGTCATTTCTGAGCAGCAGCTAGGTGAAAGAACTCAGGCTAGTCCACAGGACTCAGCAGCCTTCCAAAGGCAATTTCTGCATCCTTTTAAGCAGTTGCTTTATGCTCTACTTAAAACCTGCTTTAAGAAGTAAATTACAATATGTTATCTAACTGATTAGTTGTACACTCACCACAAGGACTCCATTGGTCAGAATCTTGGTAGGGGCATCTGAGCTGTTAAAAGAAGATTAATATAAATCAGTTGTTGTTTCAGTTTGCCTCATCTTTCTTTACAAACTAATTGCCCAAATAACAAGGTGAAGAAGGAAGGTCCTCACTGTGAGAGAAATCTATGCAAATTAGACTCCAACACTAAGTATATTCCCCTTCACAACAACAACAAAAAATAATGAATAAATCACTACTGAAGGAGGAAATTCCCTTGCAACTATAATCACATTCTATAAGCTCTTTCCATCTTAGTTATTTTGATATCCTTGAGGAAAGCTGAGATTAGACAGACTATCATACATGTATGCTATTCAGGTGACTGCACTGCAGGGTTAGCTATGGAAGCTTTCCTTCAGCGAAATAATTAGCTCATTTCAAAACATCAAAATTCTTCCTTTGAAGCGTTGTCATTCCTATGAAGTCCAACAAATTTGTATTTCTTCAGGAAATCCAAAGTTTTGGTGATTGCAATTTTAAGGACATCTGCAATCAGTCTTTGGGGAACCAACTCAGAAAAAGCATAGAAAAAGCAAGACAGTAGCATGTCTGACTACTGCACAAGACTATCATTGCACAGAAAATACAGTTAAGGGAACATATCCACAGAGCACAAGTTCATTGAACTCTATATTAAAACTCACCATTTCTCCAAGTAAAATTCTACATCCAGCTCTTCATTAGCCTTTAAAAATACAAGTTGGACATGGGTCATCTTTGACCTTGAACATGATTAAAACAAGTTCTTCTAACAGATTAAGCCTTCCTCCAGTTAAAAACCCATCATAAATACTGTTCTCCTTACTAAAGTTGCAGTTTCCAGTTCCACGGTAGCAGATCAAGGGCCACATTTAGTATTCCAGAAATAGGACACAGTGGGAAAGATGAAATATAATGCAGCCTCTTCCCATGTTCACAGATGATTTAAATTACCTGTAGCACTGCATGACTAACACCTCCCTCCTAAGCACATACCAGTTAGTCTGCTTCCAACCCCACCTCCTCAAGGCCCAGACTTCTCAAGCAAGCCCATCACTGGCTCACCTTTAATCCAGGCCTACGAGAGCAGGGTGTCTGAGGCAGACTCAGATGATCAGACTCATGATAGGGCTTTAGCTATGCCAGCTATGCTATTTTGCAACAAAGCTATGAGCAGGTGGCAAAGGAGCCAAGAGCAGCCGATACGTGCCAGTTCACCTACACAGATCAGCTTAAACATGACTGAAGACAGCATCTCAGAGAAGATAAGCTATTCTTAGGCTTTTGACTTAAACACAGATGTAATCCTTGCAGGAAAAGACTTCATTGTTGCAAACTGATGAATGAGCAAACCCACAGTCCCCAGAGCAATTGCTAACTGCAAATGCCTTGCATTTATGCCTTGCTTACACCCTCCTTGACTGCTGGAGAGAGAAAAAAAAATCCACTCCAAGGGTACTTCAGCATCTGCTGAAAGAGACTGATCACTCCAAGTTTCCTTTAGTTGGGTATCCAAAGGAACTACAGAAAAATCTCAGATGACACCACATATATGCTGTCATCTTATGTTGCAAGATTTTCCCTTCTGGTTTCTACAACCTAGTCAGGGCAATCAACATATACTTATGTCCTTGCCTTGGAGGACGTAAGTACTCCTACACCCAAGTGAGAGTCTACTGTCCTAATCAGGGAGAATTTATGATTCCAGATCAAGATTTTCCAGTTTCCTGTTTACACTGAAATCCAAGCAGATAAGAAGCCTCAGTTCCTAATGATCTGGGATCCCTCATGGCAGATCAAATACAAGAGGCATTCAGACATTCAGCAACTATAATATTGCCCCTGCAGAAGCAGCAGCCTATATGATCCCAAATACTATTAAGCATTTGCTATACAAGACCAAAATGGACCAACGTGTAACAAGAGCTTCCCCATAAAATGACACTTTTTCAAAGTGGCTTCAAAGAGGCACCAAACCTTTGCAACGGCGAGAGATTCACTGCCAGCACTGCCCAATTTCTTTAACAATCTACAGCTTTTCAGTGTTCACTTTGAAGAGAAACTTGAACTAACCTCAGAGTTGAGCCTGAAGGTGCGCAGCAGAGGCTGGCCGGGCTTTATACCCCCCACATCAAAGACCACGGTAGTGAGCTCGTCACTAACTAGGATGTCCTTGTCATAAAGGGTCAGTTCCAGTATGTTCTAAAAACAGAGAGAAAACCAGCATTATGTAAGAGATGATGATGAAAATCTTAACGGTTGGAAGCAATGGAAATTATAAATATATACATGTTAATACATGCATCTCCCCTTTCCCGTTGCTGAAGAGTGTTTACTGCTTCCTCCAGGGCTATCAGTACCCTTGAGCACAAAGTCTCCAAATAACCACGTTCAGCTAAAAACCTTCCTGAGCACCCAAGCAAGAGAGCTGTCCTGCTGACGTGCATGGGATGCCTTGCAGCACCTCAGCCCTGCACATGCTTGCCCGAGAAGGAACAGCGGGTTGCGCTGCCGCAGCATGAGTCAGGGTGGGATGCGACAGGACTCCTTGCTTCCCGCTGAGCACCACCCCTGCACGCAGGAAAGCCTAGCAGCAGCTCATGGAAACAGACAGGAGCTGCACAGCTCACCCAACAGCCCTGCAGCAGGGACAAGCTCAAGGCTGAGTGGAGACCTGTGCTGATGCAGCCTCAAAGCTGGAGCCAAACTGAGGCCAGAGAAAGAAGATATTTGCATGCTCTGAAATTTTGGACAAATTGCAAGAAAATTGCAAACAAGCAACACTTCATTTGGTCATCAAATCATTACAGAAAGGTACAGAAGTAGGAGAAAAATCACTTCTCGTTAATAAATATCCCCTTTGCAAAGCAGAAAAAAAACTTTTAGAGCAATACTGCTACACTAAAAATATATTTTTTTAGTTTCCTCACTTCTGCCTCTAATATCCACTTTAAGAAAAATGCTGAAAATCTGATTTTTCATTTCTTCATTAGAATCTGCTGGGCAGCAGACAGATGTAATGTGTCCCAGGCTAGGAGTCTGAACTTTGTTTTTCTCCTCCATCACTGGAGCTGATGGTTCATTCAGTCAAGTCTTGCTAAGCAGCAGCGGTGTGAATTTACTTAGTTCCTACTTTTCTCACTAAGCCAATCATGCTACCCACCATACAGGACCTTAGGGCAAGTACAGCTACAAGAAGACAACGGGGTAGAAGCAGAAGCAATCCTGAAATAATAGTTTCCATCATCAAGTAAACTCCTCAACCTTTATCAGGTAATACCATAACAACTTCTCTTTCCTGAGTTTTTAAGGACATCCACAGAAAATGAGGACATCCACAGAAAATTCTTCTAGTTGTGATTTGCAGTTACAAACTACTGACATTATCACTGGACAAATATGGTAGAGTGTTTGGTACTGCTGAAAATGCTTTAAGAGTCATCTCAGTTAAAAAGTAATGTTTCTGAGGGTAAAGATCCTTCGGTTTTGAATGACATATCAAGAGCAAGCAACAGACATAGCCCAAAGTGGGCCCCTCACCTTGACAGCACTGTGGATTCGATACTGGAAGGTTTCGTTCCATTCGGGGTTATCCGAATTGTCGACCACCTGAGTTCGCGACACCACTGGAGACGCAGTGGGCAGCTTCAGTTCCACAAAGCAGTCTGCCTTGGACACTGCAGCAAAGATGTAGACATGTCTCAGAGGTACTCTACTCAAATGTGTCCCTTCCCAATAGCTCCTCATTTTCTGGTTCTTGTTGTATTATAAACATGTGAAAAATTAAAGCTGAACTTAAGAAAAAAAAATCTGGAGAATGAAGCAAATATACCTTTGAACAGTAGCAAACTGCTGCATATTATTTTTTTTTCATCCAAAGCATAAAGCCCCGTATGAAGGGAACTGCTGTATGAAATAAAAGGGAAGTTCTCCCTATCACAAAAGACTACTGCATGGTATCAGGCCCAAAGCAAAATCCTTCTCTTGCCATCACTCAGTTTAGTCTCTTACAGACTTCTATTAATTTGCCATAAGCTTACTGCAGGAAATGCAGCTTTTACCTGAACACTTTCATTTACAAAGTTTTGCTTCCAGAGTCAAATATCTAACATTGTATTAGATGAAGGAACAACTCGATTTTTAAGAGAAAAGAAAGCAACTTCAAAGTCTTTACCTCTATTCCACTTTTTGAGATCGATTTCTTTCTTAAGATATAAATAGGGGCAATACACTGTGTGTAGGTTTACGAAGCTGCCATAATAGTACTACGTGTGTTGCAAGCATTCACTGAACAAAGCAACAGCTTTCTTAACACCTCGATCAAATACTTACACAGATCTGTACCCCTGATGTTTCTGGCACGGAGAACTTTTACTGTTAGGTTGTAGTAAGGGTGCTTCTCCCACTGAAAAGACAGGAACAGACTCAGCAGAGCTCGACTTCAACTTGAGCCTCTTCTAAAAACCATGTGAGTGTCCGGGCAAGTGCAGAGATATGAACCAGACCAGCCCCACAACCTATAAATAACTCCCAGCTTTGGAATAAGAGCAATACCATAGGAGACTAGAACAAAATTTAACACCCCTTCAGCAAAGCAGTGAGTGATGTCTTAGGCTAACTCTTCACTCTTTAGAGAAAAAAAAAATAAGAAGCCCCTTATTTAGGATTTCCTCTAATTACAGATCAATTTGCAACCGCTTCATTAACTCACTGCTGCTGAAGGATAAATAGACTGAACCTACTCCAAATAATTTTCAGCATGACTTGAATAGTTTAAGAGAACGTGCCAAGGACACATATATCTGTGCAACAGCAGACGTGCCAAGAAGCTGAGTGGCATGAACTGAAGAGGTAAGGAGCACATGCAGTTTAAACGCCGGGGGCAGGGGAAGAAAAATATTTCAAAGACTCCCTCTCTTGTATTTCATGGCATATTTCATGGCTCTTTAAGCAAGAAAAGATTTTGTCTTTAAATTTACATCCTTGCTGGACTGTTCCTGCTACTAGCGCTGTAATTGTGTGCGCTGCTTTAATCAGCATAGATCCAAATGTAACCCTTGTTCTTGCAAGCTTCTGGGATGATATTTTTGGAAGGTAATATTAATATCTAAATACCCTAATGCAAAGTTAAAAAAGGCTCAATCCTAGAAAAACACGACAGCAGGGAAAGGGCTGGGGAAGACATGAAAAACTATCTCAAAAGGTATATAGTGCTGAGACCAGAGACCCAGTATTGTGTAAGACTAGAAATGAATGGGATCCTGCCCCTGCTCCATCAGTTACAGCACCGTCCTGGCCCGCTCAAGTCCTGTTAGATTCTGAAAACACATTTCAAAAATGTTTCTATAAGTGGTTGCTAATTGTATGTTCCTCATTTCCTGCAAAGTTAACTTGAGGCCACAGAATTTAAATCTCATATATGTTAGATATTTATTGAGAATTGAAGTCAATAGGATAAGTGCTTATACAAAAGTAGCCCTACATAGCACTAAACAGGATTTAAAAATAAAACAACAGAAGAGTGGACTTTGCTCAAGCAGGCTCTACCTTATAAAGGGAACTGTATTTTCTAGCTTATAAAGACAGATCACAACCTTAGTAAAGCTGTTGTATACTGGGGGAACTCTCTACATTCTTAACGCTTTAAGATATTTGCTAGTATTTGCAAAAGAAGAGCACGGTAACACCAAGACATGCATATTAGACTGCACAACTTCACCTTAAGTGAGTGCCATCCACCCTGAGCACCCAATGAAGTTAAGCATTCCTTCAGGTAAAATTACATGGATAAGCTAATTCAGAGATTTCACACTCAGGTGCCACATTAAGTCTGTGCAAACAAGTGTAAGTTACACTGTTTTTACCATTAAAGAGCTCATTTGCAACAATAATATGTTGAAGATGACCCTTTTGTTTCTGGGATCAAAATGTGCTTTTGTACTTAACTTTACCTGGAGCTCTGCTTCTCAGATGGTAATTTTTCTTCCTTGGTGAGCCTTTCCTAATCACCTTTATTTTCTTAGGTCACTGACACCAGTTTCTCAGGTAAAGTCTGCCCCCATCCCCTTCACCTCCCCAAGTTGGGAAATGGGCTACCCAAGGAAATTCCAAGTCCTGAAGACTGCAGGAACCAATGGCTCAAGGGTGTTGCAGCCCTCCAGGCTGTTGACAAGCAAAACTGTGCAATCCCACCACTGTCTAAGCAACCCTTCGCTAGCGACTGCTAGCGACGTCAGCCCTCCCCGATGGCCTCAGACTGAGACACTGCAGCAAAGGCGGCGCAGGCTGCGAAGACTCTGCCCTGCCCTGCAGCCCGCGCATCCTCTTGCTGCGGAGATGCCCCTGCACGGAGTCACGTGCCAGCGGGAGAGGTAATCCCCTTCCAACGGTCCCCAACCAAAGTTGATCCGTAGGCAATCATTATACGGCCGAGGGTAAGTTACAATTTAGGTGTGGGGAGCAAAAGGGCCATATAACCACAACGCGTCTCAATTTGCTCCCGAGCCTGTGTTATCAGTTATAGCAGAACCTCCCCTCTTATCTTTGCTAGTTATATTTTAGCTGAGGCAGAGCAATGCTGTAACCCGTGACAAGGTGAACTCACAGAGTAAGGAAGCATGGGAATATCAGGTGTGATTTATCTGATCCCAAAGGAAAGGTAGGCAAGATGTGCATATGGGAAATTCCTGGCGGAAGAGCAGCTCTCTCTAGATGCTGGTGGTCTGTGGTGTACACACAGGACAGATACAAGAAACCAATTTCTATTTTACTATTTCCTAGACCCTTTCTTCAGAGCTCAAGGGCGCATATGTGAAGAAAAAAAAAAATCAAAAAAAAAAAACCCAAACCCCAAAACAACACACATCTATCTGCACCTTGCATCTAAGCCAAAGGTGTTGATGAGGTAGCTGGGGACTGAATTGCAGGTTACAGAATCCAGTAGTTTTCATTATAACCCTGAATAACTGCCTGGAAAAGAGCAGCATGTCAGTGCTAGGGACTCTCTACGGGTGCAGAGGACCCCTCACAAACAAATTCAATACAGAAAGGTTCTCAATGCAGGGAGGAAGCAGCAGGACAAAGTGGCTACCACAAAGAAGGGTTGGGGAAAAGGACCCCAGCCCCCCTCACCTTGCTCCTGCTTCCCAGAGAGCAGAGCTGCCCACAAATCCCATCCTCCCCGTTCCAGGGCAACAACCACAAACCAGGGAAGGGTGATCCCGTTGTCACTACCTTAACTGCTGAGGCTGTACTGCATTATAAACACAAGGAGGTTAAATCATAGTTAATCTTTGCCGTACTTGAAAGCATTGTGGGTAAGGTACACGGAGAAGAGGGAAGGAAAGTTAATCCAGGGTGTTCTGAAAGAAAACACCTATTTTTGCCCCCATTGACAAAAAGCCAGGAGGGTGCTGCCTCTCTGGAAAGCTACTAGTTTAATTCTGTTCCCCCAGACCTAAGGAGATAGCCCTCCTCTGCACTCACATGCAGGCTCCAGCTTGAGTAAAAACCTGGAACCTACTCTACCATTGTTATTACCTGGAATTTTCCTCCCGTGAGCTATGCTTTGATATGTTATCGCCAAGCACAGGGCTGGTTTTCCACGCGTGCGGCAGGAGGAAGCCGCTGGCAAGCGGCGCGCCAAGGAATGTGATCCCACAGCGAGTGCCACGGTTCACCTTACCCGCCGGTGGAAGAAGCCCGTCTCCCTCCTCTCCTTCCTCTGGAAGAGCACAGCGGCCAGCAAAGGCAGCACGCGGGGCGGCACTGGGCCCCGCAGCAACTCATGGAGCATGGGAGGAAAGGATCCGGGAAAAGCTCGACAGGAGCACAGAGGCCGGACGGCGTTCCCAGAGCAGCGGCGACGCCGGGCTCCCGGTCCTGGCTGCAGCTCGGCGGGGAGAGGCGGAGGTGTGGCCTGGCGCTCCCACACGCGGCAGTGGGACAGGCGAGAGGTAAGGGCGGGAAAGGCGAGAGCTAAGGGTGGCCGAGCAGAGAGCCATGACGCTGCGTGTGGGGGAAGGTTCCACGCTGCCATCAACTCGCAGCCTCCAAACCCTCAGAGCAGAGGTCCTGCCTCGGCTCCAGCAGCCTGACTTAGGCCTGGGACCACAGCACAGCCCTCCTGAGGTTCAACACACCCCAGAAGCACGTTTCTAGATAGAAAGAAATCCCCATCTCGCCAGCCCCAGGCAAAGCCGAGCTCGCCACTGACAGCACCTCTTTAGGAGGAGCCCTGAACCAGATTCACCTGAGACCAGATCCAGTCTTCAGCAAAATGCATCAGGGAATACTGACCCTCTCGCTGCTAGGGCAGAATGCCTGAATCTCTCTCATTTCTCATTTCTGTGAAGCAAGTGTTCTTGAAAATTTGTACAGTGGACAGGGCAGATTTTTATGGACCTCTCTTATTTAGGAGAAACTATTAAGATGGAATCCATTTTCTGTGATCAGATTCATTAAGGGCTGTTGGCAATTTGTTTCTCTGGGGCTTCTTCAAAGAAGAAACTAAATCAGCAGACCAAAAAAAAAAAAAAAAATCAAGTGTTGAAACAACTAGAAAGCAGTAAGGGGATGTATGAGAGCTGTCCAGCAGCATGTCACCATCACAGACACGAGAACGTGACACATCCTCAACATGGTCCTACTCACTAATCATTTCCTGTCATTACTGTCAGTCACTAGATTAGAATTCAAGAAAAGTAGTAATAGAATGCAGGAACAGACATCTAGGAAAACACAAGCAGGTCAGTAATAGTTCTTAGATATTCATACTTTTTTTCATATGGAAGACAAGCAAATATAATGTCATTTAGGCAACAGCCATTGACAAATAGCTCCCTCTTAAATGGAAAGACAGAGACAGAAACAAGGGTTGAAAAAGCATCTTCTGCATGACACTACACAGCAAGATGAACACCATCACATTAGGTTTTATATGTGTTAGTAAGTAGGCAGATTAATCATAAGTGTGATTAATGTTGATATGGTCTATTTTGTATTTAAACTAACGTAGATCACTGCCTTTTAGAAAAACTAAGGCAGTCCCACTTACAGAGCTAACATTACACTTATTCTAGCAGATTATTAGAAGCAGTATTTTAAACCTGTATTTCTTCTTTAGAGGGCTCATCAGCCTTACCTGCCTCCTCCTGAAGTTCTCTGCCCTCTTCCAATGAATCTCAGTAAAGGGATGTTATGTTAACAGTAGCTCTCTTCTCAAGAGGACTGAAAGCTCTTTAAGACACATACTTGTTTCATCGTCAGCAGATCACACACAAAGTAAACAGTGGTAGTGTACATACAGTTTGACAGAACTTTGCAACATTAGGAGTCCCTGGGGAACAGGTTATGAGCAGTATCAGTCACTGACATTTCTCCTCAAACCAGTCCAGCGGATGCTGCCAAACACCACGCATCGAGCAGCTCATCTAAACAAGGTCTTCAGCAGCAAGGAGCCACAGATGGATCAGCATCAACATTAACAGGAAATGCCCAGACACAACTCTCACCATTGGATGCTTCCCCTAAAGTTCAATTTCAGAACAGAGCCCATATTAAAGATAATTAGCAATTTATAATCAAATTCATGCAGCTTTCAAGTGAAGGAATGACACAGGCCTCAGCTACCAGAGATGAGATCCCTGTGCTCTAGGGAAATAAAGGACTTTCAAGGAAGAAAGTTTTGCTCCTACTAGCAGCACTGGGAAGAGAGCTGAGGCACATCAATTTGATTAGAAGAGATCAGGATTCCAAAGGATACTCTTAAGGCATGGGGATACTTCTGGAGAAAACCAACCCAAACCTGAGAGAATCAGTATAATCAACTATCAACCCAAACCTGAGAGTATCAATATAATCAGCTGTCTGGCACAGACACAAAAGAAACAAAAAGAAACAAAAACCACACACACAAACACTACACACACACACACACACACACACTTTTACTTCCAAAGGGACAAATTTTACTTCCCATTTCTACAGAATGGTAAAAATGCATACTTTTATTTCCAACCTTATGATAGTCCTCTGTGACTTGCAACTCATTCACTTGTAACCCTGTGAGCCTAAGCATTTCCTAATTTTATCATATATCTTTCAAGAGGCCTGCAGCCAAAAACAGAAAAACAAAAAACCTTCCAGAAACACAGTATCATCACTCAAAAAAAAAAAAAAAAAACMAATAAAAAAGAGTAATTTTAATATCATCTAGAAAATACTTACTTAATGGTGCAAGACTTTCAAAAGCATTATTCAAAAAACAATTCCAAATTGTTAACAGGATTTTGGGAGCATTCACAGGCATAAAAAAAAAAAGTTCAGGAGTGGTCAACATCTGCCATAAGGTACGGCCTCAGTGGAATTAAATACATTGAAGCAGGGGGTATACTGGAAAACCCTGCATCAAGTTTCTGAGTTCCAAGAGAATGTGAAAATTAATATAATAAAAAAAACAAGGTAGTACCTTAGAGAAGCTTAACTGCACAATCACTGAAATGCACACTGGTTCACAATATTTATTACAATATATTGCTTTAGACAAACCTGTTGTGTTGTTAGTAAATCCAAACCACATTGTAAGAAAAGTTACAGCACAGACCATATCTCTGCAAAAGGTATGCAATGCAGGTGAACAGAGGCACAATCTTAACTGTGAAAGAAGAGTACAACGAAGGTCCTCGTATGTGACTACAGTTTTCCTTGTAGCACAAATAATGCAGGTAAATAAAAATTCAACTTACAGTACTAAATGTAAGACAGATGAAAAAAATCAAACAATATTATTATATCTGTATATAAAGAATATAGGGCCTTGATAAATACCCTTCTTTCTTTCTCAATTATCTGTAAACACAACTCTCTCAAATCATCTTCCCTCCGTACCTAAACTAGTATATAAAGACCTATACACAATGTGCAAATTGAATACAAGTGGGTTTTTTTTTTTTTTTAGGCTCTCTTCTTCAAATAGAAGAAATACAAGGTTAAAAACATTAACACCGTAGACTACCTCTACTCCCTCTGCAGAAAGACAGCAGCAGCACCAGCACCACCACCCGGACACCCAAGTACAGAAGTAGCAAAATTCTAGACCAAGGAATCCATAAGGATGCATGGTATATAGCAACATATATAAATACAAGTGGAAAGGGAAAGCACACACAAGCATCGGGGCAAGCATCAGCAGGAGTGAAGCTGACACACAGTACAGCTGAGGTTTGCAGCGTCTGCCACGGGTGAATGAGGATCCTTGTCTGCCTACAGCAGATCTGTTCCTTAAAAAGTGCTATGCAACAAAGGCTGAAGTAAACTGTGAAGTTCAGAGATCCCATTTCACCTTTGGCAGACAGGCTTTATTTCTTTACTTGATAACTAGGAAGTGGTATCTGGTAGTTAACACGCCATGCGCTCTACGCTACTTAATAATTACACGTTCCTAGCAAGTATTGCTAGGCTAGGATGCTGGGTATCCAAGATCTAGTTTATTGGACTATTTGCTACTGTTGCCTTCCATAACTGCTGATCAGACACTTTCTGCACCAGCTAAACATCTTAATATCCCTAATACCAGTTTGCTATAGATTAGTTTGTGGAAAAATAAATTAGACAAAAATATTACAGCCTATAAGGAGTATGCTACAATCCAGTTTTTGTAGTTAAAGACTTCTGGCCCATGTGTAATTAAGAACAGTACCAGCCTGAGCAGAACAGGGATGTTCTAAAGCATTTAAAAGAGAGACATTTACATAGTCTGGATTTTACTTCAATGCTGGAAGGTGAACCAGAGACCGAAGAACTTTATATACATATACATCTCAAGTATAGTCTAGAAGCTCAAGCAATAGTTATTTCAGTCCCTTCAAAAGCTGCTTAGAAGTTCTTCACTTTTTGGTATGATTGCAGGTATAAGCTACTGCTTAGAATAGTCTTTGAGCTTCTACTCATATTAAGAGTGACCACATTCAGTGCAAAGGGCACATAAGTTAGTTTTATTTACATCTGTCAAACTGAAGAGAAAGAAGTGCAATGCCTACCAGTGTCACCTATTGTTTGCTTGGCTACTCCTGTGCAAACAGCCTGATCTGTTTATCAGAAGATAAGGTGATAACACACTGAACATCAGTAAGTGTTCCTTTGGCCAGCATTTAGATACTTCCCTTACTGGGATGAAGGTAAAATGAAGTTTACGAATTCTTGGAATAGGCAGAGTAGCTTTTTCCATCTCTACCACCTGGTGACCTACCTCCACGTAATGTCAACAAAGCTGCAAAGACTTTGAAGGAGTTTTCTTTTTGAAGCATGTTAGAACTATTTACATACAAGGCCAAATTACATTTTTTTTTTTAACCTTAGAAGAAAGGCATTAGCAACACTTGACTTCTAGTAAACACCTTACAGTTGTCTGACAACTCATTTGCAAGGTTGGAGTGCAATAAGAGCTCACTGCTGGTCGGTTTCTGTTCTTCTACATCTGAGTGTTGAGAGGTTTGATGCAATTGCCAGCACTATAACAACATGGTTTAAAAAAGTCACTTTCTCCTAAGTCAATATTGCCAGCTGGTAAATATAGCCAGTCCACAGATACAAATGACTTCGAGCCCATGTAGGGCAACCTAGCAACAATCCTCAAAAATCTCAGAGGCACCAGCTTCTGAAGTCTTCACTTCTGAATTTCTTACGAATGTTGTAATTATTGACCTTGGCGACAAGGTCAGGTGTCCACCGTGTTGACTTCTTTAGAGCAGAAATAATGCACAACTATTGCATTAGGGTATCGGGCAAACGCACTATAAAGAGAACAGAACACAAAATCAACTTTCAATGTGAGCAAACAACTCACCTTTTCCAAACAATAACATCTCAGTAGTGTTACAATAGCAAGAGAAGCCTATATAAAAGCAACATCTTCCTGTTTAAATTTCAGCCTGAGTATTTTAGTGAAAGAACAAATGTTTGAGTGTGTGGATGTGTATTGTCATTTCTATGGGCACATTTTATTTCGAAGTTGCTACTAATAACCTTCAAAGACTGTGACATACTGACATGGCTGCCCTTTAAAGCCTCATTGATCTTCACAGCATTAGCAAAAACATAATCAAGAAAAGAAAATCAGATTCTGATGCTACAAACTAACAGCAAAAACTTGAATACACACAGCAGTAATATAGATCTATGTTCATTAAAACAGCTTGAAAAAAGTACTATCCCATATCATTGTGCAAGCAATTGATATCTCAGAAAGGTTCATATCAATAGGAAAAGAGTGAAGTATATACATGTCATTGGAGTTCTATAATGAGAAAGCAAAAACGTACAAAAAGATCACACTATTCAAGCATGTTGTTGCTCACTAGGAATAGCAGATGAAAAAAAAAGTTACAGGGATCCAGACATCAAGTCAACCATTTCCACTTTTGGATGTCCTAAGATTATCAGACAATATATAAATGACATACACAACCGCAACACCAGCACACATGCATCTCAAGCTGAGATTCTTAACCAGATCTAAGGATAACGTAAAGCAGAAGAACTAGGCAGCATTTTCACAAAGTTTTCCAAATGCAAAGTGAGAGGTGACTTTCTGCCTTCTAATGTTCTGAAGCAGTCATCTTAGCAAAACAAAAGCTTTCAGAAGCTGCTAAGTTGAAAACAGGATGAAACTCTTGCAATAAACTTCAGTGCCTGAAGCACTGGTATTTCCCCAATTATTCGGGTGATGATATTTTTTTAATTCAAACACTCAAACATCTCCTTCATGGTGATGTTCTGTCAGTACTGTATCCTGATTTGGGCAACATTTAATTTGCATAAGTATATCAAATTCATACTTGGCTTTTTTCCCCAGACTAAGACACGGGTGCTCACCTGTTACCAATCTTCTTTTTACATACAGTGCACACCTTCTCCTCTGTAATAATGCACTTCACTTGGTGATGCAAGATCCGCTCCTCCTGGACCTGTAAGAATTAAAAACACATCACTCAAAAAAAAGCAATTCTAGTCCAATAAAGCCTAAACCTGCCTCAATGTTTAGTTTTCACTGGCTACATCTACGTTATTATGTTGGACAGCACAACAGAAGCAGGTCTGCAGGGCGGATGATACTGAAGACCCAGTCGATCTGCACTACGTATTCCAGAGCTTTACTTGGACTAGTCTGATCCACAGACCACAGTATCTCAATATTTCAGCAGAACATCCCTTAATGGTTGAAGGGCATTTGGTTGAAGGGCATTTTTTTGGAACAAATACAGTCCATCCTCTCTAAGGCTATGCTGCAATGCACACTGAAGCACAGCAAATCCAAAGATTCACTGCAAAATTGCATGCCTTATCCAAACTAAAATGCACTTGCCATCTCCTGAAAAGGAGATTTTCAGTCTACTGAGAGCACCTGCTATCAGTACATGTGCTCTACAGCACCATCTAAAGGATGCAAACTGAATAAAAAATACAGGTTATGTAACTGTTGACCATCAATTTTAATACTCCATTTCAATAATTGAGAGGATGGGCACTTACCCTCAGAAACTCAGCATGGAGAAGATTCTTGAGGACTTGATTAAATCTTTTCTTCTGGGCATTTTCCTCAAGGACCTTCTCTAGGAAGATTCGAATCTCGCTCATCTGCGTGTTGGCTGGAAGCAGATTTATTGCCTAAAATAAAATAGACTTGGTCAGGAAAATAGTAGAGGACAAAAGAGAACCAATTGTCCCATTTAGCTTGATGCTGTTATAATCCTTTGTGTCTACAAAGAACAGAGTTCTTCTAAGCGTTCCTCACCTTAGTGGTGTCCAGTTTGCTGTGATGTAGCTCCAAGACCTGCAGTGCAGCCTGCAGGTTGGCTTGAGGCTCCAATACTTCCATCTTGATCGGCCCTAGGCAATGAACACTAGGTGGGGAGAGATACATCCGGAGCAGAGACAGATAGACCTGCGAAAGGAAAGATTCTGAAACCATCACATTCATCTCCAACTGATGCCATTAGAAAATAATGATGGCACCAGTAAGCTATTGGTTCACAATTCTAAATTGTTCAATTAATTTTTTTTTTAACCTTAAAACAAAAACAAAACAAAAACAACAACAACAACAACAACAACAAAACAACACAACCCTTGAACAGTTTTAGTGTTTTTCAGGACTTGCATTCTACACTGAAGTTTTCCCATAAAAGCAGTATCTCTTAATCACACCTCCTATGTCTATTTGAGCTCACTCATCTTTAGAAACCAACATATCATTTTTATCATTAGTTTTTCTATGGATGTAAATGGAATAAGAACATTATAGTATTTTAGCTTCTTTGGGACACCAGTAGAACCTCAGCTTTAAAAACTCTGTGTTTATCTCCAGTGACATGTAAACAAACACTCAAAAATATAAGATCAGTTATAGCTAAAAAAAAAAAAATCCTAAATTCCAAGTACTTATACAGAGATTCCTGTTCACTTGCAGTAGTTCTGAGAAATTTATACAAAGCATAAACTTTAAACTCCCTAGTAGGGCATAAACAGTCCAACTAACATATCCTCATAAATCAGGAAGACTACAAAGCTACTTACATCTTTGTTGCCATCTTTGTTCCTGTCATAATGTTTATGGCAGTAGCTAGAAGAGAGAAGGAACAAGAAGGAACTTAAGGAAAGCTTTGGAATCCAGAGATTCACATTGACAGAAATTAATGTTAACACTTAAAACTTACATGCAATTTTGATCAGTTAGCCTAGATCACATAATAAAACAATGCTATATGTTCTTCATCACAGTGTTCTTTAGACAAGGGAAGTTTTATCAAGTCCCCTACTCATAATGAACTTGCAAAACATCCTGATTTTAATTCAGTCGCAGAGAATTAGAAGGGTTGTTCTCCAAAACTACTGTAGCACAAAAATGTGTGTAGATAAACATAAATTATAAAAAATATAAATTATAAAAATATAAATATATAAATCATAAAAAGATATTCACTAGTTTACACTGCATACTCCAGATCAAGCATTCTCTAATTGACATTTCCTGAAACCATCTGCAAAAACAGCTAGGTTGAACGGTGTTCAGTCAGTATGGGTTAATTACATTTCACTCAAGTACTTTTAGATTTGTCCTGAACGTTCTCAGACACAAGACGTCTAGTAAAGAGTCACGTATGTAAGTAAAGAGAATCATGTTAACTCAATGAGATTAACTTTTTATCTCTGGTCTAGTGAATGCCTCTCGAAAAGATGGGACACAAAACAAACACAAGTTGTGAAGCTACGGACCAGTGGACTAAAGAACATCAGTGACATTACACTTCAGTCTAGAGCAGTTTTAATGTCGGAAGATCATGGAAAGGTCAACCTCAAAGGGACTGTATCATTATCTGTAATGCATATACCTGGAAGAGCTCAAATCAAGAAGTCTGGAAACCCAGAGGATTGCAAAAAGCTTACAGGGTTCTTGCTCTAAATACAGCAATATTTTACTACACCTCCTGTGCACAGGGCAGTGAGCAAACTAAGCCTTGTGAAAAATAGAGAGACCCTTACTTTTCAGCCATTTTGGTGTCCTTCAAAATATGGACATAAATAAAGAGAGCTTGCTCATGTTTTCCCATACGACCCAAGAGCAGAGCACGTTCTTCTAGGAGACCTAGCAACAGCATGAAAAGATTAGTCAACAGCTACATGAAGAAATAACACAAGCTCCAGACTGACAGAAGGAACTATAAATTACAGGATGAGAATAAATTAAAGTTACACTCTGACTAAATGCCTATTTGACACTAGGCACAGTACAAAGTTCAAATCTGTTGACCAACTCAGGCTTATCTGAAAGTTAGGAGAAACTATCCCGTCTTAGACGAGCAGTGAAGAGAATCCCACAGAGATTGGGAAAGATCTGGTTGTGCCTGTCACCAGAGTTAGTGTGCACACCAGTGGCATATAACTCGGGTCTACCCATCCTCTATCTTTTGTTAACATTATTCTATAATAAAATGAGATTTTTTGCTTTACTGTGGAACAACTAGGCTTCAGCTAGCCCATAGAAACTCAACGCACCATCAAAGGGAAAATCGCTAATGAGTCGACCAGGTTCATAGCAGCTGGACTTCTCGAGAAAAAGCAGCAGCTTTTTCCGGTACTCTCCCAGGTCTCCTCCTTCCTCCCCTGCAGGCACTGGGGTTTTATCTACACGTAAGGAAAAAAAACTTAAGTTAGGACGAAGATAACAAAAATAGATCATTATGAGGAGGAACTAAAAGCTACAGCACAGACTGAGAATCAAGTGTATCTGCTAAATTACCTTACCTCCTTAAAACACATTGAGGGAGTGGCTAGAACAGAAAGTTATTCAAGACTCTTCCCTCACCTTTAATATCAAGGATTCAGAGAATAGTTGCTGCCATTCCCTGAGGAAGAAAGTGTCATTTGACCCCCAAGATTTCTAGAAATACAAGAAATTAGATTCCCCTATAAACTCCTAACCTGTATATTTCCAATTCCTTTATTGCTTGAGATAACACTTGGTATGAACAGTGAAAGCTTACAGCTTTGAAGTCTACCCCATGCTGTGCCATTCCCCTAATCCTCCCACCAGAAGAGGCTGGGCATACCTGCAGGGAAAGAACTGAGATACTCTTTCATCAAGCCCTGCACCTTCTCACAGTATAGCTGGATGAGACAGTTGTGAAAATCCGCACCAGTTTCTTCCCAGACATGAATGATGTGTTCCTGTAAATAGATATTGAGGTTGAATTGCAGATGATTCCATTAGAACATGATTTGTTATAAGTAATAGTTTCATGCTTCCTTTGACCAAGTCTGACTTTAGGATTTCGTATTTTTGAGTCTCACTCTGCTTGCTTCCTCTTAATTATTTGACAACATCAGATTCCAAAGCCAAGAAAACCAAAGTCACACAGGTATCATACTGTACCAAACATAATGCATTGTTACAGACTGAATTCTTACCAGGTAGGGAATAGCCAAGCTCTTAAAATTTTCCTTCAAGAAACTGAGCACTTTGTCTCGTGGCAAAGCTTCCACTTCAGGGAGGTCTTCTGTAAATATCTGCCAAAAATTATTCATGGAACAATTTTTAAATCTGGATTTAGTAATATCTGGACTCCCACAGATTTTTTTTTTTTTTTAATATTACAGATTATATACCATATTATTGAATATCTTGTTCTCCCCATTCCATACACCTCAGTAATACTCTTAAAAGCAAGTCACCTGTTTCAGCCACACTTACCTTCAGCCCATCTTCTGGAAAATCTCTCAGCACCCAGACAGAGTAGGAGAATACCAAGTGTAAGTTCTCTGTGCCTAGAACAAACAAACAAAAACAGTTAATACTAAATTCATAACGATTTACCTGCTTGCAGCACAAGCAGATACTTTCAGAAGCAGCAAAGCTTCACCTAGAGGAGGAATCCTTTCTGCAAATCACACATCCCAGGCGAAAGCCCAGTTTCATTACTTTGCAAATATGACTTCAATCAGAAATGAACATTAAGTCAAATACAAAGCTCCAGAGAATTTAAGTAACTTACAACTACATCAGGCTCAATTGTCTTAAGATTGTTTTGTGTGGTATGAACAGCTTGCAGTGTAGGGAAACAATTTCCACTAGACTAGACTGTACAACACTCACTGAGACTAGTTAAATGAAGGACAACAAATTAATTCCCCTTTAGAACAAGGGACAAAAAAAAAACCCCCAACAACAAAAAAAACACCACACCACCCCTAACAGCTCATAAACAGGGGATCAATTATATCCATTCTAAAGCAGTGTCAAATCCATTACCGTTGCTGAAATCACTAACCTACAGCCTATTCAAATCCTCAAGATGACAGGAGAAGGAACTCATCAAGCAACTATCCAAAAGTTTATAGATCAGCATACCGCAAGGCCAACATCACATCACACCACACAGCAAACCAGCAGGCTCCCTCTGCACGTGCCGTTCAGCTACACGGGGATTTCCACCCAAGGTGACAGGCAGGCAAGGGCATTCTGTACAGGCAGCAAAGTGTCTACTCTGTCCACACACACACACACACACCAAGCATCGAATCCAAAACAAAAATGTTTATTTGACAATTTAAGAAACTACAGCCAACGATGTAAAACTAGGAGATGAACAAAGACGTTCCCTGCCATAAGCTATGCACAGTGGTTTACCAAACTGGAAGTGCGACTGCACTGTAGATTTAGAAGTAAATATTTTATTGAATGGAAGAATTATTAACCAAAAATAGCAAATTCTCAAAGAACATGGGAGATCACAACAAATAGGCAGCCAACCAGTTTCCTGACATGATTCTGCAACAACTAAACCTGTAGGTCATAGCCTAATCTATACAAAATCTATCTAAATGAAATTTTATATAACATTCTTCCAGTTCTTGGGACATTTGCTGAAAGGAAGTCAAAATTTCATCTGGAAAAAAAAATCTAACTTGAAAGCTTGACTTTCAGCAGTGATAAATCATCACTAGAATGAACCAAAAATATCCTAGACTATATTCTCTTCCAAGGTAAATTTTTATCAGAAAGAAGGAGCATTTTCCATAAAGAGATGCTCAAGTTTGAACAAGACTCCCTTGAACTAACGCTTAAGGCTTGCATTATGCAGGAAACCATATTAGGTAGCAATATGAACCTGACAATCTAGCTATATTTGTCCAGTAACTGTAGACACACACAAATATGTATGCTATACAATTATATATATACACACACACTCACATTTTTTATATATATGTCTTTTTTTATATATATATATATATATATTTGTTCAGTAACTGCAGGCTAAAAAACAGTCTAGTAACTGCATGATATATTGTTTTTATAAACTCTTAATGTATAGAGCCTTTGAGCAAGATTGGTTTTTCAACACAAGTTGTCTGTACTCAATTTGTATGTCCATGAAGTTCTAGACAAGACAAATTTGCTTATCACAAGAAAAGAAGGTAAAATAAGCCAGAAAATGCAAGACAGCTTCAACACGCAAGGAGAGCAAATTCCAAACTCCAACTGCATTTATTTATAAATATATATATATAAAATATATATAAAGTATATAAGTAAATAAAAGGCAACACAACTAATCTCAAGAAGAAGACATCTTGCTTTAAATAGCCTCTACGCCTCACTTACCCAAGTGCTGCAGATATTGCACTGTCCTCTCATGACCTTTCAAAGGTGAGTTGGCTTTCTTTGACTGATCCACTAGTACCTGCAATGCTTTCAGAAAAACCAAAGGGTTAATTCTATTGTAGCCAGATCAGCATCATTCCCACTTTGACTATAAAAAAGGCATTTTTCTTGTCCCACTATAGTCAGAGAACAAAAAGAAAGTTCTGTTTTAAACACAGAGTTGGACAGGTAACCGGAACAAAGATAGACTTCACCCTGAGAAAAATCCAGAAACAAAGTCCCTTCTGCATTCTGCCTGCTCAGTCAAGACAAATGAAAACTCAGGCTAGAATAGGCATGTGCCTATTCTTTCTCTTCTCCCCACACCAAGCTCATACCTACCCTTCTCATGCAGGCCTTTCTTCTCATAGAGTATTATCAGCTCACTGTATTTGTGTGCCTTCTTTAACACATGCTCGCTCTCTTCAATGTGACAGTGATTGTTCTCCAGACGCAGCAGTGGTGCCACCAGCGCTACATTTGTCTGTAAGCAAAAAATGAAAGCATTTAATCATTTGTCTAGTGTGAACCTAAACTCATGGAACCTTCTCCCTTTCTTGAGAGCCCAGAGAAAAATCCAAGTCTTCTAGTACAAGATAGATCGAGTTAACAGCACAGAGCGAGTCCTGTACACTTTTCACCATTTGGTGGAACAGAAGAAAATAATGTATTTCTTCCAGAATAGAAGCCAGCTTTGAAAACAAGCTTGGCAGCAATGTTTGACAAGCAGCAGCCACACAAAAATGGACACTCCTGCTTTGTTCCTTGAAATTACTTCCTCATCAGTGAGGAAAACTAGCTAAGACCATAAAGTTTCACAGGTCATTTATTCTTCTTAAGACCAAAGTGAGACAATTTCATGAGGACTTCTAATTTAGCTTCTTATGCTGCTCAAGAGTTTTGGCCTGCACTTCTGACTAAGTTTCTATTATAAAGCAGAGACCTCTACGACACATAGAAACTCACATGGAGGTAACACTTTAACAAGGTGGTATCAATGATTTGTAGCAGCTTCTTTTTGGATTTGATTGTGGGTGTTCCTTCCATGAGGGGTGAGGTACTGGACTGATGGTCAGAATCATTCAGCTTCTTTACCAGATGACTTCTCTTCTACAAGACATTAAATGAAATTTTAACAGGAAGAGTCCGCAGATTGTGCTATACCATTCCCAGAAAATAAAGAGACTAAATTCAAATAATTTAGTAACTTATTTTATCAACGTACTCTTTTCAATCACATGCAGGCATACAAAATTTAGAAAAATTGCAAAACAAATATGCAAGATATCCAGTCTTGAAAAAACAGGCAGCAGGAAATTTGCTTAATCTGAACAGAAATATTTCGAAGAATTCAGAACATTTAAAATATTTGAAACATAACTGAAATTTTAAATTACTGTGCACACAAAAAAAGCCTGCTTCACACAGAAGCTTCCTTTTGGTTATTCAAAAAGCCCCCAAAACAATTCAAGAGCTCAAGTCTACCTCAGAGGACTAACAAAAATAAAACAATGCACCCAGATTAGATGCAATTCAGAACTAAATTTTGCCCAGTCCCTCCCGTCACACGTGAGGTCCTCCCCTTTTCTAGGGCACATCTCGCACCGTCTATTTCTCCTGCGGGAGCTGCTGTCACATTTTCCAACTAGGAAGACGACCCATTAAGGCTGGCCTGACAGAGATGACATGTGCTGCTCCTTGTGCAGAAAGGTAAGTGCAATTAAACAAAGAGACTATGCTAAAACCGAGTAACACTGCTCTAAAAGCTGAAGCAGAAGCACTCACTTGAGTTAGGTAGTCTATGAGAGCCAGGTGTGCCCTCTCCAGCTCTGCCCCAGAGAGCCCTGGCAGCGGGTTGGGATACTGTAGCTGTTTTCTGTAATCGGTGGGCAGGAGGTCAGGGTACAGACCCATCACATGTGTGGGATCTAAGCAATGAGAAACAAAAAAAGTATGACTAACTGTGTATGGCCTACTGTTTTTACAAACTCTTAATGTATGTAGTCTTTGAGCAAAGTTAGCTTTTCAACAGTGGCCTGTATTCAGCTTGTACCTCCATGACATTCCAGACAAGAGAATTGCTTATCACAGGAAAAGAAGGTAAATCAATCAGAAGCAACAAAAGATGGACACTTTCAAAGTCCAAAGAGGACAAATTCCAAACTGTATCTGTCACACTTGTAGGACAAGCCATTACTATAATCCTTTTATTGCTCTTTTGCAGAATCCCAGCATTAGCAACTTTGATAGCAGGACAGAATTTCTGGGAACAGACACTTTTTTAAGAAAAGATTTACTGAGCTTTCAAACAGAAGACAAGGAATTGAACAGCCACCCATTAACTAATGAGTATCCATCTTCATGGAGTTGAAGCAAATTCAAAATTGCTATCCTCAGACTTAAATTCAAAGTATTTTCAGCTCTCAATCTTTCTCTTTCATCGTAATATTCTGAAGTAAATGTGATGCAAAGTGTCATCCAGAAAAGTAGGTTACATATTTTGTATTACTAATAGTTCTAGGTTCAAATGCACAAATACCAATGATCACCAATAAAAGCATGGCAATATTAAGCACTATTCTACACTACAGGCCAGTCTTCCAATAACACTGCTATGAACCAGAGGAAAAGCAGAGTCTGTTTCAACTTTCATAGTCACATATGGCTCCCAACTTCAGCAGCCTGGTCCAAACAGGAAATAATTGATAATTCTAGTTTTCTTTGCTCAGAGTTCAAAGATCTAGTGAAGAGACAGACATTCCTTTTTTTTAACTCCACGTTGCATCTCAACTTTTGTTGCCTGCTGAAACCTTCAAACTTCAAGGATTTGTATACACGGCATGCAAACTGCAAAACAGGCTACAACAGAAATGTGTTCTGCACAAAGAAAAAATGCACAATTTAACCTAAATACCTTCAAGTGAAGTACCATGAACAAAGAAAGAATAAACAGCTGCCTGGGGTACTTCTAATTTACAGGGAGCCAGTCTGCAAAATGGCAAGAAATTTTTTAAAAGCTAACTCTGTCAACTTCATTTCATCTCTCCTACCCAAGGTATCTAGACCAGCCCTAGTATTTACCTGTACCAAGCTTTGCAAAAACTTGCATGGATTCATCAAAACGCTTCTGGCAGAAGAGGTTGAAGGCAAAGAGGTTCTTAATGTGATGAATTTGTTGTCGCTTCTCACTGTCTGAATCATCTTTCATTTCCTGCACAAACACAAATTGATGACTATTGAACACTCTTGGGGCTCAGAGGCAAGAATGAAACACTAGAGAAATAACAAAAGTATTGTCCTTAGAGGAGACTAATAAATCCCTAACTTTGTCAAAAAGCATAATGTGCATGTCAAGTCAGTTCTCAAATATTATGTTCACTGTACTACTGATATAACCCAAAAGGTTTGAAAGGCTACCTCTCATTATCTATATATTCACTACCGCAGCACATCTACTGATTTGCCTTTAAGGTGGTTTTCAGAATAACAATGTAAGACAAATTTGTATTAGTGAAATCCCAAGGAATTTTATGAGTAAAAAATCCTGAAACCAAAATTCTAAAACAGTATGAGCAAAGCAATCAAATATATTGATTCACAATCTGTAAGAAAAGATAATGTTTCAGAAATACCACAGAAGACATTCTTGGTTATCTTACAAAAGAAAACACCACCCAAGCCCCAAACAAAACTGCTTACAAGTACTCTAAAGACTTGAAAGTCCAACTGACTTAAAGATTGCAAGAAAGGAACTGACTAGACATATGTGAGGAGTAATGCTTTGCAAAAGAGAGGACATCTCAAAACTTAAAACCACAATGGATCAATACGGAAAACTGACAATAAAAGGATAAAAAAGTAAGAGTGAAAACGCACTAAAGTTTGTCAGCTTGTGCAAAGCTGACAGCAGAGAGGCTCAGCTCTCTGAAGCTCTCCTGGTTGGTTGGAGAGAGCTCTCAGCTCTCCAGGAGAGCTGATATTCTGAGCTGATATTCTGCGAAAAGCACATTCCACCTCAGACAGAAAGGATAACTACTTACTGCCAACTGCAGTGCCAGTTCAAACTGCTTGTCTTGGAGAAGCTGCTGGATCTGTGTTGCTATGGAGACTGGAATGAGCCGCCAAACAAAGTGATTACTTGCCACATATATAATATTTGTGCTGGAAAGAAGACAAAAGGTCAGAAAGTCAGCTACCAAGTTCCAGCACCGAGAAAAAAGCATTATCTCATCTGAAATGAACAGTGCTTGTTAATACACATGCTGATCAACCAGCTACGGGGGGAACTCAAGCAACACTGCAGAGCTCAAAGGAGAGGACATCTCCAGTGCCTTGAAATGCCCAAGGACCCTTAGCTCTATGATCTGCTCCTCATTGTCCTGCCACTACCCTTGTGCTCATAAAAGATCAAGGATTCAAAGCGCTACAACACCCAAGAGCTCAGAAGAAGCAATAATCAGCTTTACAAATACCCTCCAGAGGTGATGAAGCGTGGCCTCTGCAGCTCAATGCTCTGTACCAGCAAACGAGGTTCAAAAGTGCGGATCTCCACATACCTTGGCAGAACAGCAATAATGTAGGGAGGCTGATGCTCTGTGTGAAATAGATCAAACATTTACATTAATCTTTCTCAAATACACTTTGAAGTGATCCATAACTCAAAGAGTTAAATTACTTTTTTTTTTTTGTTCCTACAAGGGAAAAAAAAAACTTCAACAACAACAACAGAAAACCTTCCCTTTCCTATTTTGTTCCCCTTAAAATATGTCTTTTTTGCTTATCAAGGAACTTAACACCCAAGACAGACAGCAATTTGCTGGCAGAGTACTGTAAAGCTTTTTGCTCCTCTTTCAATATACAAAATTTCTGTATCATTTAGCTGCTGAAAAAAGCTGGTGCTCTAACACTGCACTGTCTTTCAGAGCTTCTCTCTTTATTTCTATTTCTGTGATTCTACTCCTGGTCTGCATGCCTCTCTACTTTTCAGAAGGTGTATTGTTTATAAACAAATGCAACTCTTCACACCTGAAAAGTACAACCTGTAATACCCCAAGACTTGTCACACTCAGAATCCAGTTAGTTTCTAAATATCAGGAACACAAAATCATGATCATGGTATTCCAGACTGAAGGGAAAAACAAGAGACTACTGCTCATTCTCACCCATTGCTATAGGAATATCTGTCCAGTTCAAGGCACACTTCTGGGTACAGACCCCATCCTCGTTGAGCACTACAGTCAGATCATCTTGGCCAACTGCAACTTTTCCATCTGCTACAGGGGCCACCAATGGTTCTAACTGTTTCCCTGTAGGAAACAGTTCTTTGATGGATCCTCTTCCATCCACCTAGAACAAGAATAAAGAAAAACACACCATTGCTCAATGTAATGCATATTTCAGAACTGTAGAAGACCAAAGGTCTAAAAACCAAAAAAGTCACTGCACGGCAGAGGGCTTCACAACTCAGATTAATCACTAAAAGGACAAGTGCAATTTTAAAGACTAGCAACAGGAAAGTTTCTGGATATCAGCATCTCTTTTGTTCATGCATCATTCAAAAACAAAATGTTAATATCTTTTGTGCCTGAGGTAGCATATATCTATATCTACCTGAGCAGGTAATTCATATAAGCATTCAAAATACATACCACAGAAATATCACCAGAGAAAGTGTCTGAACATCTCTGTGTAACTTCAGGATTTTACAATATGGTCAAAAGCCAATTATAAATGCAGAAATTATCAACAAATATAGCTACCAAATGAAGCAAATTTCACCAAAATCACTACAATTCCACAAAAGGACCAAATGGAAAGGAAGAGAACAAACAAAAAAGGTTAAGTTACACTGTCTATTAATTAAGATAATCTGGATCTTTTTGCTTTTTAAGCATGGCTCTTTTTCTAATACATTAAATAAAAATCAAGATGGGCTTAACACAGATTGTTACTGAACCAAGAGCATATTCCAATATCATTTTTTTCTACAGTAGTTTCTACTACCACTTTCAACTGTGCTAAGAAGAAAAATCTCTTCCTGACAAAATATGCCCTCAGAGGCATTTAAATTTGTACTTTTTCAAAACCACATACAGCAAGGGTACAAAACACTGTCTTCTCATGTCTCATAACTAAATCCTTAAGGATAAGAGCAGCCTACTTAGAGTCTACTGTGATCCAAGTTTCCTTATACATCCTCTTGCAAACGTCAATCTTACCCGTATCAAATAATAATCCCTCTTGAAACCAACACAGATGGAGCTTTCACACCAGGCCATAGACTTGGGTACATCAGGTACACTTAAGTCCCCCTGAAAAAAAAAAAAGTAAAAATGCATGTTATCGGAAGAGGCAGGGAGAAGCTGCATCAGGTATCAGAGAGAGCGACAGGCAGCACTGTTCTGCTCTGTTCTGTTCCTGGCCCCTGGATGGCAGTTTTGAACTAAAGGCCAGATTCATGCACAAGAGAAAAGTGTGCTCTCAATCAACTGCACAGCTTCCTGCACAGGACCAGTGTAGCTGAACTACAGAAATGTGTAGAAAGTTACTCTTCTTTAAATCATTCTTCTGATATTCAGAAGTGGAATTCCCTGCATTTGCTGTCAGTACCTCCCTTCTGACATCCTGACATGCTTGGAAGCCTTTGGGTAAAAGAGGACCCACTGCCACTGCAATATCACTGATGTACAAGGATACCACGTGTGAAATGTTACCAGAATACAGAGCAGTCTTTGGTTTAATTTATGAAACTGAATTAATGCCATTATTTGCCATTTCACTCATCTATTTTCTCCGTAATTAGAACAACTGCTATGTTAAATCACCACAGAACCAACAGGACTCAGTACTCAAAGTCAGCAACATTGAGTAGTGAGTAACATGACGGTGAGTAATGGGGACTTCACAGCAGTGAGTAAAGAGAAACTGTACCCCAGAGTGAGGCACATCAGACCAACAGAAGCAGCACAACTCACCTGTAGTTCATGAAATTCTCTGTCCTTCCAAAAATAAAGCTGCAGCTTCTTCCTTACTGCAACACACATTCTCAGCTCCTCTTCTCCTGTACCTGAATGCTGTGAAAACACACAGACATAACAGGTCTAACACACAGACATAACCAGAAGACCCAGAAAATGAAATGAGGTCAGAAGCCTCAAATTGAAGCAAAGCTGTCAGCCAAAGAGAGGCCTTACTCATCCCCTCACCAGAGGGGATTTCCTAAACAAGGAAGCACAGACAGAAGGGTGATGCAGTACTTGAGCATCAACTGTGGTTAGATGACAGAGATTGTGACACCACAGAAATAACACATATGTTTATATATATAAACATATATATATATATATCACTAAAGATGTGCACACAGCTAAAATCATCAGGATTGAACACGTAACTTGCCACAGGACTAGGATAAACAGATCGAACTCTTTGTTTAGGAGATTTGAGGAAATGGAACAACCCAGAACATGTTACACTGATGGCTGAAAACATTAATAGCTGTGTTTTAGATTCTGGTCTATTGGGAAAGTTTCCTGATAACACCAGCAAATTCAAATCCAATACACAAATAAAGCATTCTGGAATGACTGGACTCAAATGCACTTTATAAGACATAACTAGTCTTAAAATTTAGAAGAGTTATGTACTTATTAAAAATGATTTGATATTTAGCTCCCATGCAGTGAAGATACAAAATGACTGAGGATAGACACTAAATCACTCTTTTGGTTATGAATAAACTTTCTGGATAACATAGGTAGGGTGAGCAACTCCTCTGGATAGGAAGGACTAACTTTTATAAACCACAGAACATGAAAGGAAGGTTCTTATACCCTATGGAACTCTGCTCTGAATTAGTCACAGTTGCCCAAAAAGAGCGCTTGAGATACTTGGAGAAAAAATAAAAATAAAAATAAAAATAAAAATAAAAATAAAAATAAAAATAAAAATAAAAATAAAAATAAAAATAAAAATAAAAATAAAAATAAAAANAAATAAAAATAAAAATAAAAATAAAAATAAAAATAAAAATAAAAATAAAAATAAAAATAAAAATAAAAATAAAAATAAAAATAAAAATAAAAATACTGAAGTAGAACATTGGTAGCCTAGGAAAGGAATAGCTTTTATAGTGAAGAGAGTACTTCAAAAGGAGACCTTCGAAGTTCATAGGGTAAGAATTCACAAAGATGACAGGATAAAGATGCCTTAGAGATTGGTATCAGAAGGTGAAAGGCTACAGTCTTAACAGGCAGCTCTCTTACAGAGAGCAAGAAGAAAAATAAAATGCCTACACCCAATTTTCTTACTTAATAGAGACTCCTACAAGCATAATGAGGTAATAAAGTCCAAGTGGCTTGTACATAACACCAAACAAGTCAGCTTTGCCCAGCAACATAAAAACAAACAACTGTCCTTATTGCAAAGCACCAAGGGTACCTGTGACACTGTGTTCCTCCTCTTACCTGGAGATCACAAGTGAAGAGGGATGCACCTTTTGCCTTGGAAACTGTAGTGATTTGTTGAAATGTCAACAGGTCGTGGACATATATATTATTTTCTGTTTTAAACAAAATTCCAATTACTGTTCAATATTTAATACCTGTAGAGCTCAGGACTAATTCAAAGAAATTATCACAGTTTATGTTTACAGTAGAACTTGTGAAAGAAATTAAGAGTTGTAAGAAAGGAAAAATGAACATTTTGCAGCAACTGAGAAACAAGTGCTGATGTACAGGAATACATGCTGATAAACATCAGAAAGAAGACTAGGAGCAGCTTCAGCAAAATGACATAAAGGGACTGAGTTCAGGCACTAAGTTAGCAGAAGAAGCAGGACTGAAAGGGACAGCAGGCAAACCAGAGCAGAGCAAGTTTCCAACGGAATATTGTACAAGCAAGGGCCATTCCAACTGGCTCCTCCAGGCAGTGGGAAGGGAAGAACATTTTGTGCGCACGAGGACGCAGGCAGCAACAACCTACACATGCTGGGGACTGAAGAGCTGGGACTTGGGAGATGATCAAGGAGGAAGTAGCAACATAAGCAAAAAAAAAAAAAAAAAAGGCAGGAAGATCATGAGGTTAAGTCAATTTAGTCAGGATCAAGCAAACTTAAGACCTTCCACAAGATGGAGAATGACTGCTGTGCACACAGAAGCAGACGTGGGCATAAGGCATTGACATCGAGTTTCACACACCAGATGAATTTCTTTGTGTAAACGTGTGTTTGTGCATAAACACCACCAAACATATACACTGTAGGCAAATTCTTAATCACAGCAGCTTGTGTTCATACTTTGCTCTCCAAGCTGGTTTATGACAAGCAAAGCTGCTCCTCAGTCTGTGCTGCATAATGCTGCCTCTGCACAGCCGAAAAGCCTAAATCACAGGCAGTGACTTTTCTACACCTAGACAACGATGCGGCTGTGCAAGATGGGGTGTCACATTCAGCCAAGGAACTGTACCAAGAAGAACTCACTAAATATTAAAATGTTTTTCCCACTTACCTAATAAACTGACCAGAATTTTAAACTGGGAGACAACGTGAATCTGAAAGAAATATTTTTATGAGACTGTATTCACAAACCCACCATCTGACTGAAGCTTTATTACACATATAGTTAATATGGTTTAAAATATAGATTTAAAAAAAAAAAAACAAACAAATACACAACACAGCACATACTCACATGCACTTAAAATAATGAAAACATCAAGGCAACTATTGATACATTGCCTCCCCTGCAGGTACTGTAACCTCCCTTGTTCACAAACACCCAAATTTTACAAGCTAGAACACAGAGCTTGCAATCTATATTTTAAGAAAGCTTGGAATAGGGAACACGTACTAGTACAAAAGTATATGTAAAGGATATGCAGGGTGTTAACCAAGAGTTAAACAACACATCACATGCTGTGAATGATTCCTACAATTATTTTTACAAATACTCTCAGAGCAGCTAGAGGTTTAACTGCAAACTGAACTACTTCCACAAAAGCCAGAAATCAAAGTCCCAATTCTCAGCATGCTGCTTCAGCAACCAAACCAAGCTGTTGCTTATTTTAGGAAGGGACAATGGGCTAAACCACCCCCAGAAGAATCTATAGCTTTGCAGATTTGTGTTAAGCCCAGTACAGACACAGAAGCACACTTGACATTCTGAGATTTCTCAGATGAAAATACACTAAAACGCTACATGCTTAGAAGTCAGCATTTCCCACCTGTTGGATCTTTTTGGAGAAGTTCTTGTTGGATTTCTCCAGTGTCACTTCAAACCTATTGCAACCTTCCAAAGAAAGTGAAGGGAATATGTAAAGTGAAGTTACCCTTAAATTTATGGCTGGGTAAATCTTACACTAAATGGTACACTGAGAATTATGAAATGAAAATCAGTCATTGAACATGAGAATAATGACTCTGATATCTCTTTTTCTTAATAGCTAGAGGCATCAGGTGCTCTTCTACATAGCCAGGCAAAGATTTAAACTATACTTCTTGTACCCATCTGAGGGCCTCATCAATAATTAACATTTTTGCCTTGCTGGAATTTTAGATTACAACATTTCTTATTTAAATATGCTGAAACCCAGAGATATAGGTTTACCCAAAGACTTATCTACACCAATGAAAGGTCAGCAACTTAAATTGCTAGGGAACACATCACTGCAAAGTAGACAAGGAATAAACACTTCACCACAAGGGTTCAAAAGGAGTTTTAGGGATAAACACTTACAGACACTTTCTGATGACAAAACCTCTCCTGGCACTGATGCAAAAAAGGGGGAAAAATTTACCATGTGAGATAAAACACTAGTAACTCAGGTCTAGCATGTTCCGATTGGAACAGATGGCCTACAAGTTTTGGGAAAGGGATACACTCAATTCAGTTTCAAAAACGCAAGTAGCTACACATAAACACCCTTCCAAAAGCCAATGCACTTGGAAACAGATTTATTTCCCCATTGCTATCCCGCACAGTACTACATTAGTGCACTAAATAACACGGGTTACCTCTATACAACAGCACGTAATGAAGAACAGGTATCTGTTTAGTGAAAGCTAATTATAACTGAATTGAAAAATACAATAATGCTCTTTGTGGAATCTCTGGAATAGACAAAGGTTTTATGACTGACTGTCCAAGAGACAAGGAGAAGATTACACATATCACACAGCTCGTTAGCAGGCTCCCCTGCCCCCAACCTGGGATGCCAATGAATAAAGTCTTTCTTTTTCATTAAGTGATCTACTAGTCCAGCCTTTCATTAGCAGATAGCAAGCATCAGACATCTGACAACTTGCAAAATGCACTGCTTGTGTCTAGGTTAACCCACCACAAAACTACACTAGTTTTTTGCATGGTAACTTAATATAAAACATAATTAAATAGAGAAAATGGACAAGTGTTACTTGCCATCTTTCTCATACACCTGGGAAGTGGTATGTACACAGACTCTACAGAACATTCAATAAACTCTAAGCAGAAAAAAACAGCAAACACACCTGTGTTCATGTCACTACAACCTCTAAAGGGCATAAAATACAAACACCACCAACTTTTTGTGCCTTTCTCAAAAATCAACTTACCTGCGTCTTTCTTGATCCTGTAAAGAAGCAGATGTCCTTGTTTGGTACCAACAAGTAGCCATTCCTCTATATAGAGAAGAAAACAGTCTAATCAGTACCAATCAAGAGTCAAGAAACGCCCCTCTTCCCACCTCAGTTGCATTTACTGGAACACCAGGAAACTTGCTCCAAATTCCTCACAGGGGTTTATGTTGCAGCATATGCACATTTCCCATATGTTTCTCTGGTGGAAGTAGAGAAGATTTTATTCTTGGGAGACGATCTCCAGGAATCAAGCAGTAAAAATGAGACTACAACTTAGATACTATTTCCTACTTTTTCAAAACAAGGTAGAGGAACCAACAATTGCATCTTTCATACAATTCAAAGAAGCAATAAACTGTTCTTCAGACATTATCTGCCAAAGAGGAACTGTTATACTTAAAAGAGGAAAGAAAAATGTAGGGAGTGGGGGGAAAAATGAGCACAGAAACAACGTTCTGAGTATTAAGAGTGCTTGTTTTTTTAAAATAGTCAAGTTCTTATAAAAACTTCATGAAGTAGCCCACTAAATTTCAAAGGAACTCAGCAGCTTTTCTTAAACTGCATTTAAATTACCTGGAGACCAAAGTCATACTGGAAATGTATACATAAATAAAAACCCTATGGTAGGGGGTTTCAGATTTGCCCAATTTATAGCGCAGAAAAGCCACAGTACCTTTTTACTAGATCATTAAACCTGCCTGAGGGCTCCTTCTGCCTGATGAGGATCATACATGAAGCATAAAGGGGCATTTCGTGCTAAATGCAGCGCTTCCTCCTAACCAAAACACCTGCACTTCAACAGCGCCCGGTCTCCTGGAAGGCCGCTCTTCCCGCAGGCGCAGAAAGGCCCTAGGGGCAGGACTGCGGCTCTCTCAAGGCCAGCAGCGTCCCGCGCCGCTTTGGCTTTGGGCTTTGCCGTGAGCTGGGCCAGGGCGGCGGCTCCAGCGAGCGGCCGCCGAGGGCCCCGCCGCCCAGGCCGCGCTCCCAGCGCGGCGGCGCCGGCGCTGCTCCGCTCACAGCGCTCCCCTCAGACACCGCCTGCACCGCCCCACAGACACAGCCCCGGCCGCAGGGCGCCCGCAGGGACTCCTCACGCGCCCCACGGGCGGCCCGGCGGCGGCGGCAGCAGGCCCGGTGCTCACCCCAGGCCGCCAGGCAGTCGATCTGCAGCGGCAGCTTCTCCAGGATGGGCACGTGCTCGAAGGCGTCGTGCATGATGGCGGCGGCGGCGGCGCGCGCCCCAGCAGGAGGCGGGAGCGCGCGCGGAACCGGCGCTACCGGCACCGCCGCCGCCCGGGCCGCTGCGCCCGGCCCTTCCCGGCAGCCCCGCCGCTTCCGCCCCACCCCGCCCTGGCCCCGCCCCCTCGGCGGCCCTGAACGGCACAACCCGGAAGCGGCGCGCGCGTGTGCGCATGCTCTGCCGCTGCCCTGGCGACGCGCCGCTTGCGCAGGCGCAGCAGGGCGGGAGCCGCCGCCGCCGCCGCGGCGTTTACCGTGGCGGGGCGCGGCCCGATTGAAGGGAGCGCGGCCGGGAGAGCCTCCGAGCGCCGGCGTCACCATCCCGCCTCCCAAAGGACATTCAGCGTCGAGGCGGTGCCGTCAGCACGAGAAACGCCCGCAGGTCACGGACTGCAACCTGCTACTGCGGCTCCGTGCCCTGCTCCTCTCCGCTCCTCGTTGGGGGGCCGTGTCTTTCGTTTCCAATCACAGCCCCTCTTGGAGAAGGGGTGCAAAGGGGACTTGGGGCTGACACACACGGCAGAGCAAACAGGCCGTGGCGCCCGGGCCTGCAGCTTTCCGAGGACGCGGGAGCTGCCGAGCAAGTGCCAACACAGGCCCAGGATGAGCGGGACGCAGCCCGGAGCGGGACGCAGCCCGGAGCGAGGCCCTCAGCGCAGCTCCCAGCACGTGCGAAGCACCATGAGGGAAGACCACCAAGGATTCTCCCAGTCCTCACCTCTCCCACCTCTGCTGCATTCATTTTGGCTTCTGCAGTATTAGTCCCTATGCTGAGGGAAACCGGACTTTTCACTTTTGGTGCAGTTTTGTCATTGGTCCAGCCTGGGGAAGCTTTTCCACTGACACAGACACCCACTCTATTGCCACAGTTAAGGGGAGCAGGGTAGGGGAATAACTACTAGGAATAACAGCATTATAACTATCATACAAAAGGGGATAAAGAAAAGTGAGGGAACTTTGCAAAGTGCGTGACTTCTCACAGAAGGGAACAGGTAGGGAGGAAAGGGAAAGAAACCAAGTACATCTTGCTACTCTTTGCCTAGCTTTTATTAAATAGTACATACAAACTTCTTTTTGTGCTTTCAGTAGAGAACATATTTTCTCTGTCTCAAAAAAAAATCAAGACTTAAAAAAATAGCATTAATAATCAATTCAGTGTAGCTTTATTTCACAAAATTTCCTTGCCCCCAAAGGGCACGGAGGGCGGCTGTGTTTCATCTATACCAATGAAGCATACCAGCTAAAAAGTCCAAATGTTTCCTAATGAAAGGCTCTACAGCATCTACCTGTGGCTTAATGGGGTTGTCCTAAGCGCTCCAGCCAGTCTGGCAGAGGCAGATTAAGGTGTTGGAGCCCCAGCTTTTTCTCTGCCCTTCCCCTGTGAGGGTGCTGCCCCTCAGAGCACAGCGGGCACCTGCCCTCGGGCCCCAGCTCCGCTGCTGGGAAGCGCAGGGCTCCCATGTGCATCAGTGACCAGGACAAGGTAGAGCTAAGCGGTCACACCTGACACACGGGTGCATGAAGTAGAGGCACCTTTGCTTCGGGCTCCCTAAGCCCGTCCAGCAAGACCCACAAGTTTGTCTGGCAGCTTCCCAGACAAAAGGCAAGCCGAGATGCTAGTGCCTACTAGTTATGGGTTGCAGAGAGGAGCAACCGTAACTACATACAGCCTCCACCGACAAACATAAACCAGAAAACCACTCAAGACACTCAGACATTTTCTCTTTAGAAAGAGAGAAATGGGGAGTACAGAAATCTGCAACTTTGACTGGAACACAATGATCAAATGAGCAGAGTACCTCTTGGGCATGGGGACGAGCAGGGGACAGGAAACTCCATCACCAGATCATCTACTTGAGAGGCCTAAAGGCATAAGAGACACCTGAGACACGAGGAGCAGGAACAGCCCAGCACTAGGTGCTCTCACCTCACCAAAGCTTCTGGCAGGTAAGATGAGCACTGCTTGCACCCTCTACAAAGCAGGGTCTTCTCAGAGAGGAGCATGAGTGTTGCAGCAGGAGATGTTACAGGTGCGGAGAGGAAAGTTATGCCAAAAGACCTAGTTAACAGGTGCTTAGCATGAATAGTCAAACACTTGCAGAGAGTTGCAAGAGTGAGTTTGGGGGTGGGGGTTTTGTTTATTATTATTATTATTCTTCAATGAGCTCATGCAACAGGGGGAAGGAAGGGGCGAATTCCTTTTTTCCAGGCATCCACCACATTGCCTGCAATGAGATGTGCCACAACAACAAAGGTAAGCTTTATGCAACTGTTACCTAAAGGTCAATGACATTTAAAATAGAAATTTTTTCTTACACAGTGTTATGAATAAAATTGCACTTGATTTTGTTAAAAACCCATCCAATCACTGTAACTTTTCCAAATATTTCTTTTCTGGCATCCTGATTTCCTTCAGTAATAAGAACTGTTCTCTAAAACCTTTCACTCATGCTGGAGTTTACCTGTGAGCCACTATCTGTCAGAAAACAGGTATGTTGTTTTTGCAGTGCTTATTTCCACCCTCCCCCGCAAATGATACAGACAGCTGACCTGTAAAAGTGAACTGTAACATCGAAATAGAAACTCCTCAAGCAGACATTAGGAATTTTAGTTTCACAGATTAAATATTTGAAAAGTTACAGAAGGTGCCGGAATAGTATACATTTAAATTGCTTAAAAATCCAAACTCGCAGCAACTTTGAAAATTCAAAAGTTCCAAAAGCTGTATCAATGTCTTTGTGAACCTCTTCCATAGCAAGATGCCCTCATGCCAATAAAGCATCAAACTCCCACAGCTGAGATGAAGAAACAAATCAGCAGGATGCAACTTTAAGAGAGCAACTTTAAGAGAGTTTCTCCAAGTCTAACAACAAACACTCCATGTGCTGCTCCTTCATTCCATTTTGGATCTTTCAAAGTGTGTAATCATTCTTTCCTGCAATAAAAAAAAAAAAAAAAGCCACCTAGTTGTCATTTGGCTCTACGTATTAATATTACACAGAATATATACATTTAAAACAAGTGCATGCTTATCTGCATGTTAAACCAGGAGTCACAGCTACACAAGCAGATCCCCCTTTCTTTTAAAATGAAAAGTTATAATCTTGCACTCACAAGTTACTAATTCACAGGAACACAAGTCATGCCATTCATATGTGTATTAGTCATATGCACACCTCAGTTTCCACTGCTGTAAAAGCAACTCTCCCTCTCCAGCTGATGGGTTGTACTATTTCCTCCTGCTCCACATCCTACGTTAATACAGACTCCCCTTTCGAACACTTACACATGGGATTCTACTATGAGTCACAAATATGAGGGAATACCTACACAGAGAGTCCAGATAGTTCTTTCAGTGCTGTGATATTCACCTTCTCTCTCATCCAACCTTCCTGACAATTGAACTCTAGTACAAATTTATTAGCTGTTACCAAGCTGACTAACAGTACACAGAGGTAGTGCTAAGGGTAGCAACAGTGAAGGGTGTGATAGTTTTAGTCACGTGTGATAAAGCCATCGCTGAAAACCACAGTACCATCACAATGTTCTCTATTCATCACTGCTGTGTGGCATTCAAAAAGCAGTTACCATAAACCCTTCTGAATTCCAACGGGCGGGCATTTTTGGACACCAGCACCAAGAAAGTTATGCCAGATAAGTCAAAAATACTTCGCCGTTATAATTTCCTCTAAATGCATATAGTGCTTTCTAAGTGATACAATAATCAACAGTGTCATGGCACCAAGAACATTGCCTGCCATGAGAGGACAAAACAGTATCTGTCACTCACAACAATAACCAAAAACCCATCTTTTACAAGCTGTGTAATCTTGTTGCTGTTCCACAGCAGAACATTCCTCTCCCAAGAGTTTGCATACAAAGGGAAGAGAAGAAACTGAGCAGGCTAATCACAACTGAGTAGGTAGAGAGACGGGCACACACATGCCCAGACACACACATTCACTCTCTCCACCAGAAAGGGCTTGTAAAGCAATCTAAAAAAAACAGGCTGCCTTGTGGTAAATTGTATTCTTCAGTGTATGTACAATCCCCCAAGAAAGGATGAGCTATGCAGGCAACAAAGCTTTAAAACTCATGTGTAATTCCAACAACTGCATCATTGGCTGTGGCCACTCTCCCTCCCCTGGTACTGTCCTGCTGCACTGGTAAGATCACAGAGCCCAGTTCTAGTAAGCCAAGTCCTTAGCAGATGCCTCAGAACTCCCTGGGCATGTCAGAAGGCTCATTTGTACTAAGGTTTGTTTACTCACCTCATCTGAATCCAGGAGAGCTGGAAGAGCACTGTAAGAAGAGAGGAAGGAAAAAAAAAACAGTGAACTAGAGCACCTACTGAGAGCAGATATCAAGAGCTATCTCTATTTTTTTTAGGGCAGAAGAACAATAATGAAGACATATAGATGTTTTAATTAAACACATGAAAGAGAAAACCAAACCCACACAGCTACTGACTTTTTAGGATGTAAAAGTTGGTATTAAAAGCAAGAGAGATAATGAATTGCCTTTATGGCTGAGTATCTTGCCAGGATCATAACAGTGATACAGACAAATGTTCCAAATCAAGTACAGTACTAAGTGAAATTATTCAATAGTTACATCTGTCAAAACAATCAAAGGAATTTTCACAGCACTAATCAGAGAGATTACTTGGGTTGTTTTTTTCTTTGTTTTAACTTCACTGAAGTGCAAACAAATCGGTGTACGGCTTCCTAATTAAGAGCCTGTTCCTTAATTCAACATGCCTTCAAGTGGCATGGACTGCAATCTGACACACTGAGTAAAGCCAGGTGGAAACCTGCCCAGAAGTCAGAGGGCCATTCTCGGGTGAACCATCTGCTCAGATATGTGCAATATGCAAGTTATGGGGTGTTCTGGCATAGCAGCATTCTTGTCTCTGAGAAATCTGCTTTTACTGGAACTACAAAAATACTCACACATCAGTTACTGAAGAAGGAACATTCTCTTCTACCCACTTCAGGTCATCCTCCTGCTACAAGCACAGCAATGAAAGGGAAGACAAAAGTTAGTCTTCTCTTCCCAGAATGTTGTCTAACACACAAGCCTTTTTTTTTTTTTTTTTTTTAATCCCACCCCCTCAGCCTGCTTGACATGTTCTAATTATCATGTCAGATCAAATAAACCCTCAAAATTAGATTTTCTGAATTAAATAAAACATACTGCAACTTTATAATTGTCTTTTCCATGGAACAAGTAACTATTGGGCACTGGGCAAAGCAGGCTCTCAGGACTCTGATTATTTATATAGCGTAGCTATAGCATATCATAGTAGGGAGACTTTATTTAGGAGATTTTATAGGTGAAAAGTTATTTAATAACACAAGCTAGATTTTGCAGAAGTTAAATTTTATCACCAGGATTACTCACTCTGACTAAAACATTCTAATTCACAATGCAAATACTCTTGTTTGAAGTTGAAGAACTGACTCTCAGTGCCTCCCCACCCAAACAAAAGACAAAAACAAAACAAAAAAAACCCACACGCAAAACACAAATTCTCACATTATCCTCAGATAATAAGGATCTAGCTACAACCTTTGAGAACAGAAAAGCTAATAACAAAAGCTTCTATTTTCAGGAATTTCTGTAGATTCTTTCCTCTTAAATTTATGCCTGAAACTCATCAAGATTGAGATAAAAGCCAAATGCATCTTCTATTTCCTAGCTAAATGTGAATTTATCTACACAGAATAAACTCTGAGACATGTGGAAAAAAAGTATATTAAAAATGTACCACCCAAACTCTTTAAGTGGTTACATAATAATATACACATCATCCCATTTGAATAATGAGTCAGTCAAAATTAGAAGGCAATTAATTTAAAATATGCCTCAGCCTCCCTTTCAGCCCAACACACTTGTTCAGAGAGGTTATTAGTCATTCTCAGAATACAGTACTATACAGAATAGTTCCATCTATACTGGACTGTGCTAATATTTCTATAGAACACACTGAATTCTAAAGTCTTCATTGCATTTACATGAAACCACAGGTAAAAATGCCATTTATCTTTTACTATACGACAGTACCCATAGAAACATTTGACCCACTCACTTCCACTAGGAAGCTACCCAGGACCCAACCCTTGCATACACAGGCTGAACACGTTGCATGTGGGTAAGACATTCCTGAGGGAGCCGGAGATCATGAACTGGATCTCTCTCCCTCTAGAAAGGGAGGACATACTCACAACTTTGTTTGCTTTCACATTTCCATTTGGTTCTTGCTTTGTACTTCTCATTTTCATTCCCTCTAGAACAAAGGAGGCAATAAGATCAGGATTACTGAACTGCAAGTGTTCATGGACTGTAAGTGAAAAGGTGTTTATTCAGAATACTTCCTCAAGTCTACACGGATGGAGCAACTAAGAAAAACAAGCCGTTCTTTAAAAGAAATCTCCCTTTTTAAAAGGCTTGTAGTACTTTTTCCTGACAATGAAGTAGCTACATTTTAAAATGGCAAAACTCTTTTTCATGAGTTCATGTTGAAAAAATAAGTACTTAATTTCACCAAGAAAAATCAATTACTATTCCCTTTCTCTAAGCCAAGCATACACAGCACATAGCTCAAGGACACAGCAACTGCCAACACTTATTTTACCCCCTGATTGCTGACCAGTCATTTGACTGGCTTTAAAGCTGAAAGACAGCATGGGCTCCCTCAGCCTGGCACATAGCCAGATGTAAGCTGTAGGTCAAGTGCACATAAGACAGAAAATACTCCTCTTCAGCTCTTAAACAACTCAAAAAGTACTGACATATCCCAGCAGAACTGATTTGAGGATCCTACCCTTTATATAACTGTAAACAATATTGTTAAAAGGACAACAGATGTGGTAGGGAGATGGGAGGCAGGGCAAAGGGAGGGTTGCCATAGTTAGAGGGAAGGATTGGTGAAAAAGGGCTAACATGGTATTAAAAACCTGAACTCTTTTCTGTCCAATCTATATATTTACACTGAATATGGCTATATTGGGCCCTTTGGATACAGAACATAAAACCTTTAAAGCAGATTTTAAAAGAACTGCAAACTAAGTATATTGCAAAAACGTCAGAAGCCATTCACATCATGACTGGATCTAAACCTAGGACTTTTAGTCAAATAAAGCTTAGTGAATATAATACAGTAGCCAGGATAGCTGTGTGTTCAGTGCCATCTGAAAAAAAATATAAAGACTGAACCTCCAATTGCTGCTCCTTTAGAGCTGTACAATACATTGGCAATAGGGAGGCATTTACTCTGCCTTTACATTAGTAATTAACTTCTTGTCAGCGAACAGAAGGCCACTCGCTCCAGAGTTCTCCCTTTAGCATGGGGATGAGAGCAGAGGTGAAAATACTTTTTGTCTTACCAAAGCTTTCCTTTAACATTGGCTCCTTCTGCTCATCATCCTCCTCTTCTTCAGATAGTGGTGAGAAAGCAAACCTTTAGGAGAGAAGGAATGACAACCAACTTGAAATAGGATCTCTTGCTATGCACGTAGAATTTATTACCCTGACATTGACTGCTCTGCACAGGTCTGTGTTTTTAAGCCAGATCTACGCTCACCAGTGTTCAAGTCATTTCTGTCTAAATAAATTCACCATGAGAACAATTTTATCTTCACAACTCCTTACAGTTCTTGAGATAAAAAGGAACAGTCAGCTAATTTTACTTTCCCTCAAGCTCCTACACAAATTGCTTAGTATTCCTACGGTTCAGCATACAGCAGCTGAAATTACTCACCAGGACCTCTTTGGATAGATATACTTTCCCCCAAAACAGTATTTTTAGAAAGAAGTACGAAAAGCTGAACCTTTGGTTGTTAGCAGACGGCCTCCACAGAATCATGATGACAAAAAGGATCATTGAGAACAACAAACGCCAGATGGCATCGTCCACCCACAGCTCCTGCCAGTCCTGTGAAGAAAAGCAGCACCAGTAGAACAAGTTGACGAGAAAGCCCATCTCCTCAGTTCTTTCTCAGGGTAAGATATAGACATCTAAGAGGCTAGATTCTCAACATTGAGACAGTTCCATCTGTGGTATACTGCTCTAGATATAATCCATAACAATAATAATAATGTATGCCATCATTCCACATCTTACCAAATATAAACTTATCAGGAGGCACTCAGGATATGAACTCACCGACTGACAATCCACCAGCCTGAACTTCATGGTGGTCCAGATGATAAATACAATGGATGCTACAAGATTAAATCAAATTCCTTATTACCATTAAATATGCTACTATTTGTATAGTATTAACTATTAAAAAAGTACTGAGACCAATTCCTCACTCCTTTATCAAGTTTCCAAAACACAGTTTCTTTACTAGTTGACAAAAAATCCCTACCTATAAATAACTGTAGAGTGTGATCTTTCTGAACGCCTAAGCATTCACATCCTGACCATTAGGTCCAGATGCTCTAAATAAACTCTTACCATGATTTGAAGAGATAAAACTTCCCTCCACTAATGAGTTCTACAATTAAGAATCAAGTGCTGCACGGAATTAAATCAGAACTGTTAATTAAATGAAGTCTGCAGTCATTTTGAAATAACACAGTGGTCGCAAGTTCTGATCTTACTAAGATCAAGACTACAAATCCACCACCCCAAAGCAGCTCTATAACATTGGTCAGATACTATTAGAAAGGAGTCAAATGGTAAAAACTTGACACAAAACTCAACGTATCTGCTTTAGCAATCAAATCAAGTCCTATATCAAAATGGAAAAAGCTCTCATTTGGTTATGACTTTCTGCTTACCTGCTACTGCCAAGATGAGCGTGTTGGTGAAGTGCCGGTACAAGGAGAGTTTCACAACGTTCCTCCGAAGTTTTAGCAGTTTCATTGTTTGAGTCAGACTGATGAATATGTACAAGGAGTCAAGGAAAAGCCTCTGAAGGGACAAGCTGCTCAGACTTAGGAAGACCGATCTCAAACAACTGCCTCCTTTCCCCCAGTTAACCCTCCAAAAATGGGCCAGACTTTCAGTAGAACAGATCATCAAATGGCAGTGGTGCTAAGCAGTACTTTGCAACAGTAGAATCCATCCCTTCTATATCATTTAGTCAACTAAACCTACAACTATCATCATATTCCCAACACTATGCAAATACCTATTTTGCCTGGGGTCCACCCCTTCAGAAAGGTGTCAGGCATACTGCACATGAACATATGATCAAGTCTGAACTACAAGCAGGTTAAAAATCCAGTTAGTGCATATGCGTGTCCTCACCTTTTGCCTACAGTTTTATTTCCATAGTGCCTAAGCAAGTGTTTAGGAGAGACATCAAATGAGGAGAGAACTATCATAACCGGGCAGCAAGTTATTCTCTTTTTAAATAATATTTTGTGAATGTCTTTTTCTAGAACCGTTTCTATATTCTGACTGTTGCCACATGGTGCTCCGAGTTTGGCATCTGATGGCAGTTTTTAAAGCCACAATAGACTATGACTGTCTGCATGTGGTAGGTCAGGAAAACGAAGTTAACTCTACCCCATTTGGACACCTAACTCTCTCAAATTTCACAGAAAGAGTTTAGCTTTGGCGCTGGTAAGAAACTTCTCCTCAGCAATCTAAACCACCTCTGCCCTCCTAAGATCATTCCCGTTGTACTACAGTAGGGTAACTATAGTGCTATATTAGAACAAACATCACACTTGGCAATCAGAGATAGACAGACCAAAAGGTCCATGTTCAGGAGCTGCTCAAACACAGATCATCTACCACTCATCTAGTTTTCCTTGCACCGGCTGTAGCCAAGGCTTACCTGAACACTCCATTACAGAGTTCAGACTAACTTTTCCAGAAGTACAAAAAAACATCCTTGAAGCTGGTTTAAAAAAAAAAAAAAATCTGCCAAAAAGACTTAAAAACTTGAAAGAAAACACACCCCACCAAGTAAAATAGTGAAGGATATCCACCAGCACAAGGCAGTGTCTAGGAAAGCCAGGGGAATAAAAGCCAAGGAGGCAAGATCATTCTGGGCCTGGAGACAAAGAGAGAGCCAGTGAGAACAAGCTGAAATGGAAACAGGCACAGAAGAATCAAGTGAGCAGTCTCAAGCTATTTTACAAGAAAACACAAGTACCCAACCCCAATGCTTCCAACTTTTACTATAGAAGCAGAGGATTTAAACCAAGTGTTCGGCCCAAGGCAGAGTGGTTCAAAAAGGTCCAAAGCAGGCAACACCGCACTGTCCATTCCCAATTCTCCACCAGCAAGGCAAGCAGTAGTTCTCCAGAGTAAGTTAAATCCACCACCACCAGAAGGAACTGCTACTGAGATGATTGCTGCAATTGTGTGCTCTGACCACCTCCATTACAGACACCTAACCATCAGCTTGTTAGGAGATGTGGCAAGTGAAGCTTTTACAACACACTTGGAAGAACTGAATGCTCCAATGCACAATTACCACTGAAAGTCCATTGTGGTCCATCAAAACCTAAGTCCCAACAGACACACAAATTACCCCTAAACACCACTTACAACCTTTAAGTACTCAGAAATAGTTATATAAATAAGCTTGTCTTATAAATAAGTTTATGAAAGGATATCCACAAAATAATACAGGCATCAATCATGGACAGGGCCAAGTTTGCTATCAGAGCCACAGTGTTATAGAAAAACTGAAAAGGTACCAAATATATGACATGTTAAATATCTTGTCTCAAGAAACCAAACAGGACAAAATCTACACCCTGAGACTTCCCTCTTCTAGAATGAAGCAAGCAGCAGTGCCACTCACTCGCATTTCCCCAGGTACTGCCTCAAAAAGCAGCTGAAGCATTTGTTAGACTTTCAGCCAGGTGACTGAAACTGTACCTTTGTGCTTGACATTAGACGTACACACTGATGCCCCAAATTAATCTGAAGTATTAGACATGGGTATCTAGTTTTCAGATTAGTCTGATTCTATGAAAACTATTTTAGAACATCCAGAGCTATATCTTTATAAACAGACAAGTAATGGAAATGAGATTACTCGTCCAGAACCCAGATTTTAATCATTTCATTGTTTCAGCCCCCTTTTTCTTTTTTAAAGCATAATCCTGGGATTCTTCACAGGCATACTTAAATAAATAGGGCCAGGAGCACCTGTGGAATACAGAAAAATTCAAGATGCAATTACTGACCCCTGTGACTCTAAGAACACCTTCCATGCCAGAAAATAATAGATAAAGGGCTCCAGCCATAACTACTTTGTGAAGAGTAACTCCAAGGCGAGGCCTGTAGGAAAACAAAAAAGAAATCCAGATTAAGTGTGGGGAGGTCAGTGGGAAGAAGACAGACCATATCCACCTGAATTCATGGTAAGGCAACAGGCACTTAAGTAAAACCTTCTCATGAAAAGCCACTTCTGGATCAGGGAAATCATTTGGATACATATCTGTCTCTATTAGCTAGCGAAGAAGTCAAGGTCTTTACAGCACTTAGCTTAAACATCTACCTTTTACGCAGCAAAGTATACAGAAGTAAGTTCTTAAAAGGCAACAGTGAAAAGCTTCTAAATAGAATATGAATATAATAAAACTACATTCTAAATATGTATCATCAGAGAAGTCATTACTTACTTGACTATCCCATATCCCAGGCTGACTATAATGACCAGAGTTCGAGCCAAGGAACGCTTCACAGCCGAAAGCAGTTCTGCCAGTATCAATGCTCCTTGGACTACCAAAGGAAAGAAGAGGAAGCCAGGTTAATAAAGAGATAATTTATGCTTTATTAACTGCTGCAAGTAAAAGCAGTATGACAGAACAAACAAGTGATTATTTTCAGAAAATAGGTTGTTAAAGTTTAACTTCTGTATTAGGATTCCGGATAATTAACAGTCAAAATAAAAATCTCATTTTTATGCATGGATCCCAGAAAGCTTAAAACTATTGTGTCACATTTCACCTGTAGAGAGTCACTTAAGATGACTTACTAGTTTAGGCACTGCATCTTTGTGCAAAAGAAAACAAGACAAAAAGCACATTGTCAAGAGATCATAAGAAGTATTAAAAACCAAAAAAAAAATCTTTGTTCCCTGTTCTTTGTTCTGAAGCAATCCACAATAATCGTATACTTAAAACGTATCTATTGCCAGATGCAGTGTATGTTAGCACAAGCCATTACTGCTTCTCTCCACCAGTGAAGCTGCCAGTCGCACACGTGCTGCTACGCACCAGATTTCCCCGTGTAGCGGATGTTCTGGAACTCGGCGTAGAAGACTGCTTTCTCCAGCATCCCCAGGAAGATAACAGCCCCGATCCAGAACTGGATCCTCAGGAGATCCCGCCAGTAACAGGCTGACCATGCAAGCCACAGCACCCCGAAGAACACGTACACAATACACATCACCATGAAGAACTGGAACACAGAGAAGAGCAAGAAATAAGACCCTTAAATCCCCCTCAAAATCATTTCCTGGTTTCCATTCTATGGTTGTAAGACAGGTATATATCTTCTTAAGCACACCAGCTTTTGAAATTTTGCATACAAAAATGACTAGGAATAAGTATTGCTCCATTTGTCTTCTCTGGATTTCGTTACGACGACTGTCCATTTTTTCACTGCAGAAACAATTAAGAACAAAGAACACCTGGATTTCTGAGCAATATCACTTTTGGAGAAGAGCCCAACAATTTATTTGAAGCAGACTGCTGCAAGGGAAGAAGTGCTACTAGCATCCAACATCTCAGAGGAGAGTGTGGATCCATCAAGCAGCCAGAACTGCTTCATACATTGTTCTGTTGTTAACTTCAAACATTTAAAGTACTCTGCAAAAAAAAATACAAGCCCTCTTGATATATCATTTCACAGGACAGAGATTAGGGACCAATAGTTCTAAATGCACTGTTCAAAGATCAAAGAATCTGACAACTGCCCTCAATACAATTTTCAGCAAAGTTGTTTTTGAACAAACTTTAGATCTGCCAAAATTCTGGACTGAGAGAGAATCCTAGAAATTCATTTGAACATTAATATTTTGTGATTTTTTTCACTCCTGCAAGGGTTGAGTCAGAAGAACTTTCAGATCTCCCGTACTGATCAATAAGCCTGACTGCTACGCAGTGCTGAAGTTCCCAAAGCATGGCAGCACAGCCCAGAAGGTTTTTAAAAAGGGCATTGCAACTGAAAAGAAAGAGGGACTAAAAGCAGAGAGGAAACACTGAATGAATAGCAAGAAGTACTTGGCCAAAGAACAGTACAACAATCAAGCAGGCTCCTCTTGCAGAGGGTAGTTTCTGTTTTAAACCAATTACTAAAGTTCGCTCTACAATTCTCCAACTTTCACAATCTAAGCCACCCCGCTAGAACACCACGCTGGTTGTTACAGATAGTTCTGAGCTCAACTGGTACAACATGCCAGCTTCTACTGAGTTGTTCCTTTATAGAAGCATGTAGACAGAAAAGCTATATTGGGGACCTGTAATACCTGTGCATTCTCACTTAGTGAGCTGAGTTTTACTGCAGCTGCTGGAGGCTTTTAGCTTTGGTAGGAAGTGAGCCACACACCTCAGAAATGCCATCACTTCTGCTGCTAGTTACAGACCAGTCTTGCCAAAGCACTCAGGCTACAGACCTTACTTCTTATGGAGCTCCAGCTAGAGTCTGTCTGTCCTGCATTACTGTTCAGATTCATTTATTTTCTTAGCCTTCTAGATAGAGGAAACTAACAGTCAGCCATCTCTCTGAATAAAAGAGATTATCCCTTTGCAGTTCAGTTATGCTTTCTGTGATAGACAATACTGAGGATTATCTCGTGGAGTAGAAGATAGCTGGTAGAGGGTTAGGCTATAAAAGGACAAGGAGAGCAATGACAAAAAACAATGAAAGGAGCAATTGCAAGCAAAAACACAAAATAGCAAATTTCCTGATACAGGAGCAGAAAAACAGCATGTCAGTAAATTACACAGAGCCAAGGACGTTCATAGCTTTTGGCATTACAAGTTGACGGCATTAAGTCTTACCATCAAGACGAGGAGTGTGTTACTGGCATACATGAACACCTGAAGTTTGTGTTTATTTTCTATTTAAAATAATAATTACTAAATTTCTTCTTTTGAACCACCAGCTTTGTTTTGCCTATTGCATTCCACAAGAATATTAACAGGGATTTAGAAAAACTCGCAATTTTACAGGGCAAAGAAAAGCAGTTTTACTTACAATCATCCGCGGATAGTCTGCAAGTGAGAGGTACTCATATGGCCCCTTCAGTTCTACTGACACTGTCAAAAGACAATTCAATAATCTGTTTGATCAAGAGCCAAGAGCAGGAAGCCAGGACAAATGACTTCAGTGATTTCTTCTCAAGGGTAAAGAAATTCCAAGTATTTGCATAGAGGGACCTTTTAAATCTAACTTGCATTTTAATCAAAATGAAGACTCACCACATTTAGCTAAAAGCATGCAATTAAAATTACATGCTCCAAAGTAGCTCAGATAGTGTTCAAAACAAAAGTAACCTGTGATGTAAAGCCAGATACAACAGGGAAGTTGGAAACCACACCTAAGTTTTTCTGGTGGGAACTTTCAGACTTCTCAAAAAATTTGGATAGGTTAATGCAGTTAGGTGTATTGTAATATGATTTTAAGGTAACAATCTTCCAGTGTTCTACACAATTTGAGGTTATTAATACAAATCACCACATTGATTTGGACATTCTTAAAATACAGCTTCAAAATTGAACTGCTTAGGGTTCTTCTCTAGGTCCATCATACTACAACAATTGACAGCCATCTTCAAGACACATAATTACTTCTTTTTGTACAGTAAGAGCAGCCAGAGTAGAGAATATTTACAACCATATGATGTAAATGATGGTGTCTTATGAAAACAGGTTACTCAGGATGTATAAAAAATATCTTTGAACAGCGATTCAGGCTGGCACACATCAAAAAGTGCAATATCTATTTTTAGCTTACTAAATAAGCAGCTATCTTACTTGTAAAGAGCTTCTCTTTGACATTTGAAGAAGGTGTTGCTTTCTCCATTCTTTTAACTTTATTATTAGAGTCTTTCCCAGATGAAATTCCAATTTGCACAATAAATATATATGGCCCATCTCGCCAGGTTTTAATAACAGCATTCATTGCCTGAAAATAAATTGCCTACATGTAAATAAGTCAAAAAAAAAAAAAAAAGGCAGTTTCTCCTGATATGGATATCTTCTACTTAACAGCAAAACTAAACTTAACAAAAATCTGATATATAAATTCCATATCCACTCATTAGATATTATACTTTTGTTTGAGATTTACTTACATTTAAATCCAGCAGAATCAAAGACTTGTAAATAAGCCCTGATCACTTCTCAAGTTTAACACTGTGTTATTACAAGAATTATTTAAAAGAGGTACTTCCTAAAGCTACAAAGAATTCAGCACTGTCCTATTCCTTTTCCACACTCTGGGAATATTAGGACGCTTACAAAGATACTCCTTGAAAGCAACTGGTTGGCAAAGGTACAGCCACCTATAAACTCCTTGGCTTCCTTGGTGAATGCTGAATTTTATAATGCAAGACAGAAGAGGTTTGAGAAATAAAAATTTCCGTATCAGTCATTTCCTGTGGAAACCTGCTTCTGACTCTGCACCACCTCTCACATCCACAAGACTCCAATTCTGCTAGTAAATTGTCAAAAGAGGAAGCTTGTCCAGATTAAATATTTGCACCTTCAAACAAATTAGATTTGAGCACCAGTAAACCAAGCTGGTAATCCCCAAACTTAAGGAGTTTCAGCTGTCTCCGAAATTGCAGTAATTTGCAAACAGTTAAGGGTTAAAATAGAATCATCTGTACAGAGGCTACTTACATAACCACTGCTGAACCAGTGTTAAAATGCTTAGTTAAAAAAATGCATATATGTATTTATATTAAACTTAAAAGATTGGTACATTTATATACACTACTTCAAAAAGTATGTCAGTTGTTTTGCATTACTTCCTTATTTCACCATCACATACATAACTATTCGCTTTAAACTTTGCTTTGTGGGCCACCAAGACATTCAAATTGAAGTTATTTTGACAACTGTTTCCAGTTAAGGCTTGAACGTAACATCCAGTAAAAAAAATCCAGTAAAAAATACTAAGATTAGAAAATTATGTATGAACATTTAACTTGTCTCAAAGGCCTGTTTAAATAAAGATGAAGCCAAGTGTTATCTCATAATATTAAATGACAACTGATAATGGATTATCAGTATTTTATCTTTAAGCTGAAAAATATATTTTGCATAGACTAAATTAATTTTTAAATAGGTTGGTTTTTAATTTCAGTTCTTAGATCAGTTTGGATGCTATGAAATCTATATGTCAGACAAAGGAAGCTGTACAAATACTCTGCCTCCTCACATATGACTGCTTAGTTTGATACTAAAGCCACCACGGGTCTTAGAGATAAAAAATAAAAAATAAAACACCTGTATGCAAAACTGCACAACCCCTGTAAACACTAGAAGCAATTTGCTTTAGCAAGAAATATAAATATAGAAAAAAATGTTGGATTCCAAATCATGTTTAAATTCAATATACATACTGTTTTATCTGCCAGTGTCGTGTGATTTGCTCCACTCTCCTTCTTATCTTTTAAGCCCTTAAAGAAAAGCAGAAAACAGGTAACTCAATATGCCAAAAGTGTCTCTTCCACTCCTACTTTCCTTCATTAAATGGAAAAAAAACCCACCTCTTGTTTCTCAGGCGAGAGAGGCTCTGGATGAACAAATTCTTTATAGAACACCTGTAAAATAAAAATCAAAAAGTATTTATAGGCACTTTAGTATGACATTACCTAGAAAGCTTCCAGCACATTCAATCATCAAGAAGGATATGCTGAACAGCAGCATCAGAATTTTCATCTCTTAATCAAACTATTCCCCATACGTAGGGCTACTGAATCATTTACAGTACTATTTTGCCACTTTAAAGTTGACTCACTACCCTCTCTCCAGGCAACTGGTCTCTCAACTTAAAGCTGAGCCCACAGACATTATAGTAACGAAAGTGCTTTGCAATATGTCTTGACTTCAACAGGTAGACCATTAAACAAAGACAGCTAAGTTTATTGATATTTGTCTTTAGTATGACTGTGCACCTCCCCAGTGCTATACAACTGGGGCAGCGCTTGTCTGCACACATTTCCCCGTGTTTTTCTTTCTTCTTGTCTCTTCCATCTGGTTTATTTCAAATACCCTTATGGACTGCCTATATATTTTCCATTTTTCAATGTTATCAATGTTGAAGTAACTCATTTCTCATCATTCTTTCACTTTCATTAGTATAGGTTAAAATTATCTAGGAAAAAAAAAGTAGCTCTTTATCAACTCAAATTTGAGAGAGCTTTACTCTGTCTCCAAAGCATATTCCTACTCAACCAGCAGTAGCCTCTACACCAACTCACAGTATTAAACGAAATAACAGTGTAGAACACAAGTCCACAAACAAAACAAAGCACTGAACTTGTTTTCAGGTGGCCAGATTTTGAGCAGCAAGCCAGAAATAAGTCACAGTTAAGGAATCACCATTGCAGCTTGAACACAAACCAAAAGTACCTCCCAACCTACAATGGCAGGTTGGGGATCCTCAGATGTGATGGTAACAAAATAATAACAGAAACGATAACAAAACAATAATAGGAACCAGGAATAAGAATATCATCTTCCTTATACATTATATGAAGTCACAGGGAAAACCGACAGCTTTTTATCCATACCTGGGGCTTGTAGAGCTCAGAGCAGTTTGGAAAGTAGAGAGAAGCCATGGCATAGTATCCTGTCCAGCCTGGATGCTCTTCAGATGTAGTCCCAAAATAATACTCGGCTTGTTCATCCTGTGAGACACAGGATAGAATTTAGATTATCAACCAATGAATCGCATGGCTTATCTCCACAGGTAGCTGCGAGACCTAGAAAGGAGCATTATTTCTCTCTCTCTTACACATTCTTGAACACATTTTAACAAAAGCATAAGACTATTCTTCCTTGGTCCAAGAAAAAAAGATATAGAGTAATTTACACCTAAAGTTTGAGCAAGAATCAATGCTTAATTCAAATAAAACCTCAATTTTACTTCTGTGAAGGTGCAGAAGCCAGCACAAGGTCAAGCCTACAAGAACAAATTCTACATTACCAATTTACCTGAAAGATTACAAGTCAGAACGGTACTAGGTTACAAGTATCAAGAGTTAACTATTTCAAGCAAGTATGTAAAATTGTACTATCAATATGAAAAATCAATTGTGTATCCTATGACATTTGAAAGAAACACTATACATTTTGTATAAATCTTAGTACTCACTAGGTATATGGGGAAAGAACAAAATTGAGCATGAGAGTATTTTATTTTTCTATTTGTCATAACTAAGTATTCTCTTGAAAACTATTTTCATCTAACTGATACACACTTCAATTTAGAGTTAATGTATTTATTAAACTTCTGGATTTAGAAAAAGTCTGGGAAAGATTTTAACTTCACCCAAAATCCAGAGAAAGCTGCAATTCTGAAAAGCTCCTCACCATTCATAATACCCCACTGACACAAGAAAGAAACTTCAGTCTTACAATGAATGAGCATCTCTTTCATACATACAGAGCAATGGGGATAAAAACAAGAAGTCTCTAACCTTCTGACCTCCAGATCTGCTTAACCATAAAAAATTCACAACCTGTACTTCTTCACAAAATTCTTACCCCAAAATTGAAGACTTCATTGTAGCAATCCGAATATCTCAAGTACCAAGTAACATTGTAACTTTGGGAGTGATCGCAAGTTTTCTCATCTCCTTCAACTAGAAAGGAAGAATATTTAAGATTTTCTTTATCTGTACTTTTCTTTACATTCTCCAACTATTGTCATAAAAAAAAAAAAAATTTAACTAACCAGAAAGTCTTTATCCTTAAATAATTCATTACTGTTAAGTGAAAAGGAGAAATATAGGGGGAAAAAAAAGAGTGCCATCATAACATTACACAATCACAGAATGAAGACATTTTGGAAATTTTTGGTTACATACCATCCAGGAATATTCCAGGAAATGCAATTACCAAAAAAGACAACAGTAGCATCTCCCAGTGATTACAACTATAACAAACGATTTGCATTTCTAAGATACAGCCAACATACATAAGCAAGCATCTGAAGCTAAGTACAGGTGAATGATAACAGCAATTCATACTGATAATTTAAATATAGTAATATTTAAATATACCAATATCATCACCTAGACAGTAAGAGGAAAAATTTTGCAAATCTATATCCACAAACAAGCTATCCATACATCAGCTCACTGTCAAAATTACAGCCCTATCGACACAGCAATTTTCATTTTTGATTTATTAAAGAACAACAGAGATGGAAGATGAAACATAGAAATCTAGTCTGAATTTAGTCTGTGATTTTTGCTTCAGATATCATTTTGAAATTAAAGCGTAATGAAGAGAATCTTATGTTAAGAAGGTAAACTTAGCATATAAATAAAACGAGTAGTGGTTATTTAGAATTTCTGAACTTACTTAAATAATTATGTCTGTGTTTTGCCAGGAAAAAAAAGTTTGTTTTTGCTCAGAAAGATGAGCTAACTAGCAGCCAAAAAATCCCATACCTTCACAGTAAACATTCATGTCATATTATAAGCCTATAAATTTATTACAGGTACAGAATTTCTGCTAATGAACATTTCCTCATTCACTACAGCAGAGAAACATGTGACTAGTAGAAGATCCTGCTATGGAGTCTTACCTGACTAACCCTGCTTTAAGCCACATCACTACTAAAAGGAGTATATGCAGAGCTAAGTGCTCAACAACTGGGCCCCTAATAGCAAAGATTTTAAAAAGAATGGAATGTGATTACTAAAAAAAATACAGTTTCCTTATGACTCCTCCTGGCAAATCTGAAAACAGGGCATACATTCTCTGCGTAGCCATAGTTGGGACAAACGAAACAGCAAAGAAATGAAGAGGCAACACAAACAACACAACGATGTCGTTAGATGGCAAATTCCTAAAAGACAAAGGCTTTTTCTCATAGCATTGGTCAAGTGAAGAACACTTCAAACACGTACTACAAAGAAAAATAGTAGAGATCAAAAAACACCAAACATCAAGACAGAAATTACTGAACTGTATGTTCAGCAGTAACACCAATAAAAAGGCAAAATAAAACATATCTGTAACAATCTTTCACTCTAGGCAAACATTTTAACTACTGACAGAAACCCCGAAGAAGTACTACCGAAGAATGAAAAGTCATTCAGTGACATGGAAATCAAAGTTCATTAGCCTTCAAACAAAAATCAGCAACATTCAGTTCAAAAGCAGTGTTTGTAGTAACATACAGGTGAAAGCAGGATATAGCAGGATCCTCAATAGGGAGTCAGATGCCTGCAAAAATAGCACTTAAGAAAAGCGGCAGATAAGAACAAATTGTGGACAACAATAAATAACAGCATCAGTCTTCCCAGTCAGGAGATGAGAAAATCATTAAAGGCCATGAATATACCATAAAATCAAGAAAGGGAAATGAAAGAGCAGGAGAAAATACCAAAAACATTAGGAAAATATGAGAAATCTGGCTTGTAAAGAAGGGCAAGTTTGTTACACAAATACTACAAAACAAATGGAAGCAGGAATAGAGAGCAAATAGGAGAAGAGTCACCAGTTTCCACATGGACAACAGCAAAGAAGGAAGGAAAGACAGTTTACGCACCATTCTTGGGTAGTCAATATCAGATAAAGTATCATCTAGGCTGAGAAAACTAATTTAGATCCTTAGCCTTTGATCTGCAAGTGACTCACTATCTAAACTCATGGAAATCTTTTAATTACATTGGGATCTAAAATAGGCATCTTCACTATAGAATTTTAGAGCTTCATCCCTGTTTAAAGGCTGACAGCACAGTGAAGTTGATGAAATCCACAACAGGAGCCAGGAGATTCAATTCTTACCGTCAGTTCCACCACAAACCTGCTTTATAGTAACCAAATCCTATTTCCTCTAGTGCATGGACTCCTTCCCTCTCTTGGTTATTTCACCTGAATACCTCATAACCAGGTTTACCAGACAAGTTACGGCAGGATTCCAAGTCTTAGATGTCATGTTAGTGTAAACTCATTATTTCTATTGAGCTTAAAAAGTTAATGAAACCCTTTTCAAAACCATTTTTTCCCCTCCAAGCACCAGATTTCTACATTTTGATTGTACAGCTTGGAGCTGTTCAGCTGCAAGCTGGGAAACTTAACATTTGAGTTACACCAACAGATGCCCCCCATTAACAGATGCAAAACCCCCAATCTAGAATGATGACCCTTCACTAATAACTGCCTTACTCTGAGTCTCCTATTTTAGATCCATATGGGATTAATAGAGGCACTTAAACAAGATCCCTTTAAGTACCATGCAAAGACAAATGGGTGACTTTCTGGTGCAAATACTCACTCCAAGCACTCAAAGTGCACTTTACATCATCAGGATGTCTAATTCCCAACATGAGACTGCCACCTCAATGTGGTCTGCATATTCGCATAGGAGAGGCTATTTTACAAAAACTCAGTCTATTGCAGAAACTCAAATAAATCCATAGCCCTGGCCAGGTCAGAGAAGAGTTACAAATTGAACAGAAAAAAAAAAAAAACTTTTCCTCTTAGCTGACTCAGGTTCTCAGAAGGGCTCTAGCAGAGCATCTAAGGTCATCCCCTTACCTCTCCTGGAAGCATCAGCTCCAAAGGACAGGGTCTCAAAAGCACGACCTCCTGCACTTCAGGGATCAGCTCCCCTGCAGTGCAACAGTCCCCATCCCATTCAGTGCCAAACCTCCTAGACCAGTTTAAGACACCTGAAATCCCGCGGGGACACCTCACTAGGGGCTCGGCACACCCTGTGCTCAAGTATCCAGAGGGAAGCCCACCGCCCATCTCGCCCTTTCTGCCGGCAGCCGGAGCAGAACCACGTGCTCCTGCCATAGCCAAACAGGGAGGCTTCAAGGCTGCCAACGCTCCCTGCCCTATCAGGCCCTATTCGCCATCACAAGCAGCTCGATTAAAAGCTTCTCCATGTTTCAAGTTCCAAACATTAAGCAGGGGCAGCGCCAAAGAGCCAGCAGAACAGGGTAATCCCCCGTGCTCACTTACATTTTAGGAAAATGGTGGTGTTGCTGAAGAGAATCTTCCCAAAGTTAAAGAACTTCTTCCCCTACACAGACAAGAGAGAGACAGGACATGAGTGAGCTCAACAGCACCCAGCTTAAATAAATGTCATCTCCTGCCACATACAATTTTTAAGTCAATACAGCCACAAACACGAATGCCAAATCCAAAGCCAGCCTTACTGGATTTTCCAGTCATGCTTCACCACCCCTTCACTCTGCTTTTAGAGGCTTAGGGGGGCGGTTGTTCGGCAAAACTGAAACTGCTTCATCTGCGTTTATTAAAACGATTTAAATGATTTGCATGCACTTCCTGAAGGCTTACAGGTTAGCTACCCAGAAAAGAGAAAAAAAAAAAAAAAAAAAAAAAAAAAAAAAAAAAAAAAAACCCACAGTTCTGTTCCAGGAACCGGCAGAAACGTTGGCCGGAGCTGCCGCTCCTCGCCAGCCCGCCAGCCTCGCGCCCTGCCCGCTCTCCCTCCCAACAATCACGAGTTTACACGAAGCCGGCCCTGCCCGCCCTCCCCCGCCGCCCCCCGGCACAGCGGGCCCGGCCCGGCCCGGCGGAGCCGGGAGAGGAGGAGGCCGCGCGGAGGCCGCCGCGGCCGCCCGCACTCACCATGGGCACCGGGAGCTCCCACTTGGACTGCTGCGCGGCGCCCGCCGGCAGCGGCAGCAACAGCAGGAGCGCGGCCAGCGGCAGGAGCCGCGCGGGCCCGGGCCGCCCGCAGGCCGCCGCCATCCCGCCGCACGGAGGCCGCTACGCTGGCCGCGCCCCTTCCGCTGCCCGCGGCGGCAGCGCCGCTGTCGTGGGCAAACGGCAGCGGCGCGGGGCGGAGCGGAGCCGCGGCCCCCGCCCCGCCGCGGCCGCTCCGCCCGGCCCGGCCCCGCCATGGAGGCGGCCGCGGAGGAGCGCGTCAGGTAACCGCCCCGCGGCGGCGGGCGCGGCAAATGGCGGCCGGGGGGGCCGCCGCGGGGTGTCCCCGAGCGGGGACGGCGCCCGCAGGAGGAGGCGGCGGGGCGGGCGGCTCGCGCTGCGGGACGGCGACGTGGCCCTGCTGCCGTGGAGGAGCCGGGAGGTCTGCCCTCAGGGCGAGCTTCCTTCCTCAGCTCGCAGGGGCCGCGGTTAAAAATAAAGGCGCCGTTTCCTGCCAGGGCGAAAGGCTCCGGGGCGGCTGGTGGTGCCGGCTGCGGCCGCGGGACTGCGGAGCAAAGCGCACGAGTAGCCTCGGGCGGAGCGGGGTGCGTGGAGCGGAGCGAGACTGCCGCCGTCCCGCGTTGCCGTCAGCGGTGCAACGGCGGCGTTAACGCTAGGTCGAAGTAACGCCGGTCGCGCCTCGTGGCTGCCATGTGCGGCGTCACCGGCTGCACGTCTGTAGGTGCCCGGTCCTCGGTGCCCGGCCCTCCGTCCGTGACAGCAGCCGCCCGCGGCGCTCGGAACCTCCTTCTCCTCCGCATGCACCTGAGCGCCGGGCGCCACGAGACCTGCTTTGTTGCTGGGCTCTGCCCGCAGTCCTGTTTTATCAGGCGAGCCCAAAATGAACAGTTTTCTAGTAAATCTAGAGGCCCCCCCCAGCAGCCTCCCGGCCTCCTGGTCCCGCTGCAGATGCAGGAGGTGGGAGCAGAGCTGCTGCTCTTCTGTCAGCTGTGCCCACTCCTCCGTTCCACTCACCAGAACGGAATATTGAACTGGAAGGACTCCAAACATAAAACCCAAGGCGAAACACAAGGCTCCAAGGAGTCGCCTGCACTGAAGTTCATCTGTTTATCACACATTCAGCTGTTTGCCCAAACTCTCAAAGTTTCAAAGCGTCTTATTTCTGAGCTAAATCTGTAAGAACTAACTCACATATTCAAAAACAGTAGTTCAACATTTTGTATGTCAGAGCAGTACTATCCATAATTCTCACCACTCTTGAACTGGGCTCTTCCATCTAATCGTTCAACAGGCAATTGCTGAACGCATTTAAACATTCTTATTCTCTGCTCTTTCTAGTGTCCAGGAGGAGGCTGTGGACAAAAGCAAGTTTAAGGAATGCAACCAGATTGCTTTTTACAGGTAAGGGGAAGGATTACAGTGTAGATTAAAAAGAAAAAGTCATACTGGCAGTCATCAGAAGTAGTTGCACATTCATTTCAATCATACCAATCTTCTACTTTCAGGATGTACCTTTCAAAGTATTTCACTTACTTCTAAACATGCAGTATCCAAAACCTCTTAAAATTCCCAAAACTGTCAGCCCTCTCATCTGACAAATCCCCTACAATATTTTAATTCTAGATAGAATTAAAATATTTATTTGCTTGACTTTAAACATCTAAAATTCAAAATGATAGAAATCTCAAGAGAAATGGCCTTTCAAAATTGTTGCCATTTGCTCTCCAGACTTCGTGACAACAACTTACAAGATTACACTACATTTGAGCAAATATCTTGTCCAAAGTTCAGTATCAAACCTAAAATTACATTCAAAAGCCCAAAATACCATTTTGCTAGCGGGAGCAGGACTCACTTCCTGTTTTCATATCACCCATCTCTCATTCTATCACCATTGTAACGTACAAATGATTTCTTGATTTCTCAACAGGAACTTTCCACTGTTGACAGCTCACAAGCATCTTTTTTTCTTTTTTTTTTTTTTTTTTCAATCCTGTATCTATCTGCCTGCATTTGTGCAATTTATGTTTTGAAGGAAACAAAGTCAGTTTACCGATAAAGAAACTTGCATTTAAGATCCTCAGACACATTTGAAAATTTCATAAAACCTTGGCTATGCAAAAAACATTCTCAAAACAGTTGAAAAAGTCATTTTTTTTCTAGAAGTCTGTCTTAAAAACATCGTTAGGGTTTAAAGTTGCAATGAAAGTAGCAGCCTGTCCAGTCTTTGGCGAATCTCCCTTTTCAGTTCTTGCTTTTGTTTTGACAGACCCACCAGTAGATGTGGCACAAACAAAGGCATTTTGGGGGTCTGTGGTCTCCAGAATGTGCTATGAAGAGGAATATACTGGAGTGTCTATCTGGGCAGTTAACATTTACAAACACAAGTTGCCTCATCACCACAGAATGTAGATACTGTTCACGAGAGTGCTGCAAACCAGGCAGTAGCATATGAATGAAAGTGAAAATAGTTGTGAAATTTAGCTGAAATATCTGGAGTCCTAGAAAGAAACAATGTAACTGGACAACTTAGTATTTAGTTGGTCACTTGAACTAAACCTGTTACTGTTTAAGAAAAAAAAATGCAGAGGGTGGTGGTCAGTAGCAAAACCCTCTGTTTTACTTATTATTCATACATAAGTATGGGTGTTCAGAACCATATTCCTCTTTTTCCCTTTTTTCTTGAAGTACTGATAATATTAGTGTTTGAAATAAAGGTAGAGTCATTTTTAAAAAATGCAATCTATTATTGTATGCCAATGTGTGATTTAAGCCACAACAGCTAGGGAGATCAAAATTACTTTTCTGTCTTGACAGGCGTCAGAAACTTCTACAGCCTGGAAAATCCTCCTATAGAGCATTGTTGGATTCAGTCACATTAAGTGATGACAATGTCAAATTCCAAATTATTCATGAGGATAATAAGGTGAGATCTCACCTTCCTGTGAAAGTATTTACACCTATGACCTCAGAGCCTAAGCACTGCCTTTTGATAGGACTCAACTATTACAAGAAAGTTTAAAGAAATAGCAGTGATTATTATCAATGGGTCTGATAATACATTTCTAATATGATGCTAAGTATCAGCATAAAGATATCCTTTTTGGTCTGGAGATTTCTGCACTATTCCAAAATGTTTGTCAAATGGTTTACGTAATGGAATACCAACACCTGCTTTTAGCACTAACCATGCCTGCATATTCTTGTGTTTGCAAAAGCAGCTTTTGGGGAGAATAGGTGCACAGGTAAGAAGAGATGAAGAGATCCAGCAAGAGGAGTGTTTTCCCTTTCTCTAACAGTATAGCAGTTAGCTAGGGAAAGGATAACCCAAACTTGCCTTGGATTATTGGAGTTTGGAGCTATAGCACTCCCATTCCATACTCTAGCCATCACAGGACAGAGACTGCATGAATTCAATTTTCTGTCCCTCTTGATGATCCTCACCCTCTCACACTCAGCACTGGAAAAAAAAAAGGCCTAATTTTGCCTTAGCTTTAAGGTACTCGGAAATGAGGTGAAGGAATAAAGCTCCTGTACATTCAGATGGATGATGATCATTATGCTGCAATACTAACATGCATTAAGTAAGAAAGCAGACATGCTTTTGTTTTCAGACAGTGAGTGTCTGATGACTTCGAGTTGAAAAGTAAATTGGTCTTTTTATCATTGCCAGTGTACGTGTTTGCTTCCAGGTTCTTCTACAAGTAGAAATTTGTGAAATAGAGGGCAACATTTTCAGGCTTAAAATCAATGAGGCAGCTCCTCTCAGAGCGAGGTATGAAGTTCCTGATGTTCTCATACGGGAACCTACCACCCAGAGGTAAGTGATGAAAGATGATTTAAGCTGATATATAATGCTATAACTGATTTATATCAGTACTTTATACAGCTGCATTTTCAAATATATGTTCTGTTGCCTCTCATTTGTGCTGAACTTAAAGTTGTCTCTCTACAATATGAATATGTTACAAAGAGAAAAAATGCATGAAATTGTTTTCAAAAATTCATATTAACTACAAGGGAGAAAGTATATTCCTGTACATTAGACACTAGGCTATTTGTCCTAGGGAAAAAATAACCTACCAGTTATGATGCATAATTTTATCTAAAGCATTTTCTATCAATGTAAAAGGAATGCAAACTTCAGAAAATGTTTAAGGCAGGTCTGTAGCCACATACTGCAGTGGAGCCTGAGCACAGCATGTATTTTGGGAGTATTTGCCTCAACATGAGCCTTGCTTTTTGTAATGTATGCAGATATTCTCAGCCCATATTTTGTTTTAAATTGATATTTAGCTACAGTAGGTTGTTGCCGATTCATTGAAAACTGTCATTGATTTTCAATTACAGGCTCTCTACATCCCATAAAGAAGAAGGTATATTGGTGCTGAAGAGTGTTAATGAGGAGTACCAGCTTCAAGTCACAGCAAACCCCTTCCATATTGAGCTACGGTTCAAGGATGAGATTCTCCTGAGCATGAATTCCAATGGGTTGTTATATTTTGAGCACCTACAACCACCTCCCAGTGATGGGTATGGAATCTTTGTATCCCAGTAGAAGTACTGGTTGTACTGGTCTTTTACATTTACTTTTAAAATTTGACTATTAGAATTTGATAGTTAGAGCTCTCAACTATGATGCTAGTTTTCAAAACAGTCACCAAAACTGCTATAGAATGTGTAAGGGAATGCATAATGCTTTGTGAATTTTCTGCTGGAAATGCCCCCTTAAATTGTCAGTAAAATGATTATTTTTATATATTTGTTTTCACTAGAAAAACTACAGCAGAAAACGAAGAGAAGGCAGCAAGTGACTCTTCTAAGGTAACCTATACTTACTCTGTGATTCTGGCATTAATATTTTATAGAAAAGAACCTTGATTTATTAGAATGACTTGTTCATGAATTCTCTGGTAGTGTACTTAAGAACAGCCAAACCAAAGGCTAGCCACACTAAAATGCAACAGATAGCAGTGACTTCATCTTCATCACAACCCAAATTGCAACATTCATTTTCATTTTTTTTTACTGGAGCTTATTAGTGTGCTGTGGTCTGTCTAGTCATCCTTTTGTAGGAGAGTTGAATGTGGTTGAGGGTCCCACATCAGGTGTTCCCGTTTGGATGTTCCGTGTATGTATGTTCTTACATAACAAAGGTAGTTTTTTTCTTAGCCTAATCATTTTTTTCAGTGACTTTCAAAGAGGACCTCATATTCCAGATTGAAATATTTTGCCAAATTCGTAATTGAATTAAAGTTTATTTGTGTAGCAGAAGCTATTGAGAGCATTGGGTAGATCTGGCTCTTATTTAGGTTTTTCTTTTCTTCTTAATCTCTGCTCTCTAATTTGAAGTAGATGCATAACAGGGAGCTTCTTGGTGATTCATTTTCAAATTCTCTTTTCCTTGCAAGGATGATTTGAAAAGAAAGAACTGTTTTATACCTAGTCCAAAGATACATTTCCACATATGTGCATGATTACTCCTACTGTAAGACTCTCTGCGAAAAAAGATCTAGTGCTAGCAGTGCATAAAGACACATACCATTTTTCTCAGTGGCCTGAGTTATGTGCAGGATGTAATTTTAGTCCCCTGCTGAGCAGGTGGCTGTTACTCTGCCATGCTGTTGTAAATGGCAGGAGCAGCTCTGGCCTGCAGCACACTTACATATGAACTCTGCCACAGAGCGTGCTTGCTCTGGGGCAGTCACGCTGCTGGCCAGGCCATGTCCACCTATTCTGAAATAAAATTAGTAAAGTCAAGTAGGAGAGGGAGTGCAACAAGTTGAAATTTAAGGACAGTGAATAACAGGGCACAAGGTTTAAATTTTGAGGGAAGCTGAAAGTATCAGTTATGCAAACAGGACTCTGGAAAGTCTAAAGAGCTAATTTGTTTGGCAACTGTTTCAGGAGGGAGGGAGTTAAAATCACACAGAAAAATCTATACAAAGAGAAACCAACAGCCCAATTGATAAATTACATTGAAATTCATTTTATGTTCAGAGTTCAGGAACTCAGTTTTTACTTTTCTGCTCTCCTTTGCTGTAGCAGAACACACTTGCCCTCCAGTAGCCTGACAGTTCTACAGTATAACATTCATGCAGCAAAACCCAAATAGCATTTTGGATTCATATATACTAACTATATCTGAACAAATATTCAGTTAATTTATCTGAATAAAGATTTTTTTTTTTTGGAAGCATATGGCCTGAGTAGTTGCATTTCCTAGCATTATATGTTTTTGTTCATGTAGGATAACCAGGAGGACCTGGGTCTCTGGCAAGAGAAATTTGGCAGCTTTTTAGACATCAAAGCCCATGGTAAGTCTCGGTCTCATTTTGAAAACAGCTTTACTGCTTTGTGTATAACTGTGTATACACCTGCCAAAAGTTGCTCTCAATTCAGGCATGTGGCAGGATGATTTCTGGCAGGGACAATTGTGCAGGTTCTTCCTCTGGCTGAGCCAGAAGAGGTGAGCGTTAGAAAAAGGCAACGGACTCTAACAACCATCCTGCTGTACCACTGTGCAGCACAACTTGGCTTACAGGTTGTGGGGTAGAGCCTGAAGGTAATTTTAAGTAGTTTTAAAACACAATAAATAAGTGACTCTCCATTACATGGGTTTTTGTTATGTTTATGAAAAAGAACAAACAAAAACCCATGTAATTGAGGGTCACTTTTCACTTCTTTTTATCTCCTTAAGCAGATAAGGAGTACAGTACATAAGTAATAATGTGAATTTAAAAGAAAGAGTTAAACAGCTGCTTAATAAATTTTTAAAAATTACTATTTTTTTCATTACAGTTAAGATGTTCTGTTCTGTTGCTTTCATCTAAGCCTGAGAATGGAGCTCCATGATCTTGTCTTTTAATTTAATTAGTCTTTTCTGATTTCTATAGGCCCTAGTTCTATAGGCCTGGACTTCTCTTTACATGGATTTGAGCATGTTTATGGAATACCACAACATACAGAAACACTCCTCCTCAAAAACACCAGGTAAAGAGGTGGCAAACAAGAGACCACCACAACACAGAATATGCACCAAGTTTGGCAGAATGAAAGCTAAGACTGGCCTGGTGCAAGATGCTTACACATAACTCATCTGTTTGTGTGTTCCAGTGATGGTGATGCCTACCGGCTTTACAATCTGGATATCTTTGGCCATAAGATACATGACAAAATAGGCATTTATGGCTCAGTGCCCTTTCTCTTAGCCCACAAGCCTAACAGAACCTCTGGGATCTTCTGGCTGAACTCATCGGAAACGCTGGTGGACATTAGCACAAAGGCAGCAGCTGAGGTGAGAGTTGCCCATGACCCACAGAATTCAATAGAAAAAGAGAGGACTGCAGGGCAGGGACACAGGAATGTGACAGCATCCTTGTAGATAAATCTTTCTCCTAACAAAGCATTGTCAATCTCTTCTGTGTTACTGCTACATTTATTTTATTACGCCTCTGAAAAGAACAAAATAAATTATTTCAAATTGCAAATATAGGTTCTATATCTTAACAGGTGTACAAGAGGAAGCAGAGAGGAAATATGCAACAGTAGAGCAGGAAAGTGTACAAGTGGATGTAGCAGGCAGAAAAAAAGGCTAAGAAAAATCTTGATTATCTTTTGGTACGATTGTTTTTTGAAATTTTAATTCTTGGCATTGCCACTCATTTCTCCTCAGCAGGCTCATTTTCTTCTGTGGAATGCAGCTGACTTTCAAGAAACAAAGAATTCAGGAGATGAGGTTACCTCCTGAAATACAAATATATGAAATCTGCTAAAAATTAAATTCCTGCTTTATTCTAATAATCAATTATATGATTAAAATTATTCCTTTTCTCTATGATTCCTGATTTTAAAGCTCAGACGGACAATACACAATTTTTAAGCAAGTTACACAGAAGATTTTATTTACCGTGTTCCTCATTATCTGTTTTCTAATTAACTACAAATCGCACTTCAGATACGCATTAGGCAAGATAAAGGATTTGTGAGGGATATATAATAAACTTCAAGTATAATGTAAGTTACTCATAGAATTTCCTGAGTTTCCACCTTTGCTGTGTATCTTGATTGAACAAACATTTGATAGAGAGATCAATCCTGCTTTAATTTGCTTCCCTTCAAAGCACCTGCCCTCCAGATCCACCGCAGAGACTGCTAAGCAGAGGGTGGTGCCTCGAACCGACGTGCGCTGGATGTCCGAGAGTGGGATCATTGATGTTTTCCTGCTGATGGGACCTACTGCTTTTGATGTCTTCACACAGTTTGCACAACTGACAGGTAGTAGTTCGTATAATTGAAGAGAGAGCACGGCACATTCATTGAGGAAATTCTCTGAGAAACAGGAGGAGGGCTTTAATGTTTACCTACTCCATCATGTGCAGTCGACTGGTTGTTCTGAAATTGCAGTTTGCTCTGCAAACTGCAAGCTCTGTGAAAACAGAGGCTTTCAGCCTGTTTTCATAGCATCTGCAGCTCGCCATATTTCTAATTGAAAAGCCAGCATAGTTTTTCTGAAACTGCTCTATTACAGGAACAGAGGAAACACTGGGGATTAGAGCTCCTGGTCATGATCGAGACACCTTTACATTATCTCTAGAGTCCTCTCTGCTGTCTATGACTGTTGCCCTTATTGTAATGTTTGTTATGAGCTTATTTCTAGGCTTTAGCCACTTGAGTACAGAAGATGTTCCCTAGACTCAAATCTAGACCAGCATTCCCCTGCTGTAGACAGATTACATATTAATCATGGCTCTCCAGTTAACTTTACAATTCCAGAGACTGGATATAATCCACTATTATTATAACTTAACACTGTTGTCTTTATTCATATGTTCTGCCTAGGCACTCAAGCCCTACCTCCCCTCTTTTCTCTGGGCTACCATCAGTGCCGCTGGAATTATGAGGATGAGCAAGATGTCAAAGCAGTAGATGCTGGCTTTGATGAACATGACATTCCTTATGACATGATATGGCTGGACATTGAGCACACGGATGGAAAGAGGTATTTCACGTGGGACAAGAAGAAATTCCAGAACCCCAAAAGGATGCAGGAACTTCTCAGGAAGAAAAAACGCAAGGTAAATAATATAGCAGCAAGGAAGAGAGTATTTTCTTGTAGTGTGAAGATGCTCAATCTAGCTTTAAGCAAGGTAGTTCAAATATTAGAAGCAGTTTAACTACAGCAGGATAAATTAGATTGTGTTACAGTCTATGATGCTTCTAGTATGCAAAATATTTCATTTAATCCAACTCCTCATGTCATTATATTATTCAATAGTTTGTTCTATATCCTAACTTAATATATGTGAAGCTGCATCATACAAAAGCAGCCCTGTCCTGTCACGGATAGATAAGCCCCATGAAAATCCTTCTACTTAAAGTTGTGAACTCTCCCCACTGCTAATTGGCAATTGCTAACTTCAGGTTCTTTTTTTATTAACAGTACTTTTTTATTTCCTGCTTCTATTAATTGGGATTTGCCTACTATGTTGATAGGACTGATTCCCACAGACTCTTCTCTTAATGCTGTAGAATTACAGAGATATTACAGAAATGTACACATTTAAAATCCAAAAGTTGTAAAATGACTGAATGCTTGAATGCTTTGGCCAAAAGCCAGCAGCCAGAGAACTGTTGCAACAGCATTTGAGTTTTATAGTCCTCAACCTTATGGCGGAGCAGTTAATAGCAGCAGAAGATAATACTGCAAAATACAGTTCTTGCATGTTTTTTTTTGTTCATTTTTTAGAAACTGTTATAGTTTCTATATAGTTTCTATAGTTCAGAATGTTATACAAACTAAGATATATTAAAAGCCTTAAGGCAAATGATCTAAGTCACAGACATCACTGCTGAGGTGAGAAATAAATATATTTTCCCATCCATAGAATATGAGAGTGAATTAAATATAGCTTTTAGGGGGCAGGAGTACGTACTTTCCCTTGAAACAACGTTCTGTTGTTTCCTTATTTTAGAGAGCTAAGCATTATTTCATTTCCTTGCAAATTCATCTGTTTTACATAGGTACAGTACCATATACACAAGTACTGGTAACTGCTTTCTAAACTTAGTGACAGAGCTACCTTCTTTAGCCCAGATAAACCCTTTATCTGCTTTTTAGCAGATGTGAACTCATACTGGAGTACTCAGTACAGTGTAAGCTTATCATGCATTGCATTTTCTTACCCTGGCAGCTTGTCGTCATTGTAGATCCCCACATTAAGGTTGATCCCACATACACCCTGTACTCACAGGGCAAAGACAAGGGATATTTTGTGAAAGACAGAAATGGACAAGATTTTGAGGGCATCTGTTGGCCAGGTAAGAATCCTTCTATTCTATATTTCAAGCTGTATATTGTATAAGTCTTGCAGAATATTTTAATCAGGACCCAAGCAAGTTGAATTAATTTCTTACAATCCATGCACACCCTGTGGCTCCTTTGGCTTTTTGTATGTCCATGTGCTCACCGTTTCCACTAAACTACTTATTTTCCTGTATCTGTTGGCTCTGCACATAACCCCAGTGTCTAGAGCAAGAGAAGTTGGGTTTGTTGAGCAGAACAGCTATACCTCCTCCCCAGCTCAACTTGGCTAACAAAAGTATAGTTTGTTGCAGTGAACATAACTGATATAAGCTAAATGTAGTTAAAGGAAATACAATACTGATAATGTATGTCTTTGAGTGATACTGCAGTGATTCTATATGTTATTTTTCATGAGGCGATCTCAAAGTGCTTTACAAAGGAGGTTGTTCCAAGAAGCATGCAGTCACAGCAAAGGAATGACAAAGAAAATGGGAAAAGTCCAGGATATACTACAACCTCTAGTAGTATGGCAGTGTTTAAATTTTACCCTTTTAATCTGCATGTGCCTATGTATGAGCATAGAACTGCATCTGCAGCTCCCTCATGAAACTCAGGACATAGTTACTCAGCTTCTGAGTGGCACTCTCCTGTCTGAGAGCAGAATACAAAGGGTTCTGCTTCTCTCTGGCTCCCTGCTTTATGTCTGAGCATACTTCGAACTGCTGTCAAACGTGCTCAAACTGTGCTGAGCTTTTCAGACTTCCAGAGTTTGTGTTTGTGTGCTGAGCGTGGTGAAGGGCATACTGACTTCCATGTCGCCTTACAATTTCTTCCTGAGCTTTCATCACAGCCACAGTCATGCACACAGCATTGCTGCGTATCTGTCGGCCAGTGTGTTTAGATGCAAAGACAAGGCACGTTTTTAAAAGCAGGTCAGTAACTGGGATATCCTGAATGTGCAGGTTCTTCTTGTTATCTGGATTTCACCAATCCTGAAGTGCGAAAATGGTACGCAGATCAATTTGCCTTCAAAACATACAAGGTTTGTACTTATTTTGCACTGATCTAAACATCCCAGAAAGGCTTAAACTGAAGAAAAGTGAGAAAGAGAGAAGACAAACTACTGGCTAAACAAGTTCTTGGCTTTTATTTTCTTCTACAGTACAGTAATACAACTATATCTTGATAAATTGAGGTACTAGATAAGATTTTTTTCTATGGCCTTGTCTACACTAAGCAAGTTTTGACCCATATTCCACCACTGAAACTGCTCACCTAGTTGCAGCAGCGTAATGGGCAGCATACAAGCATTTTAGCAACTCATCATCCAATACAGCAGCTCCATATCCATTTTTTCTTTTTCTGCCTTAACAGTATACAGGAAGTGAAGTGGGATTAAGGAATGTGAAAGATTTCATAGCTGCTCCCATCTCAGTGACCTCTGAATAAATTCTCTGAGGCGTTGGAGACAAGATTGCAGTCCTCCCAATCACACCACTCTAGCTTCCTTCCATCCTCACCTACCTCCCAGCATTCCCACCCACTCCTGAAAGTGCGTGACTGAACACTGCCAGAAACCTCCCATTTTCTTCCCTATGTTGAAGTCCTGCTTTGTGGTAGAGGGAGTTAAAATCATTCCCTGCTGTGTAAGATGGCATTTCCTATGCTGCTTTTCTTGTCCTTTTTTTCCTCTTCTGGCCTTTTCTGATTTTTGCACATGCCATTCTTATACTTCTCTTTTGATCTTCCCTCACCCTCTGCCTTTTCACCATCACCAGAAGGCAGGAATAGCAGCTTTGGTCAGCTTTATGGGAATTGCAAATAAATCACATGATTTGGGGGACTGCCATCCTGGAGTGAAGGACCACCAAGAGAAACAAAAGCTGCCAGTCATCCCTCCCAAGTGACCCCAGGAGAGTCATTACCATGTCCTGCTGCCGTTTCTACTCAGAGCCCAAGCTGGCTGCCAGCCACTAGAGATGAACACACAGGTCATGGCAGCAGGTTTGTTATGTCCTACTTGCACCTGTCTGTTATAGGGGTCAACTAATATCCTCTTTGCGTGGAATGACATGAATGAGCCTTCGGTCTTCAGAGGGGCAGAGCTAACGATGCAGAAGGACGCTGTGCACTACAGCAGCTGGGAGCACCGGGAGGTTCACAACCTCTATGGATTCTACCAGGTAAAGTGCCTGGGGACAGCTGGCCTCCTACATTGCATCTCTGGTGTGATGAGGACTGTGTTTGTGCACAAATAGGTACTGTGCAGTCTCCATCACAGAGCAGGAGTCTGTTGTGCTCGTACTGCTCCATTTGAAACACGCTCTTATGTGACTGATCACAGGACAACGCAACAGTGTTCAGTCCTTCCCTGCAGAAATGGTGTAATGACATTAGCTGTAGCTATTTAGCCATAACTACCAATTTATTTTGCTCAAATCCATCCTAGTAAAAATATGTACCTTTAATAATATCTACTATTTGTGGATACATATTTCTTATTTTTCCTGCCTTGGGAAGGATAAAAAGACGGCGTAGCAAATAACCTAATTAGAGAGTTTGTGTCCCTGACATTTATCCTCATGATTTTCAGCAAATGGCAACTGCAGATGGACTCATCAAACGTTCTTTGGGAAAAGAGAGACCATTTGTCCTCACCCGATCTTTCTTTGCTGGATCACAAAAGTATGGTAAGCAAGATTAGCTGTCTCTAGTGCTTTGTTTTGTTAAGCTGGGTACCGAGTAGTGAAATGCATAGGAGGACAGAAACTGTGTTAGAAATACTGAAATGGCTAGCTCATAAGCAGGCAACTCATTCAAAGTCTCAGGAAAGGCTGGCAGAACGTGTGCAAGTTAAGAGCAGGATAACAGCCTGTGTCCAGTGACACATCACCAGCAGCTTTTATCAGATATTTCAGGAACATGTTGCATGAAGTAAAACAGTTGAAATGAACAGTAGTTCATCACTTCTTTTTTCTCCTTAACTGCAAATATAAGCTGAACTGTACACACAGCTTCACTCTGTAATCCTGAAAATGGGTATTTTCAGGGGCAGTGTGGACAGGAGACAACAAAGCAGAGTGGGACTACTTGAAAATCTCCATTCCGATGCTGCTCACTATCAGCATAGCAGGCATTTCATTCTGTGGAGGTAAGGCGTTTATCTGAAGTTCCTCAGTCTGAATAGACCAACAGTTCCACCATGTTTGTATTCCCAGATAGGTTTAAACAAAGATGGTGAAAAGCTCTGACACACCAGTGCATTTCCAGTCTCACAGAAAGGTTTCAGAAGTCAACAACCTGGCTCCCTTCTCCACTAAAATTTCAAAAATATGTGATTTTTTATTTATTTATTTTTATTGTCCACACAATATCTAGCTGACGTGGGAGGGTTTATCGGAGACCCAGAACCAGAATTACTTGTTCGCTGGTATCAAGCTGGAGCCTTCCAGCCCTTCTTCAGAGGCCACTCTAACATGGAGAGCAAGCGGCGAGAACCATGGCTCTTTGGGGAGAAGAACACCCAGATCATCAGGGAAGCCATCAGAGAGCGCTACATGCTCCTGCCCTACCTCTATACACTCTTCTATCGGGCACACACGGCAGCTGAACCAGTTATGAGGTAAGAGGTTGCTCAGGAACTTTAGTCATTATCTTCAGTAATTTAATTTCCTCCTCCGAGTGACTTCCTAGCTCTTACTTTCATGACTTAAATATTCAGAAACAAACACAAAAATAACTGAAGTATATTTTCTTGCTTTCTGCAAGCCTCAGTAGGATTCTTGTAGGATAATTTTTTTTTCCAAATAGGTGGAATGCACTGATTCAATAAACATTGCACACACAAGATCTCAGACATGTTTAAAGTAGCATTGTCTGAGCTTCTCATAATAACGAATATTATCCATTATTCTAACCTGCATTTCAGCAGTGCTAACACAGTCTGAACTTGCTGACCTAAAATAATAAAGGTCATTTTTTGCCCTATATGAAAATATTTATTTTTACTGAAATATTACTCTTATAAAAAGCTTATATCATTCACTTGATTTATCTTTTTAGCATTTCATACTGTTATTTTTTTAGTAGAAAATGATGTGGAGCAGAAATAAAATTGGAAAATGAACTTTCTGCTGTTCTCTGACTTCTAGAAACGTGCCTCAGAGGAATCAAATGTACCAGTCCTTTCAGAAAACGATGAACATCACCAGTCTCCCTAATATTGCTGTGCCTCTGAGGTTGCCCTAGACCTGTCCCTTTGCACCCTATTTTGCCTTTGTGGCCTGAGTTGTGAATATGGTTTGCATTATAGATACAGTGTATAGATACTGCACATTTATAGGTGCAGATGCCCCTGACGTGCACACTGACACTCAGCCTGGGCTTCTTGTCTTTCTGGAAATGGAGCCTATGTTGACCCACAAGGTTAAATGAAGCCAAGATTATGTTGAATTTTCTGCAATAGCTACATAATTAGAGAGAAAGCGGGTTGTTTTACTTACTGAGACAAACAGTGTGGAAAATGTGCCTCATTAGCAAGCAAATTAAGAGCAGAGCTGTCATAAAGTACTGGATGCCTGGGCACAAACAGGTGAGCAAGACTTTGTTTGCAAGAAAACCCAGGAAAGGACTGCAGACCCTGGCTCTGTCAGAACAAGCTATTATTTATCATAAACTCTCAAACAGAAAAGTACAAGGCCTCTTCTGCAACAAGATGGCTATTGCACTACCTCTTTTTTTTTTTTTTTTTTTTTTTTTTTTTTTTTTTTTTTTGAGAAAGTTTGAAATTCAACTTCTGGTGCAGGTTTTTCAGTCTGTGACCAAGAGGAGACACCTGCTGTAAAAGCAGAAATGAACTGCTGAGAGCAGGAAGAACTGTCCCTCATGGACCAACTGATCAAAGCAGCACTGCTGATAGACTGTGTTGGAAAGTGTTGTCCAGCTCTCCTTTGCTAGAAGAAGCAAAATTTTATGGAGAAGAAGGCAGGAAAAAAGTGAGGCTGCAGGAAGTCAAACCACAAGTATATTGGACTGACTTAACCAACACTGCATTAGGAATTCTCATCTTAACATAGGCCCTTCAAGGCACAAATAAGAACCTTGCCTAATCTTCAAGCCTTGGTAGCTGTGTCTCATTGGAGAGGGAGAAAATGGAGCCTGAAAAGGCCTTAAACAGCTTGGTGGGAGGACAGAAACCAACTAAATTCCACTATCTTGTTTTCTACAGGCCTCTCTGGATAGAGTTTCCAGGGAACATAGACACTTTCAGTGTGGACAACGAGTATATGCTGGGTAAGCAGATGACCCCTCATTGTCCAGAATTTAAGATAATTTGAAACCTGGTTGTCACAGATGACTTGTAAGCACTTTGAAAATAGGAGTCATCTGAGATGCAAAAATTGAGGTCAGTCACATTAGTCAGTTTTAAAAAAAAACAGCCATTATTTTGACCTGAAAGATGGAAATTCACTGTAGCAGCCAAGACCACAGTCTGCTTCAGGAATGACAACAGCAAACTACCATTCAAAGCAGGTTGTTTTTACTCCGATACATCTGGCTGCTGAGTTCAGTGCTTTCAGAAATTAAGCTCAGGAGAGAAGCGTGTTTATAGGATGCATGTTCAGCTTCTAAGAAAAGAAAGAGAGGAGCAGGAAGGGGTTCTTTTCCTTTCTTTTCACCCATGGGTTCAAGAGTGCCATCTACTTTCTTTCATCTACTAACTTTCAAATGAAGGGGCATTTATTTCTCTTGGTGTCTCCTGACCAAGGTGGGCAGGAGAGAGTAGCAGACTCCAGTGAGGGAAGCAAAGCATCACAAGACTCGATTGGAAGCTCAGCTTGCATCATGCATGGGCACAAAGTTTCTCAAAGTAGATATTGTAATGTGGAATCTATATACATTAGTGTATTTTGGGGAGTCAAGTGCAGCCATCCCATGCTATATGCTTAAGCAGAATTTGTTCTGACAGGGGCAGCCCCTTTTTCTACTGTTTTCTTTAGAAGAGCTTGTTCTTTCTTTCAAGCAAAGCACACACTGACAGTGTATCTCAGACGGAGGGACCCACGAGAGTGTTCCTGCTTCAGGGTGTGGAGTGTAGCCCAGCTGCCTCCTAGTGCCAGATAGACCCAGGCAGCCACCAGCCCTTCACGTGTTTCTTCATTTGCAACAGAAAGCAAACATAAGCTCCTGGCATGGGCTAGGCAACCCCCCAGAGTGTCTGTGGGAGGTTGACAGCGCCAGAGCACACAGCTACTGCTCTGTTAAGATGCAGCCTTAAGGACCACAGCAGTCACTCTCTGCCATTTGTGTTTTTCCCCAGGAAATGCTTTGCTGGTGCATCCCGTCACCGAGCAAGATGCTGGGACAGTGAGCGTTCTGTTTCCTGGGCCAGAGGAGGTGAGACTGAGTTAGAAGTTGCTCATCTGTTCAACCAAAGAAACATTTTATGCTGCAGTCTCCCTCTTCCTCAGCTCATAACCATTAAGTGGTGCTGCCTCTGTTGTATGCTGGTAATAGCTGTCCTGGGCCCATCATAGTCCACTGCCCTGGACTTCCATCTGGAGGCCTGGCTCACAGCAGACTTGCTTTCTTGCTTTTCCAAGAACTGCTGCACAGATCTCATCTCTCCCCTAATTTAAGTTTCCCCTCAAGGCTCACCACTTCTTTTGCAATGGCCAAAACCCCATGAGAATAAATTGTCATTTCCTTTCTTTCATAATTTTCTCTTATGGTTATACTTCACTTCCGCATGGAAGAAAAGGGATCTTTGAAGGGACATTCGTAAGAAAACCAGAGGGAAGCTGGGGAAAGAGAAATTACAACAAAGAAATAGAAACCTCAGTAGACTAGGTGATGCATAGGAAACACTGTAGAGAGACCAGTTTCTCTCTGAAGTCAAGTTATTCATCCACAGGATGGCACTGTGATCCACTGCTGCATTTTGTTTCAGCAGCTGCGAGGTGGAGGAAGGGAAGAAATCTGGGATATATTTCCCAAGGAAAATGAGAATTCAGCTCTAAATACAAATGACAGATAGCAGCAAAGTGGAGGGTGAAAGACTGTGCTAGTGCAGCCAAGGACACTAGCAATTCCTTTACCAATATAAGGAAAGGAGGGACTAGACTGTCCAAACTAGCTAATAAAAGTAGTTTTAGCAGTATCCCTGTGAGAATTCACTGCATAAAGCAGTTCAGTCTGGAGATACTGAGATGCAGGGGAAGTTCTGGATATTATGTGTTTGTGTGACCTGCTTTAGCAGCATTATTAGTTTCATTTCAGTAGCAATAAACTTATTCTGTATCTTTATTATTATTTTATGTCATTGTTTGGCACCTCACTGTACTTTAAGATGTACAAGGTGTATGCAAGCTGTAGAAAAGAACAGCCTAATTTTGATTCAGGATTGACATTTTATTCTTTCTCTTCAGAATCTCAATATACTTCAAAAGTACATGCAACTTCTTGCACCTCAAAGTTGGTAGGGTTAGTGAGAGTACAAGATGGAGTGAAAGAGCAGCTACCCCTGGAAAGGGAACAGATCATTTCACAGATGTGTTGGGCTCAATCTTCTCTTCATTTTTTTTTTTCCTCCCAGATTTGGTATGATTTCAGGACTTTTAAACGAATGGAAGCATCAGGCCCTCTGAAGATCCCAGTAACACTGGAGAACGTATGTTTTTGTTTTAAAATTTCACTGAGCTGAAAAGATAAAATGGGCTTTTTTGTAGAGCACACAAAAATCTGAAAAGTGACGTTTCAATTTCCCTGTAGGACTGTAATATAAAACAGATTTTAGAGAGAAGTGTCTGTGTTACCTTTAGACAAAACCATTCTGAAACTGAAAACTGCTGCTACTTGCAGAGCACAGGCAGCTGAAAGACGAGTTAATTATGGTTAAAATGTTTACCAATGACATCCTGCCACACCTCTCAGTGACCTGTCAGGGCCTGTCTAGACACAGAAATTATGTCACACTCAGCCCAGGTGTTTATTTCTACTCAGCTGCACTAATTCCCCAGCAGATTTAGAATGGGTTAGTTTACCTTTTTTTTTTTCTCAAAGTGCAGAATTTTTCAAAAATGCTCAGAGACATGTCTGCATAAAGTAGTTGCAGCTGAGTGGATGTGGGCATTATCACTTCTAGACAATCTGCTTTTTTGTGTGTGGATACACTTCAGTGTGGAGTCAGAACAGGGTAGAAAAGGGTAATGAGCAATTTTCTACTAACTGAGCATCAAAAGGCTCCACATTAGGAGTCTATGAGTCTGCAGTGCCAATGTTTGATCAAAATGCACAAAGTAAATCAAGTTTTTCAGCAAGTCTAGCAACTGAGAAGCTCCTTGGCCTGCCAGTGTTGTTGGCTGTGCTATGAGAGCCACTCCAGTAAGACAGTTACCCAGATGGACCTAGGTCTGCAGTGCCTGCGCACTGTAACTACTGCAGTACCTCAGGAAGCCGCCCTCCCCAAGCACCATCTCCTCTGTTTCTGGAGCAGAACTCTAGTGTGCCCTAGTAGCAGGAGTGAGACACTGCAAGAGTGACTTCTCCAAACAGAGACGCTTTGGCTTCAACTCATACAGGAAGTTAACTAGGATTAGCTTAACCCTGGTCAAGTTAATCATTATTAGCTGAATAGTTTTCCTTATGTGCTCGCAATAAAAGTTCATTTCTGAGGTTTGATAAGAGTAAGTTGTACTTTTCCTATAAGTACGATCAATTATCTGGTCAGCTTACATGAATTTATATGAACTTATTATTGGCAGATTCCTGTATTCCAGCGTGGGGGAACTGTGATACCTCTGAAAACCAGAGCTGGAAAGTCCACTGAATGGATGATAGATATTTCTTATGAACTCCATGTGGCCCTGGACACAGAGGTACTCTGGGATGACTTTCCTTTACAAAGTTGTCTTTCATCCTGTCCGTCCTTTTTAGATCCTAGCTGCCTATTCAATCAACACAGTAGTGTATCTTTCTCATTCCTTCTACCTGGGGTCTCACCTCTCTCCCTCAGACTGAGAACATTTTCTGACCATTCCTAGCTCCTTCTAGTTCCTTGGAGGAAGGAGGAGAAAATCCTCTCCAATGCAGAAAAAGAGCTTTCCACAGCTATCCTTTTGCATAAAAGAGGTGTCACCTGGCACACACATCACTTTACAAAATCAGAGATTCAAGTTGCTGAGAAAGAGAAGCGTTCCCTCTAAAACATTACAATATAGTGAGACTCACTATTTTGAGTTTAACTGTTCAACCCTAGAAGCTCCTGTTAATTTGGCCTCCGTCTGGTGTGTGTCACAGGGCTGTGCAAAAGGTGAACTCTACCTAGATGATGGACATTCATTCCAGTACCTCCACGAGAAGCAGTTCCTGCACCGGCAATTCACTTTCAACAAGCAAGTTCTCTCCTCCAGGTAACAGCAACCGCTGCAAACAAAAGCCACCCTACATAGTATCATTGGAAATGCCTTTTCTAGCTCATTAGACATCCTTACAAATGTAGGAGGGTTAGTCTCATCCATTGCTAAATAGACCCTGAGCAGGCAGAATCTCTCATCAATCTGCATAGGAAAGGGATGCTCTGCATTACTCTAGACAGAGAACACACCATTTCAAGTGTTGTAATATTATTTTGATTTACTCAGCTTTACAGATTTACTCAAAGTCATCTACAAGAATAAAATATATCGGAGAAATAAAGGGTGATAAGTGGGAGACTTACAAATAGGCAACACCTGGAGTGTTTGTATCTTTCTAACCCATAAACAGCATTACATATGGTCTGAAAATCATCAGCAAATGCATCATCTATCTTGTTAAAATATGTAAGAGAGGAGAGAAGCACAAGGGGATGCTCTTCAAAGGCTGGGTGAAACTACTAAAAGCCAAACATATTCATATCTGCTACTTGTAAAGAAAGAGATTTCAAATATATCACCACTACAATTACTAGTGCGATCTATTGTTTGTGGGGCTGTTCAGTGCATAAATAATGAGTTTACAAGTATTTTTCTTCCAGGCTTCAAAAATGCAGTAATTGGTACTCAAACTACAAAATATAGCACAGAGCAAAACTGTAGGTTAGTTTGGATAGTTTAGGTGAAAGTTTACATCCCTTTCTCTGGCAAGATTGTAAAACAGAGGTAGATTTTAATTAAAAATAAATTAATTTCCAAATAAATTATATTCATGATATAAACATCTTGCTTGAAAAATGTTAAAATTAGACAACTTTACATTTGTGTTCAGAAAGGGATTTTAACACCAGCATTTAGCAAAAGCCCAGAACTTTCCTGGTTGTTAAAGCAGTGTTTTTTTTTCTAAATGACAAGATGCCTTGGAAAACTTTTCTTCTTCTCCCCTCTACTTTTGTAAAGTCTGCTTAAAAAAGAAAAAAGAAAAAAGGCTGATAGTGGGAGAAAATTAGAGCTGTTTCAGGAGAAAGGTAAATAGAGAAAAGAAACAGTACTGGGAAGCTTCAGGGAGAGACTCAAGTTATGTATTTGTTTCTGTATGATGCTGACCTGCTGCTGTTGGGCAGGGACTACTGTATATGAACTGATTTTCCTTTTTCAGCTGCACAGATGAAAAGGGACAATACGGCACTACCTGTGTAGTTGAACGGGTGCTAATTCTGGGACTTGGGCAGCAACCCATGTCTGTGACAACACGTTTAAAGGGTGAGGAACCATGCTCCATTTCACTGCAATTGTTTGACATACTCCTGTACTTGTGACATTCATCAAAGGCTGCCAATAGGCAGCTCTGTAAAGGAGCTAATAACAGCATAGAAAGTATTTTTGTTCAGTCATCTTTGCTACTTTTTGGGTATCAAAGGCAGAATTTAGTGAGAAGGTAACAGCTGCTCGGCACTAATTATGCAGAACTGAAGAACATTTTGTTCTATAAGGTAAAAGATACATCAGCAGTGGTGTCTCAGAAATAATAAGTTAATTAAGTTCATCCTGTAAGGCATATGCCCAGAGATAGCATTTAAAAGGAAGGACCATATGGTCTTTCTGTAATACAGGTCTCTAAATCTGCCCAGTCCAAAATTGGAAATCTACAGACAAAAAACAAAATTGCTCTCCTGTTCTTCAGCATCTGGAGATCCCAACTGAGGGGATCTTCAAAAGCTGTGAGGGATCCCATTGGGGTATGCATTGACATCTGCAGAGGGACTGTCACCCCTCACTGCTTTTCCTCACATCTTCACATGGGGAATGATGTGGATATGGACTTTGTTGCACCTGTCAATGCTCAGGACTTTCATGGTCCTTGGAGTGTAAGTTTTACTGAAACAAGGATCAAGTTCCACAGAAAAATCCTTGAATAGTGAGATGGAAGCTCATGTACTCCAGCCTAGTTTGAAAGGCCAGAAGACAAGAAATAGTGTCTCTGATCCTGCTGCATTCTTAGCTGTACACTGGGCAGATTTGACTACTGTTTTGCTTTTAATTAATCTTTCAGATTAATTAAAATCTCAGAATTAGAGTTGTGCATAACTGTTTCAAAAAGATTCTTCTTAAAGAATACAGTAAACTTTCTTGTCCTCTTTAGATGGGAAGGAAAAAGAAGTGGTTTTCACATACGATACAAAGACATCCATGTTGAAGCTGGAACAATTAGCCCTGAGTGTTGCTGCTGACTGGGAGATTCAAATCAAGTGAAAGGAGAAACACCTACTTCGGAGAATTCAATGAGAGGTTGAAAGGAAATAGATTTGGAGGAGTTAAAATGCTTGTTTGAATCTGGTTAGATCAAAGAACATATTTCCCTCCCTGCAAACTAATATTTCCTCTAGTCTTTCTTTTAAAAGAGTTAGACTTGAGTAGCTCTTCTCAAGTCAGTAGTTGGCAAAAGTAATAAGTAATGGAATTATAATCACCATCTGGTCCGGGGTAGGCTCAGCAGGATGTTAATGTAAAGTTCTGCCTTCACTTGCACCAGGAAGTCTTGACTTGATGAGTGGGGGAAGTTGTGGCTGGTTGGCAAACCTGGGCTGGAAAACGCAACCATTTATAGAGTAGAGCCCTTGGGAGCACTGTGCCAGTTCAGCAAACAGTGTTGGGAGCACCGTGCCATCAGCACTGGGCTCTGGGCAAGCTCTGCCTGCAAAGTGCCTGGGGAAAAGAAGCCCAGACGCAGCCACCCAGCAGGATTAGAGGCACTTCCTCTTTCCAGTCCTTATGACAGTGCAAAATCAGGCACTTTGTGCAAGAAAGTAAACAGCCAGCTAACACCTCAGGCTGAACTTAAGCTAGGGTTTCATTAAGCAGGGCCAGCCGTATACGCAAAAGTATGGACATAGAGGAGTCTTCTCGACACCTGCATTTGAAACTCTGGTGTTTGGAATTTCAAGAAGCACAAGTTTACAGAAGTGCAATTCTGCCTTGGGGAAGCAGCAGGACTGCTGGGGAAACACTTTGCACATTATTGCCACCCCTCCCTGCCAGTGCAACTTAAATATATATAAAAATATTTATTTTCTTAGGAATAAGTTGTTTTTGTGTTTGGATGCACAAATCCCGTTGTTTACAGCCAGAGTGGTGTAGCAACTGGGCTTTTGGCCAGCTCTGCTCTTCCATATCTTTCATTACCTCCTAACTTCCAGTTTTATTTAGATATATTTTAGCAATCTCTAGGTCAGTTTTATAATCAAAGTGAGCTTTTAGTTTGGTAGCTGGCAATGAAAACGGTTTTGAGGCAAAGGAAACTTCAAGTGGTTGAGGTTTTCCTTATAATAGAACATTATTTTAATGGGATTAGTTCTGTATTTAACCATCCCTTTTCATGCATATTCCCCCCATTCTCTTACAACTCACCCAAATGCTCTTTAGCCTCACAATCCCACTTTCCCTGCAAGCAGAACTGGGCTGCTTTGCTGCTTCATTCCCTTTTCGGGGCCAGGACACACATCCTGAGAGGCCAATGTCCCCCACATCCCACCTATTGCCACTACCCTGTGTGATGCATCTCTCCTCACAGGCTGCTGTCACTCCACAATTTGATAGCCTTTGCTTTTGCTATAGTTACCAAATATTTTTAAATCACTTCTGCTTTAAGTCAAGCCTGAGCATACCATTTGTTGGATTTTATGGATATAAAAGAGCAGATTTTTTTTTCCAGCAAAGTAACAATATATTTTCTAAAAAGGTAAATAAATGGACTCTTGGAGAGTAGAGGAGTGGCTAAGATTTTTGCCAGTTAAAGGGAACATAACTGTCCGCTTGTACAACATGCCCTACTCTTCTTACTAAGCCCTTGCTGAGCCTGCTCAGTCAGTCACTGCCACCTGCTCCTGCTTGTCCTCAGCAGGGCAGATTTCCGCAAATACCAAGTGCAAGAGCAAACTCTGCTTACTCTGCTCTTGACTACTGAGTACAACTTTCTCCCCACCAGACCCCTAAGTTCCTTTTTTTTTTTGGCTGCAGAGCTGGTTTTGAACCCTTCTAGGAGGCACTGTGAGCTTCTGCTCTAGGAGTCTTTCAGCATACAGGGCTTAAGGCTTCTGTGAAGAGAGAGTCAAACCCTATTATTTTACGGGTTTCTATGCTTTAATTGATGATTGTTCCTATTTTTAAGCATAATGGTGGTTCTGACTGTGTGATTGTCTACAGCATTTTAATAAGACATTTTAACTGGTATTTTTGAAGTGCAAAAGTGAAATAAAGTAACGGTGAAATGAATTACATGCCTTATTCCTTCCAACCTTCCTTATATTACAGAGAATTTCTAAGTATTATTCTTTAAAATATGTCTGATTAAAGTATGTGACTGCTTTTTATGCTGTGACCTTCTACATGAAATCTGCACTATAGTAAACTCTTATGGATGAAACTTTCAGTGGTATGAAATGCCTAGCTTTAGAGATTTCAATGGAAATTAGTTGCTGAATAGCTCCTAAAAGTTATTCTTTAGTCCTGAGGAATTAAATTTTGAAAAAAAATGACATTTACATTGGCATTTTTAGCATTCATACTTCTCTGTATATGTCACAAAACCAGAAATACATTTACACTTGCTTTATGCCACAAAGTAAAATTGAATTCAGTTAGTAAATCAGCCAAAGATCAAAGCTCATAAAAATTAAATACAAACATTATCATCCATATAGTCCACTTGTGCTTTGTCTGAGCAAGATCAAGTGTTGGGTACTTTTACCTATAAGAAATTGCATCACAAAAGACGACTGAATTCCAAATAGAAAAGGGGGGATTTTTTTTTGGTATTCATAGTAGACAGTCTATCCATTTATCCCTGTGGTAAATGGCATTTCTTCAGGGCACTGTTTTTCTTTCACTAGCATATCCTGCTTCTCACAGAGAGCTTTACAAGAGTAAAACCATCTGTCTAGTAAAAGTAAAGAAAAGGAGAGGTTGTTTTTGAACAGGGATGTCCAGAAAATACCCTCACAAATCCATAAAGAGCCACGTTAGGTTAAAACTGAGGAACACTCTTGAAATATCTTGGAGAGCGCAACACGTGTGCGTGCCAAGCTGTCCTGCACAGTCACGTCAGATATGAGACCTGCCATCCTCAAAAATGTGATCATGAGGTCATCAATATAAGCTATCGTGAAGCAATTGCTTTCCTACTTCCAAGAACAGATGAATCGGCTCTTTCTCATCGCCGTAGTGGTGCAAGAAGCTTGTATTAATAATAAAAAAAGAAAAAAGAAAAGGATTTAGGCCACTGTTAGAAACATGAGGATTGACATTCCTGGAGGCCACCTGATCTTGCTTACTCTATTAGCTCCTTCAAAAATTGCCCTAATGGAGTTGAGAGATCTACTGAGATATAGATGTTGCCCATTGCACCTGTGATTTGAAATGAGTAAACCAAATAAATGAGGAACAAGTAACAAACAACCAAAAAAAAAACCAAACCCATAAAATCTTTGCTTTGGCAACCAGTCCAGTGGGAGGGCGGAAGGTCAGTGTGCAGCATCCAGCTACTGGTGTCATCAGGCAGAAATAACACTGATGCTGTCATGTGATTTAAGACTTCCCAATGAAAGAAAATCAGGGTGTTAGAGAGCTTTTATTTCTACACATAAAGCGATGTCACCCTTTAAAGAGAAGAACATAGGCCTGAGGAAAAAGTTTGGTTTTTCTTCATGTGTGACTGAATTTTAGCCCACTATGAGGAAATATATGTGCAAAGATACATAAATTTCTTCACAGATGAGCACATCATAGCCCACAGAATGGCATGGTGTCTGCTCTGAACCACTATCTATAAACGTGCCCTTTTTTGATGGGAATTGGGTGTCATGAGGTGACCAAGCTGCTCCCTTGCTGCTACTTGGAGGGACTAACACAAACAGGCAGGTACTGAACCAACCACAACAGCCAAGAAAATTCCCTGTGCTTTTCACCAGTAGGTCTGTGTGAAAAGAAAGCTTTTCAGCAAGAAAGGATAGGGGAAGAAGTACAACTCGGGTTCCTTAAGGATTGCCAGGACTGGTTTATGGGCCAGCAGGACCATGTAATTGCACCTGCGGCAGCTGGAGTTAATTGCTCCCCATTTCCACCCATTCTCTCCGCTTGCGGAAAAAGCGGCTTACAGCAGGAATGAGCCTGTGCCCACAGACATGCCTGGCCTTGGCAGGAGCTGCGTGGCAGCCTCACACGGTTTCTCCAACCACTCCCCCTCCCACTCTCTCTCTGTGGTTATTTTTAGGCTTCTCGGGTTAAAACCCACCTCTCCTGGGTGCTTGCACACACGCAGGGCAGGCATACGCACATGCACATGCTGTGGAAACAACTCGGGAATTAACCAATGGGTCATCTTGTGCCATAGCAAGGAACAGAACCAATTTCTTACAACAAAATACTGCCCTTCTGGAAGATGCACAAACTGCACAACCCCAGGGAACTTTGCTGCCTGCACATTTGATTAGGAGGCTTTCAACAGAAAGGAAACCCTTTTTACAGAGCAACTTCCTCTTTTTTTTTTCCCCCTCTCAAATTTCCTTCCAGTTTTCAAGATCTTGCTTTCTTTCGACACTTGCTTTAAATTTGATTCCCATGCCAACTGCCATCAATGCAGCAGTGGCTCAGCAGACGGCTGCTGGGTCACTTCCTAGCGCCACTGTTAACACCCCGGTTGAAGGTCCCGGTGGGGGTACAGGAGGGATTTACTCTGCCATAATCAGTCGCAACCAGCACATTATCAGAGTAAAGGAAAAGAGCTATGAAGAGCTCCACAAGAAGTGCCTGGAAGAAAACATCCTCTATGAAGATCCTGATTTCCCACCTAACGAGACCTCCCTCTTCTATAGCCAGAAAATCCCCATCAAGTTTGAGTGGAAAAGACCCCGTGTAAGTAACCTGTGTGTGCTGAGTGCCTTCTGCTTTCTGGAAATCAAAGATTGACCCTGAGCATGCTCATTTTGCAGGAGGGGGGAAGAAACGAAGCTGTTGGTGCCTTGAAGTTCCTTAAAGGGCAATCTTGGGAGATAGTGAGCTAGACTAAGAACGGTTGGAGGGAACATATAGTGACTAGAATATAATAGAAAGAGATTGAATAAAGTATGTAGAAAAGAAAAAGAATGAAATTTAATTGACCTCTTTGGTGATTTGTTTATAATTTACTTATCTTGAAGCTGCCAAAATTCTTGCACTGCAATGTGTTCTTGGGCACTACTTTTTTTCCACTTACATCTTCAGTATTCTGCTGCTTTCCTAGTGCAGGAAAACAGGGGAACAGATTACACTCTGAAACATGCTTTTGTACAGCTGCTCTTCGTTCCTGACACTGCTTGGCTGACTTTTGGTGCCGATTACCTCATTACCTGCTCACCAAAACCATGGGGGTTATAACTGCTATGAGGACAGATGCCTGCATGCTATTCCCCTTCCTCTCCCCTATCTTGTGGGCATTTTTCCAGCCAGCCTCCCTGTCTTTGTCTCCCCCAGCCTCTCACTCAGAGGGCTTGTCCTTCACTTCCCCATTGATTCTTAGACCTACCCTAAGCAGGCTCTTCTTTCATGTCATCCTTCCCGCCTGTGACTTTCATGGCCCCTCCACCCCTTGTCTGACAAAAAGGCCATGGTTTGAGGAGCTTCCTCTCTCTGACGTGCCAGCTGCCATTTCCATATCTGCCATACTTCTCCGACAGGGAAATCTCTGCCCCAGGGCCCAGGTTAGTAAGGCTAGATAGAGCTAACCCAGGAACTGCTGTAACAGAAGGTGGCCGCACGCTGCTGTCGCAGTAGGGACACGTGTAACGCATGGCTCTTAACAGAGTAAAGAAACAAATCAAAAGAGCATGAAAATGTGTTGTCCCAGGGTGTGATGTCCAACAAAGGGTTTAAGTCAAATGCTGTGAGATAAGGGAGGCACTGGGGTACATCTGCCCATAGGTAGCAGCTCTCCCTAAGGTGATGGAGCTGTTGGCATTTCTACCTTAGAGAGGATAACAGAATTAGGCTCCAAAGAATTGAATCAAATGTAGCAGGATAATTAGTTTTGGGGCAATTTTAAAGCTGTTTCCTCTTAGATCCAGTGCATCCGCTACCACAGGTCTCTGGAAACACCCATGGGCTGCGCCGCCCTCGGGGTGCCCGTGGGTAGGTGCTCAGCACAGGGCGACTGCAGCCTCCGCCTCGGCACCGTCACGGCTGCTCCCGGAAACGAGCTAAATGCAGCAGCGGGTCCGGCATCCGCAAAGGGAGGGGATTTCCCATATTGCTCCCGGGTGGAAAGTGATAGTGGAGTGGACAAATGCCAGCGTCCTGGGGCAAAGAGACCGCGAGTACATGTTTGGAACATGGCTGGGGCTGTCCCAAGCACTGGGACAGCAAAAAGGCACAGCGCAATCTCACCCGTGTCCGATACAAGCGGCCATGCATGGATCAGACCATTGGTTTGGGGAGGGTTCAGCCATCTGGGTCTCCACCTCAAAAAATACCTCTTTAATCTGCTCATTAAGTCAAATCTAAACTGAGCCAAACTTGAGCGCGCATTGCAAAAGGAAACGGTACTGGACAATTCAGAAGTCCTGAGAAAATACCTAGTCCTGCCATCATGCTAAGCTGTTCCCTAATTTCTGCTGCGTGATGTTTATCTCATAGCCCTGGAAACAGCAAACAAACAAATGCAGAACATCACGTAAAATCTCCTGGTTGTTCAAGCAAGGAGCTAGGACAGAGCTGGTCTATCCCTGCCTGTCTGTGGCACCTGGGGCACATCACTTGGCCAATCTGCACCCCAGCTTTCCTCCCACCACCCTCAGACTGTCAATGATAACACAGCATATATGAAAGATTACTGCTAGCCTTAAACGGGTGTTATTTGTTATGATAAGGATGCACATGGGACCACGGAACAAAAGCTTTCCCACAAGGGAAGAGCTGACCTTGCTGTGAAATATATTGCCGAGGCAAGGACAGGCATCCCACGTCCCAGCCCCAAAGCTGCTCCTCGCCCTCCCATCAGCTCCCGGCAGCTCCTAACTCAGGCCTGCTGCTGGCCACGGTCGGGCCCTCGGCCGCCACCGCCTCCCGGAGCAATCGGTCTGAGCCCAGGGCGCTAGGCCGGCTCCTGTGCGTTACCACCAGGACGGTGTAAACCTCCTCCCAGGGCTGCTCGGGGCTGTAATTCTACCCTGCTGACTGCCGTGCCTTGCCACAAATGTGCGCGGGAGACCTCGTAATACTCGGTTCAGGAGAAAGCAAAGTCACATCTGTTTTCCCCAGGGAAGACTGCAGGATCCATCCAGTGTTTCTGTTCACAGCAGCAGGGAAATTAAACCCCTCCCAGTAACTGCATAATATTAAATCAGCCACCAGCCCATGGAAGAGGAGGCTCGGAGGGCCCATTCTCTCCTAAACCAGGTTACATGGAGCTCAGCAACAGACTGTGCGGAGCTTCCTAGCAAACCCAGCCCCACACACCTACACTTTCTGTGGGAGCAAAGTCCATCTCCTTCCCAGCCCACTGCACTGAGCACAAGAACAGCCCTGGATCCTGGCTCTAGGCAGCTACAGACAGTTCTCCCCTACCGAAGCATTCCCAACAGCCTGCTGGAATTCCCTCTGCGTGGCCAAGTGACACCCAAAGAAAAGAGATATCCCAAATGCATGGGGACAGGTTTAGAAAAGAGAAAGAAAGGTCCAATATATGTGAAGAAAATCACTGCTCAGTTCAAACCTAGCACAAAATTATCTTTTTTTCATTAAAACAGAGGCCCATTAACTCTGCAGCTCAGTTTTCATAGACTTCTTTTAGAGCTTAGCTACTTAATCTTTATAAGATTTGCATACCTCATATGCAAGAAGCACAATGCATACAAATACATCCAGAATAGGTGACTAAGTTTTTACCTGCCCTCCAGCTCAGCACACACGAAGGACGCTAAGGGAATGGTAGTATAGAACCACACATGACAAGGTTGCCAGGGTTTAACCTGGTGGTGACGATAAGGTGTTTGGAAACTGCCTTTTTACAGTGCATTGAATTAGGCCACAGGGAGGCAATTTTCATATTGAAATTGCAACTCTTATTGCATGTGCAATTTTCCCGCTAAAAAAACAAGGTTACTAACAGCTCCTATTTATACTATGGAACACTGCTTCCCATTAACTTTCAGGTATGAGGAAACGACTTTAGTATGACACAGAGTATAACTTTAGCATAACACAGATCCTGATGCGCTCCTGTTTGGAGGTAATGACACTAAGAGATTAAAGGGAAGGCTCTGCTGTGACACTGTCCTTTTAAATGCTCCATTGCCATTCTCCTTGCTCACAGCATTATCCACCAGATTTAGTGCCTTCCCTATGGAGATCTTCTCCATAACCAACATTAACACACACTTAGTATTTGGAAGCACTTAGACATCTAACTGCCTTCATCTAAAATGCAGCACACTGAATTTGGGAGCTTTTTACTTCAATAGGAGCAGGGTCAAGCTAAAACTCAACCATACTGTCGATGGATATTTATTAAAGTAAAACATATTGTTAGACATGAAAACACAATCCAAAACCCTGTTATCTCACACACAGTTTCCAAAAAGGCACCATAGGAACGTCAGAAAGAGTATTTTCAACAAAGTGAGTGGGCGGAGAGAAGCCTGAAAGCATCTCACACAGCTGCCCTGAGCCCCACAACAGCTGATCAAGGCCTGAAAAAACAGGAAAATCCCACTCGAATAAGATATTGCTGCGGGGAACTGGGAGTAGGTCCCTCTGGCTGCACAACTAATAGTTACATCAAATTAAAGGCTCTGCGGATGACCGAGAAGCAGCAAAAAGCAGGCTTGAGCCAAGTGAAACAATGAGACCTGGAACACAAGTCTGGGAAAAGCTGTGACTCCCCTGATGCCATGGGATGGAGGCTTTAGACAGCACAGGCAGTGCCAGCCGCTCATACTGCCAGTTATGCAGCTCTCTCAAGTAACTGACCCACGTTCTTTCTTTTTCCCACTCCACAAAATTGAATTCTTGGGCTATAGTTTGTCTTTTTCTCCACATTTGTAGCTACTTAAAAAAAATGGTCAAGTTGCAATATTTTTCTTATCCTCACAAGAAATGGGTCCAACAGTTAAATGCCTTCCTATTTTTCCCCAAGTAATTCAGCATTTGACTCTTCCATGAGGGACAGAGAAAGGAGGGGATTTGGAGCCTGGCCTCCAAGCATGGATGAGGTTTGCCAGTAAAGGTGGTTGTTTTTACTTCTCCCCACCTGACACATTAAGAGAACTCGGTAGAAGCTCAGGGAACACAGGAAAACATAATAAAGCTTTTTCTTTTCCTGGGATGAACGAGCCTCACGATGCACATTTTTCCTGTTCATCTGTTTCTGTTTGCAGGAGATCTGTGAGAATCCTCGATTTATTATTGGTGGAGCCAACAGAACAGATATCTGCCAAGGAGAACTAGGTATGAAGTCTCACTTCTAGCTACATCTTATTTATCTCAAATGTGCATCATTAGCTAGCTCTTCCTCTTGCTCTCCAGAGGATTTTTGGAATCCTTTGCCCCCTCGTTTCACCTGCCTCTTCTGCTCGTCCGCAGGTGACTGCTGGTTCCTGGCAGCCATTGCTTGCCTGACGCTGAATAAAAAACTCCTCTGCAGAGTCATCCCTCATGACCAGTCCTTTATACACAACTACGCCGGCATCTTTCACTTCCAGGTGAGTCTCTCCATCTACACAGAAGCTGCCGTGACTATTTGCAGCCACACTGCACGCTGCTTTGCAAGGGGACAGGGGAGGTGTTGCGATGACTTTGAGCACCACCTGTCTCTGGAGGAAGAGCTGTGACCACCCAAGACACAGAGGAGGCCAGCAGGAGGATCCCAGGAGGTTTTTGTGTTTGTCCTCACGCAGTTCTGGCGCTACGGAGATTGGGTGGACGTCGTCATCGATGACTGCCTGCCCACCTACAACAACCAGCTGGTCTTCACCAAGTCCTCCCAGCGCAACGAGTTCTGGAGCGCTCTCCTGGAAAAGGCCTATGCAAAGTAAAAAACCTGCTAGACCAACCACAGCTGAGGCGGTATTTGGGGAGGTGATCAAAACACTATGTACTGGACTCAAACGGGCACTATAAGGGGCTTTTAGGACAAGCACCCTTTTTCACAGAGGGCTTAGTGGCTTTGAGTGGGGTAAAACACATTTTCTAGTTTAATTTAACTACTCTTTCAGAGAACTACATTTGAATCACAGTCTTTTTTTTAATGTGTAGGCAACATCTCTTAAATCTTTACATTTTAGGTTTACCAAAAATTATGGATTTTTTCAGCATATACATGTTTATGTGGGTATATACACACGCAAGAGTAATATATTAAAGAAACGTGTGCATGTGTACACACACACACACACCTTAATTTTATTTTCCTTTCTCTTTCCAAGGCTCCATGGTTCCTATGAGGCTTTGAAAGGGGGCAATACCACAGAGGCCATGGAGGACTTCACGGGAGGAGTGACGGAGTTCTACGAGATAAGAGATGCCCCAAAGGACATCTATAAAATTATGAAGCATGCTATTGACCGAGGCTCCCTCATGGCCAGCTCCATTGATGTGAGTCAATGTCAAGCCTGTAGATGAGCTTTAGCCTTTGCAAAGGCGTTGGACGCCTCCGCTAGCAATCAAATATACGTGACCAGTTAGAATTATTTGGTTTAGTTTCACATAGCAGTGCCTGTCTAGGACATGGAGGAAGACTTCAGTGGAAGTCCCTCACCGGCAAACAGCAAGGGCCAAAAGGTAAATTAGCAGCAGCTGAACATGAAGGTGGGGAGAAGGAGGTACGATCAGCAAAACCAGCACACTCCTTTAATCGCCTTTGCCCAGGCGATGAAGTTAGTGCTATGGTGCTGCAGCTCTAACACACTAATCTTCAGGTCAAAGATGCTAATAGTAATGCAAATGCTCAAAAAGCTGACCTTTGGTTCCCTGCATGGAACCCCTGGACCTAGACTATCTCCATTTATTATGCCTTAATCAAAAAGGAAGGTAGTAAAGCTAATTTCAACACTTGTTATGAAGTATGAAGTTGCAGTGAAGGTACCAGAATAACCAGTGCTGTTGACTACTATAGATAAGTGTGGTCCATAAAGAAAGAAAAATATAAGTTAACCTGGCTATTTCTCACCACTGATATTTCCTATATTATCTCTCCTCTCTCTCTCCCTGCCTCTTCTTTCTACACTACACTTGTCTCCCCTTCTCTGTACCAGGATAACTTAGGCTTTTCCTATGGATCAGCTCCTCGCAGTGACATTGGGGAAATGATTGCTCGAATGGTGAAGAACCTGGAGAACGCGCAGATGTCTCAACCCACCACAGACTACCAGGGCACGGACGAAAGACCAGCCTGGGTTCGTATGGCTCAGAAAGCTGTTGACTCCACAGCGTTTTTGCCTCTAGCCAGAGCAGTTAGAGAAACACATCACCTATGTTTTTAAATCCTTATTTCACTTCACTGAGTTATCCACACCCAAGAGATCTGCTATTCAGGAAGCTATTTGGGTTCTGTGTTGAAGGACTTCAGTCCTTTAAAACACACAGACTAGAGCACTCATCCAGAGGGTTTAATTAAGACTTCTGCCAAGGGCTCTTAGCTTGTGTTCTAAGTTTATAATTTCTAGAGTTTATTCCAAAGTGGCATGTTTTTGTTGTTTGGGGGAACAGGAAGTGACCAGCACCTTTTAGTAATTCCTATGGAAAGAGGAAGAAAATTAAAATACTGAGAGAAAAACATTCCAAGATAGTCAGGGAGAGGCAGCTCTATCTGGCCTTCACTCCATCTGCAAGAGAACTTATGCTGATACCTAGAGTAATAGAGAAGTTTGTCCACAAATGGAGGGGCGTCTGGTCTGTTAGATGGACTTGGAGAGGGGCAATCCACAGAGAAAGGCAGAGCGCTCCTTTATGATTATCAAATACCAAATGCTTTAAAATGTGTGACAAGGAAAAGGGGGAAAATATACCAAAGATTACAGTCACAATACCCTACTACCACATGCTGAAATGTCTTCATATCTAGAAAATTTAAGAAAGTAACATCAGAGCAATTTGGGGAAAACTTGAAAACTTCCAAATATGAGGAGGAACATGTTGTCCTCTCACTGTCAGGCCGTTCCATACTATACGCTTTAGGGACCCACCTGTCAGAGACAGAGAGTTAATTTGGTCTTTTACAGAGGAAAAGAAGAAATTATATCATCTCAAAATTTTGCTTATGCTAATTGTCTTCTGCATTTGAAGCGGAAATTAGTCTTCCTAGAAGACCAAAATGATTTAATTCTTTGGGAGAGCAAAATTCAACTATCTTGTTTTGCAAGCATGACTGTCCAAATCACCCATGTTTTGGGGGGAGCTTCCTCCCCAGGGACCACTCAGATTTTTTTTTATAGCTGCTGCTCCAGTTGTACCTGTTTTGCTGTTTATTATCATTTATCACCAGAAAGTCCCAACTCTTGAGGAAGAGATGGAAAGTACAGACTGCAGAAGCACTTCAGAGAAGTAGTCCAGAGTATCAGCAGCAGGAGAAATTAATATTCTTGGATGGAAAAAGAGTGGAAGGGTGTCTCATAAGTAATAAGGATGACAACATGAGAAGATACAAAGAAAAAGAAAGCAGATCTGAGGTTGTAGGGATAAAGGTTATAGAAGCATGAGCAAGAAAGAGGAAATAAGAACAGAAAGGAAATAATAATAAAAATAATAAAAAAAGAACTGACAGTCAGGAGATATTTGGGTATGATACCTTACTGCACAAGGTGAGAACACAGCTGCATGACCTGGTTCTCCCTGTCCAGCCCTACCTCTCTCATGCCCTCAGATGAGTCAGAGGTGGATGGGGGAGTTTCCAGCAGGGCCTTTTAGTCATTTCTCAGTGACATGATGCAGGAGGGAAAGTCACCCATAGACACTTAGTGACCTGGGGCTTTCCCTTCTCACTTTCCTCAGTAAATTCCCCTTTGTGTACTGTGGACATCTATCTTGCTCTCAGTTCCTCATCTCCCAGATAGATCTTTATTTGTCAATCTACAAATACTATTTATCAGAAGCAGCCCATTAGAAAGACAGTGAATGTACTTATATACAAGTAACTCATTGCAGTAAAAAGCTACAACCTTACTGAACATCAGTTGGCAAAAGATTCAATCACAAGGATTACATTATTTATGGAATAAAGTGTATATTCCCCCAGGAAATGGATTGAGAAAATATTGTAATTTATTAGGAGCAGTATAAGAAATAAGTTATTTTAAGATGACATAAGATAAGATGACAGCAGTGTAAAAAGATGAAAAAAGCCTATTAGGTCTTGATCAGTTGTATCATTTCTAGCTAATGCACAAAGGAAAAAAAAGAAAAGATGCTGTCATCTAACCCATGTTTTCTGTCCGCAAGAGCCCTGGGTAGCCACAGCTGCCTTAGAGGAGCCATCTGAGCCTCACGTGTCTCTAACTGGTTTTAATTCTGTGTTCAACAGACTATCATGCCAATGCAGTACGAAACCCGGACGGCTTGCGGACTGGTCAAAGGCCATGCCTACTCTGTCACAGCGGTGGAGGAGGTACGAACCATCTCCTTCCATTGGGAGCTGTGGCATAGACTGCCCTGGCATTGCACATGTTAAGCTGTGAGGATGTGAAGAAGAAATGAGGAGTTTAAGGAGCAAAATTCTTACCTAAATAAGAGAAAGTTCTGTGGAAAAATCAAAGCTGGCCAAGTTTCAGCTCTGTGGGGAAAAGGCTGTTCCACCATGGCCTGCTTGGGTGAAGGGAACCAGCATGAGGACAGCTGGCCACCCCTCATCCTACAGTTCCCCACAGCTCACAAGAAGCAGGTCAAACCAGAAAGCAGCAGTCACTGCTGCGCTGGGAATCAGTATTAGCAATCCAACAGATAATGCTTCCATCTGAGCTTCCTTTACATTGAATAACTTAGCTGATCCTTGTTGCTTTCTTTTTCAACTAGACAACATTTAAAGGGGAGAGAATAAGGCTGGTAAGGCTAAGGAACCCCTGGGGACAGGTGGAATGGAACGGACCTTGGAGCGACAAGTGAGTAAAAAGCATGAGTACGAGTCCAACGCCCTTAAAAAAAATAATAATAATAATGCAAGTTTATTTCCCCTTATACAGATTGTGTGGGACCCTAATATTTAAGGAAGGGGTATGTGAATAGTCTTTTCTGTCACTGACACTTTGAAGTTGATGGTATTTAGTGAATGATTAACTGAAACCATAGAAGGACCAAAACCAAATTAAAATACCAAAACACTTCCCCATCTAGAAGAGATGTTAGGAGGGGGTTTAGTTAATGGAAATAATGAGAGAAACCAACTCTGACACAGATTTTACTGACCAGCAAATTCTGTAACATCCCCCGTCAAGAGAAGGGCCTACAGAGTCCTTTATTCAGAAAAACTGGAAAAAGAGAAATGCCAGCTCACAGGTGAGTTGTGGATGAAATTTCTCACCTGGTTTTGCTAAAACGACTTTGGATAGCCATTCACCTCAGCAAGGAGAGTCTGTAAACATCTTCCAAGCTGAACAGAATTAACTTACAGATCTCAGCCGATCTCCAAGTGCTAATAAGAGGAAGTCTGAAGGGAGGACAAGGAGGAACAGGGCAGCTGTGATGAAACTCATAGTGTGCTATGAGGCTTACAGTATAGAATAACAATTTCAATGAAAGTTAGATATTTCAATTTTTTTTTGTTTGGTAGATCAGAGGAGTGGAACTTCATTAATGAATCTGAGAAAACCCGCTTGCAGCACAAGATCGCAGAGGATGGGGAGTTCTGGTGAGAATGTTACAAATTTTGTGTTTTTCCAAGAAATACACAGCTGTGACTGACAAGGCTCACTCTGCACTGCCTAAATCTGTTAACACCATTGCCATAATCCCTTTCCCTCCCACCATGTTCACAATGAGACCCCACTCCACAGTATCCTTGGTTTTCCATTAGTGTGTATTGAGTCCCATCAT